ACATAATATAAAAATATTGAATATAAGCACCAGTACTACATTTATTTACGATTTGCATACATAATAAGCTTTTATTACTCTCTTTCATTTTTAAACAGACTATAGATAAATTCCGCGAAAAACTACTGTTTTTGCTCACACTAATAACTAATACAGGGTGACGCGCTTAAATGTGATACAAGGCTTTATATTTTCGCCGATTTCAAAAATTTTTTTAGAATATAGGGTAAAAAAAACTAACTGATACTGCTGTTTTTATTAATGTAATACCCGGCCAACTAGGACGCGTTTTTTCGACGTCAAAACAGCTAATTGGTATTAGCGATTTTTTTTCCGAAAAACAGATTACCTACGTATTCTCATTCAGCATTCCGTAAAACGTCTTATCACCAAGTTTCATCAAATTCGATACATCTTCAGGCGAGCACTCCATGATGTATTAGTTGGCCGGAAGAAAAACAGCAGTATCACAGTTAGAAGAGTTTTTTTACCCTACATTCTAAAAAAATTTTGGAAAATCGGCCAAAAAATAAAAAAGTTCCCCATAGATTCTAGCTTGCAGCTCTTAAATCGTTGCAATCGCATCACTTAACGAAGTCCCTACATAAATTTCTTCGATGTAGAACTACATGGGTGAATAAAGGCCGGAAATATTCTAATTATTGCCCCAACAGTAAAAACATAATTACATAAAAGGGACTGCAGTCGCTGCGTTTGGCAGACGGGAAAGCGTGCCAGCCGTAGAACAATAAAAGATCGTAACTAGCTCATGATTATTNAAAAAAAGAGCCGCACCGTCCATCTTCGCCATATAAACCTATGTTAAAATGAACAACTTTCAACAACAATATCTCAAAATCTAAATTCAAAAAAAAAATTCAAAAAATATGACGCACAGAGGGAGCACTGTGTAATACGTTATATAAATTTCAAGTACATCTGTGCATTTTAGTAAACCCGATATACCTCCTTAAATGTGATACAAGCCGTAACTTCTTCATTTTTGGTCGATCTCAAAAATTTTTTAGAATATAGGGTAAAAAACCCTTACTGTGACACTGCTGTTTTTATTAACGCAATACACGGCCAACTAGGACGCGTTTTTTGACTTCAAAACAGCTAATTGGTATTAGCGATCTTTTTCGGAAAAACAGATTACGTATTCTCATTCAGCATCCCTTGAAAACGTCTTATCACCAAGTTTCATCAAATTCGATAAATCTTCAGACATGCACTCCATGATATATTAGTTGGCCGTAAGAAAAACAGCAGTATCACACTTAGACAGAGTTTTTTACCCTACATTCTAAAAAAAGATTTTAAAAATCGGCCATAAATTAAAATTTTACAGGTTTCTCACATTTAAGCGCGACATAATATTTGGACACCCTGTATACAGAACATCCCGTAGATTCTAGCTTGCAGCTCTTAAATCGTTGCAATCGCATCACTTAACGAAGTCCCTACATAAATTTCTTCGATGTAGAACTACATGGGTGAATAAAGGCCGGAAATATTCTAATTATTGCCCCAACAGCAAAAACATAATTACATAAAAGGGACTGCAGTCGCTGCGTTTGGCAGACGGGAAAGCGTGCCAGCCGTAGAACAATAAAAGATCGTAACTAGCTCATGATTATTTAATTTTTACTCGGAAAGCGAGCTTTAATGCTGAATAGCGAGATACTAATTGGACCGGCTACTGATAAACAAGTTTATTTTACCGTCTAGCGAGGTGGACTATTTAGAACTATCGTCAAACAATGTCAACTCGCTCATTGAAAAGGTAATCAGACATTAATTGGACATTTTATTATTTCATACAGGAATAAAAATGAAAGGGATTTTAATTTAATTTAAAACTTAGCTATTTTACTCAACATAAAAACTACATATTTGTATTTTCGTTGTATTTGTACGCCATAGTAATTCTCTAAACAAGCATACTTATACCTTTGCTGTAAAGTTAATGTCCCATCAAAATAACCACAAAACACTCGATACGATACATTTACGTGTACATAATAATAGAGTACATTTCGAAAACCGATTCTTTAGAACGATAACAGCAAAATCCCGTACACTTTTTTCGCACAGCAACGACCGTCTCGCAGACTAGCGTGTTTCCTTTATTACAAATCCGAGCACGCTGCGTCTTTAAACGAAGATTGATTACCCGAATCGGTAGAGGCTGGATAATGATCCGGAGAGTGGTTAGTCGACTCTTTAAAAAATTAGAAATGAGACCAATTAGCAGCGCAAACTCCTGCAAAATCGTAATTATGCCCGCCCTGAAATCAAGAAGCGTATTTACTTTTGCCTTCATTAATTACAAAAAAAAGTAGAGAAAATTAAAATAATTGTCTAAATGTAGTTTTAACCATTTCTCATAGAAATATTAAAGTGTATGGCGCCCTTAATATATACACAGCAGTGTACGGGCGCCTTAATTTCCAGTACGAAATAAAAAAATTCGAGCGAAAACCACCCGTCCGCCTGACTAATTCGCCAGCGTAGTCATACATCAGCCTCTGACAATTAGAACTCACTTTTAATTAATTTATGTGTCATACGGACAGACACGTTGGACCAAATAATAAAGAAACGTGATTACATACGCGTAAGTTTGTTAGAAATAAATGGGCTTAATGAATACGAATTGCTATTTATGGATTTGTTGGCTGTTTCAATAATGTATTGAGTTCAATAGGACGAAAATCAAACAACCCAAACTTTTCAATAACGTTCGGCTTATTAAAATGTTAGAATATATTATATTGTACACACACATACAGTAATTATTAGCTTGCGATTCGCGGAATTCCCATGACGAGTTAACCTTCACAAATAACCCTATTTAAAAAATTAAGTATGGCTAGTTTTATAATTAAAGAATATTTGTTTCTGTAAAAAATTTCCTAGCCACTGTAATAATTTTGTCGAGTGTAATAAGTGCTTCTACAATTACATTCTGGGAATTTGTAGAAATTTTGCATCGGCCGAGTTTACAATCGATTATGAAGTACGACAAAGGATAACGATTATAATATCCTGGAATTTTATTCCAGACAAACAAGACGCAAAAAGTAACTGCTGTTGGATATAACGAGGTTACGAAATGCAAACAAACTTTTATTATCCTTCTCAGAAAAGGAATCCTCGATAGGAAATAGCGAACCAAGCATTCTAGTTCATCAACATCGAAAAAAGTCTCACTTACCCCCTTTCTCGGCGTTGGTAATGGTGACCCAGAAGTCGATAGTTTTCTCGGGCCCTAACTCCTCGTAGTCCCACTTTTTCTTTACTCGGACGGAGCCATTGGGATCAACAGTCACCCAAGGATTCTCGTCCCTGATCTTGAAGGTCTCTCTGTCAGTTTCCTTCTCCAACTGAAACACAACCCTTCCGTCAGTCTCTCCATCCGTCTCGGTAAACTCGATCCTCTTTGTAGGCCTAACAGCCCTGGTGACTCGTCTTTTGGTTCTGTGCAACTCCACTTCTTCGAGCTGCTGCAGGTCCAAGTCTAGTTCGACTTTGGAAGGTTCAGCGGGTTTGAAGTGGAAAATGACCTGAGCGGGTCTAGGAGAGGTCCTGCTTGGAGTGCGCAAGTCGTGAGCTTCCACTACGAGTTCTAGCTCTATCTCTTCTATCGGTTCCTGAGTCAAGAGCAGGTCTCCGGTTTGGGGTACGATAACCAAGAAGTTAGTAGGGGTTGCGAGCTTGTAAGCCACTTTATCGCCATCTGCGTCTGTGGCTTCTACTTTGCCGATGGAAGAGAACCGTTTCCAAGTCATGGTGACGTTGTCGCCTTCGAGGGAATCATCACCAACCACGAATCTGTAGACTTTCTGGGTAAATACGGGGCTATTGTCATTTTCGTCTTCGNCTGGGAATTTGTAGAAATTTTGCATCGGCCGAGTTTACAATCGATTATGAAGTACGACAAAGGATAACGATTATAAAATCCTGGAATTTTATTCCAGACAAACAAGACGCAAAAAGTAACTGCTGTTGGATATAACGAGGTTACGAAATGCAAACAAACTTTTATTATCCTTCTCAGAAAAGGAATCCTCGATAGGAAATAGCGAACCAAGCATTCTAGTTCATCAACATCGAAAAAAGTCTCACTTACCCCCTTTCTCGGCGTTGGTAATGGTGACCCAGAAGTCGATAGTTTTCTCGGGCCCTAACTCCTCGTAGTCCCACTTTTTCTTTACTCGGACGGAGCCATTGGGATCAACAGTCACCCAAGGATTCTCGTCCCTGATCTTGAAGGTCTCTCTGTCAGTTTCCTTCTCCAACTGAAACACAACCCTTCCGTCAGTCTCTCCATCCGTCTCGGTAAACTCGATCCTCTTTGTAGGCCTAACAGCCCTGGTGACTCGTCTTTTGGTTCTGTGCAACTCCACTTCTTCGAGCTGCTGCAGGTCCAAGTCTAGTTCGACTTTGGAAGGTTCAGCGGGTTTGAAGTGGAAAATGACCTGAGCGGGTCTAGGAGAGGTCCTGCTTGGAGTGCGCAAGTCGTGAGCTTCCACTACGAGTTCTAGCTCTATCTCTTCTATCGGTTCCTGAGTCAAGAGCAGGTCTCCGGTTTGGGGTACGATAACCAAGAAGTTAGTAGGGGTTGCGAGCTTGTAAGCCACTTTATCGCCATCTGCGTCTGTGGCTTCTACTTTGCCGATGGAAGAGAACCGTTTCCAAGTCATGGTGACGTTGTCGCCTTCGAGGGAATCATCACCAACCACGAATCTGTAGACTTTCTGGGTAAATACGGGGCTATTGTCATTTTCGTCTTCGACCTCGATGACGACGTTCGTCACCGCTTTGTTAATTCCGCTAGGGTCCACGGCTTGGATAGTCAGCACGTATCTACTAGTCTCTTCTCGATCCAGCACTTGGGAGGTGACTACGTTGACGCCACCATTCCCATCGACCATCGTGACGTTGGGAAGGACGTCGCCTGTAATACTGTCTTGAAGTTCAAAGGCTTGAGCAGTGTTGCCAGCGATGATGCTGTAGGTTACCGGTACCGTGGCCGAGTCACTGGATGCCCGCAGCATGGGTAGTCCGCCGACCCGTGTACCGGCTGGAGAGTTTTCCGTCACGCGACCCAAGATGTCCTCGCCGGTTTCGGTGGCGAAGCTCAGCATATTATGCCTGTCTAACACGTACAGCTTGAGCATATGGGTGGTGCTGGTGTTGCCCTTGTTCTCCAGCACCACCAGGTCCACGGGGTGGTTCACTAAGGGGCTAACATCGGACACGGTCATAATGGAGCCGTCCTGCAGCATCGTGAAGAACTGGGAGAAGTCCGAGTCGAGCAGTTTGAAGTTGACGGCATCCTTGAACTTTTTCACGTTGTAGCCGGGGTGCGCGTCGTGGGGGATCACCGACACCGTCTTGGCGGTGGCGTCCCAAGCCGTGGCCAGGAGCGCCAGCAGAGTCACCGAGATGACGCCCATTCTTACCCTGATCCTGATGACTCACCTCCTCCACATTTGACTTTGGAATAATCTGCAAAATAAAAAAAGAATGTATTAATAGATAAAATAAAAAAATGTTTTAAATTATAAATTAAATAGATTCACAAGTAAATCAAAAGCGTTCTCAAGTAGAAAGGTAAATATCAAAGAAACTTCTATCTAACCGAGATTGACACAGTGTTTTTGTTTTTAAGTCCACGCTATTATTTGCGAAGGTTATTCCTTGAACCATTTTCAATTAATCAAGCCTTAATAAAAAAAAATTTTAAAACCACTGGTTATCTAGACAAAAAGGTTTTTGAAGTTTAAAAAAATACAATTTGATTTTTTAATGATAAGTAAAATAAATTAATAAAATGCCTTTTCAGTAATCAAAACCGTTGAAGCTGCTGAACTGTGCTTAAAATTAATAATTTCAAACTTATTGAGAACCTCTGGTATCATCCCGTTTATTAATTTAAGTTAAAGTAAAAATTATTAGTTTAGATTATTATCATCAGTTCTACTTTCATTTTAGTTAAGAAAATGCGTTTCTTTTATTGTTTGAAAAGTGTGAGTTAACTGCACATATTATTTATGTAAAGCAATTTGTGTAAACACTTATAAACAGAGTCAGCCGAGCTATTGATGGAATCAGAGATTCCTAAAATGTTTCTATGCACCATTGTGGTAAGCCAGTAGGTTTCAGAAAATATATTCTATTCGCAAAAAATACTTCTAACAATTGAGATTTCGATTTATTTACTCTTCAAATATCCTCTCCAAATTTATAAACATCCTGTACATATTCAAATATTTCTAAAGATGTTTGATGTACGTTGATGAAATTTGAACTAATAAGTAAATTGATTAAAGTAAAAATTAATCAAACTGGTTTACAAAAATCAATCAGTGTCGGAACTACTGACAGGAATTGCCACTAAAAAATCCAGAATTTCAACCAGGCTGAATATTTCGAAAATTAAATAAGTGCATTTAATTATCCAGTAAAAAAGATATATTCGCTTTTATTCTAATGACGAGTCAGTTATTCATAAGTTAGTTAGTTAGTTAAGTTAGTCATATTTTTATTTTAAAAGAATCCTTTATCACAAATTTGAATAAATAAATAAATGGAAAATTATACAGGGTGTCTCAGGTTTAAATAGCAGGACTTCAGGGGGCTTTAGAAGACCTCATTTTAAGACTAAAAGTTCCTATATATATGGGTCTTAAAATGCTTCGTTTCTGAGATACAGGGCATTGAATTTTATTTTTGTTTTATTTATTTATTTTTTAACTAAATAACCGCTGACAAAAAAATCATCATGTTGCGGCGAAAGACTATCGCATATTAATTCCAGTGGTGGAGATAGAGGGGTACCTATTAATATTTTTATAAAAAAAATTTAGCCGAATTGAAATTTTGCAAATGTTTTCGAAAAATATGAAAGAGCATGTAATTTTACCCAGAGAAGGCCCTCTTGTCCGAAGTCGGTAGGACGTGGCGTTTTCAAGAAAAACCGAAAATACTGTTTAGAAGTCAAATCATAATTTTTAAACATTGTGTTACAACTAAATTAAATAGTTAAAAAATTTGGTTAAAACTGTTTCTAATTAATAAAATGGGAATAAATAAAAAAATAAATAACGAAAATCATATTAAATCAAAGTAAATGTTCGAAATTTAAACCATTTTCTTCGATACATAACTGACACTGACGCTGGATAGAACGTCTCATTTGAATTCAGTTATTGTCTGTGATTTTTTTTTAATAGGGTACACACACACAATTAGAAACTGTAATAAGCGCAAATGTTAATATTAGAATGGCATTTCAAGTGTGATTTGACATCTAAACAGTATTTTCAGTTTTTCTTGAAAACGCCACGTCCTATCGACTTCGGACAAGAGGGCCTTTTCTGGGTAAAATTGCATGCTCTTTCATATTTTTCGAAAACATTTGCAAAATTTCAATTTGGCTATATTTTTTTTTATAAAAATATTAATGGACACCCCTGTATCTTCACCACTGGAATTAAGATGCGATGAATTTCTTTGTCAAATTATTTGCACTCCAATACTAAGTCATTCGCCGCAACATGACGATTTTTTTTGTCAGCGGTTATTTAGTTAAAAAATAAATAAATAAAACAAAAATAAAATTCAACGCCCTATATCTCAGAAATGAAGCGTTTTAAGACCCATATATATATTAGGAACTTTTAGTCTTAAAATGAGGTCCTCTAAAGCCTCCTGAAGTCCTGCTATTTAAACCTGAGACACCCTGTATAAATAACTTTATAATCATTCGTTTTATTAAAAAAAATGTAGAAACAGGCGTTTTGTGTTTGAAATACAATTTTAAACACAATGTAATCGAAAAATGTACAGACTCTATTGGCATAAAAAGTTAAAATTTTTATAAGACCTCCAAACTCCAATTAAGAAAATTCAAAAAATTTTTACGTCGTCACTGTTTTTTTTTCTGAATTTATTTGCTGGGACAATAACTTTTAATAATAATATTTTTTCCAATTTGTTTTATTTTCCGATCGTTTTTTTTTTCTGACTTAAAATATAGTTTCATTAACAATATATTGGAAAATTAAACTTATTAATATTATGAGCGCATAAAATTTTTTAAAATTTAAATACTTGACAAATATTTAACATTTGGAATTTTTTATAATAAATCACCTATGATGTTTTTTTGAAGATGGGATAAGACTGTTTTTTTTTCTTCCGACTTTTTAAAATATAAATTCATTAACAATATATTGAAAAATTTAAGTACATATATGTATTAATATTATGCAGCGTATATTTCTATAAAATTTAAACAAAAGTTGACTAATACCTAACATTTAAAAAGTAAATAAATTCAGAAATAATTATAGTCAGAAAATTGGTGTGTATACGAGTGTATATATACATTTTTTGTATAACGAATAGTTTTAAAACTACTTTGGCTTTATTCAACTGCATAAGCTTATTTTAAGTTTAAAAAATAAATTGAAAGCAGGAAAAAAATGGAAAATAACTTGTTTTCTACTTTTTTCTTAGACAAAGCATCAGGAAATAAGTACACTTATATAATTTTTAAAATATTCAGTAGCGTCGTGTTTCTAGGGTTCCTAATGACAAAAGGTTTCGAATGTCTCCGCTACTGGTTGATAGATTTATATCAATTAAAAAATAAACCTAGAAATAACCTTTCGAAGCTATAACATGGGCTTAGAAAACACGTTGTAGGTTAGGTTAGGTTACTATTTCTGCTTAAATAGATATTTCATAAAATTGATCCATATACACTTCTAAGAAAAATGTACTACTACAAAAACACCACTTCAATTATTTTCATTTTGAACGCCATGAAAGAAACTTAATACGTTAAAAAGTAGAGCAGTTGTGGTCTCACTGAACGTTACAAGTATAAATTTTCCCACAACTGTTCCAAACAACAAAATTAATTTCAACAAGTAGCAAACAAAGATCGCAAGCTGCTTCCTCAAAGATTATCACCACAAAACCCATCTTATATTTTACTTAACAAATATTTTTAACAAAAACAGTGTAACTACAGAATTATTACAAATCGGCAAATAAAACTTTGTTAAGGATGTCCTCAAAACTAATCAGTTGAACATGCTAATATTACTGTTTTTGTTTATTCCCCCATACATAAATTATGGCTTAAAATCGCCCGAGTTCCCAACCAGCGAAGCCATCCATAACTAACAATGCAATAATCCTCTTACACAAAGACCACACGCTTCCAAGATAAGGCCTGTTATTATGATTGGTGCAGTGGTTCTTGCACCCAAGACGAAAACAAACAACGAGCTTTATCAATGAATGCCCGCCCAATGGTAATTTACATAATTCGTACGTGTTACTCGGTGTATTGAATACAACAAGTCTGCCAGCCAATAGGAAGTGACCTGGAATAGGAGATAATTGCTATTCAAATATATGGGTCGATTCAAGAATAACGAGAAGGTTCTACTAATTTCAGTTTTCTTGGCGAGAGCCAACCGCCCTTAAATTTATAAATAATGCTCTTTAACGTATTAAAAGCCCATAAATGTGTGTTTTAGTCTCGGTTTTAGCAATGCTAGGAAAACTGTAGTAATTCCCTCACATTGCCTTTAACAATTCCTTAATGTAATAATGCATACCTATTATTCCTTAGCGATTTATCTCTCGATGTGGAAAAAGAAAAAAGCAAAGCCATTAAATTCTGAAAATTTATCCTGGGTACACACAAATGATCGGAATAATATGTCAAAATCACATTTCTGACTTTATACTTCACGGACAATTAGGTTATCGACAAATATTATTAATATCGATATAAGTACAATTAAAATAAGTTTCAGGATGATGAACATAATTTTTGCAAATTTTGAAGTACCCAAGTAATATTTTGTTTTAGGATATTTTATTTATAAGCCTACAAGACAAAAATATTGTAAATGCTTATAGAACTTTAGACAAGTAATTTTTGGTGTACGTTTGAGATATTATAATTTAAAATTACTTTAAAAGTATAGAAATTATTTATTAAAGTATAAAAATTACCAAATTCTTTGGTAAATTACAAAAATTACAAAAAGTATGTATGAAATTACAAAAAGTACATATTAAATTACAAAAAGTACAAAAAATTACCTGATAGAGTACAAAGATTTTTAAAATTGTTCTTTAAAATTACTGAAAGTACTTAAATAAAATGGTGTGATTAAAAATATTTCATACGGACTAACTTCTGCTGCTTTGCCTACATTTACCTACCTAGGTACTGTTGAAAAAAAACAGTCTAGTTTGTTTATAATAAAAATTTGTGTGGAAAATAACAATAAAAGTAAAAATCTTACTAATAAAACAAATTGTGTTTCTAAATTAGTAATGGAAATAACCGATCAAAAATATTGAGAAATTTTATGATGAAGAGTAGTTTATTGGGAAAATAATAAAGTATGACGGCATAGAAATAATTGTAAAAAATTGTAAACTTTTATTTTAAATTTAATATAATATAAAAATAGCCTGAAAACCAAATAAAAGTAGCTTTTCTAATTAAAAAAAATAGAAATAACAAATTAGAACTGAAATTAACACCAACAATGAAGCAAGTCCTATTCAATTTGTAAACCTTTAAGTAACACACATTTTTCTAATCTCTTTATCAATTCCTTGTCGATTTTTTGCTTAAAGGGCATCCGTTGTGTTGAAATATGAGTTTTCTTCTGAATTCAAAGAGTGACCGCAAAATCCGCCTGTTTCTTGAGACTTTGACAGAGGCGACAGGAAAAATCCTAAAAATATCCAAAAACTTGTCACGAAAAATGAAAATGAGCATTACTTTCAGTTTTTCGAAAATTTTCGAAAATCACCCTTATTTAGAGGTTGAAAAGATAAAAAAAAGTAAACAAATTAAGAATCATCAACAGTTGTAAAACCCCAAATATTTCTATGTTGTTATCAAAATAATATTATGAACGTGAAAATATCTAATTTCGTATTTGATACGGTCTTCTCCGGATTGAAAATCAACCCTTAATATCCCTAAAGGGGTGAAATCATCCCCTAAACGCCAAAAAATGCTAAAAATATATTAAAAGTTACAACTTTTTTTCTTTTTCTTTTATACGTTAATAACTCACAATCACAGATTAGATCCGAAGGAAAATATCCCTAAATGAGGGAAAAACCACCTCTAAGTTCAACCATAAACGTATAAAAGAAAAAGAAAATAATTGTAACGTTTAATATATTTTTTTGCATTAATTTCGAGTAAGTAGGTATACTTACACCATATTTTGATTTTTCATAATTTCATTCTTCATTTTTTTGGGGGAGGGGGTTATTTTGCCGCCAATAACATCAGTTACCATTTTTCAATGACCACGTTTCCTAATTTTTTTATATATACCCTTCCTAAATATTTATCAAAGTATGATTACATATTTGAAAAATTATAAAGTGGCTGTCATAAAGTTTGCACTAAAGGTTTACAGGTAAGTGCACATTTTTACTCATAATTAAAAAAAAACAACTTTTTTTAATAATTTTTACTTGTGTTAATACCAAATTGAGGGCAATGTAGATATACAAGGAGATTTTAAAAGAAAGACATTTAAATGGGGTAAAATTTAAAAAAAAAAACAATTTTCGAAAAAATATGTGAAATTTTAAAATTCTAGCCGATTCTAGCGTTATTGTCGAGGTTATTGTATATATTTTTATATTCTAATTAAAATACAGGGTGATTCACAAACGGTGACTAAAAATGAAACCTCGTATTCTTTCCTATAAAGTTTTTATCTAGGACGCTTAGTTAAAAAGATACAGGGTGTTGAACGTAAAAAAATATTTTTAGTATTTTTAAATAATTTAAAAACTAGTAAGTAAAATAATTTGAAATGGGGCACATGTATTTATGTAAAATTATCCATAATCTGAGACCCTTTTCTAAAATTTAGATGCTTCAGTGGTGGAGATAAAGGGTATCGGTGGGATATTCATCTAAATAAAATAGTACGCCACTGCTTTACTGTAATAATCATGATATCATGATATTTTCGGGTTCATCTTTCAACTTTCTACAAATTACTGGATACCCTCTTGTTTTTCGAAAAAAAACCGATTTCCGAGTAAAACGAACGGAAAACACCGGACCTCAACCCACTGGATTTCTTATTGTGGGGTGCTGTTAACCGTCTGGTATACAGTGAACAAATTAATACACCTGAGCAGTTAGAAGAAAGAATAAATTATGCTTTTCATCAGATTCAAGCAACAATAAATTTCAAACAAATTGCATTTTCGCTACTAAAAAGATGTCGCGCCTATGTTCGTGATAATGGAAGTATTTTTGAGCATTTACTCAAATAAAATCATTAAAATGATGACTAATGTTATTAATTTCTTTTTTCGAATAAATAACCGAATGATTAGTGTTTGTCATGTCATTTAAGTAAAAGTGTTTTAGTTCGTTTTTTAAGTTTTACTCGAAAACCAGGCTTTTTTCGAAAAACAAGAAAATAGTATTTTATTTAGAAAAATATGCCACCGATACCCTGTGTCACCGTTTGTGAATCACCCTGTATAGTATGTAAAGAACTCAAGTTATACTTAAATGCCATAAAAAAAAAATTTAATTTTAAAATGAAAATTTTTATTTTTTTATATCGATATTGAAATATAAATTTAGTCAAAATAAAAAAAATCTATTAGCATTTGGTCAACAAGTTCTTATATTTAAAAAAAAATCTAAGTCGTTTTTAATTCTGTCGTAATAAGTAAGGCAATTTTTTTCTAAATTAAATATAGACCGGTATAAGTTATTTAGTATTTAGACAAAAACAAATATTTGAAAAGTATATTTTTGAAAATCCTTCTTGGTCTCAACAATCACTATACTTATACGGGACGTACCAATGAATTGTACACAGATTAAGGGGTGATTTGTGACGTCATAATGTAATCTGGCCAAACTTACCTTAGTCCAAGAGTTACAGGACAGGGTGTCAAAATCAACTATGTAGAAAATCAACAGTACCTACTCTAAATTCTAACACTAATTAAATGACAAATTTGGCATAAACTAGTTTTGAAAGCGTTTTGCATTGCTTCTGTTTTTATTTGCAGGACTACTTTGATAAAGTAAAGAGCACCTACGGTCTAAATCGCATTGAATATTTTAAATACAAGTACCTCGAGAATGATAATTCCTAGCGATGTTAAGAGGTACAACTTTTTTATGTAAAAGTGGTCAAAAAAGAGATATTGGTACCAGAAAATAAGATACAGTGTGTAACAAAAAATTCGTGAACTATAAATGTGTAAAACTAAAAATTGAATATAAAATTTTGATTTCGACATTCTGTAACTCGGTTACTATCAACTTTTGGACTAAGGTAAGTTTGGCCAGATAACATTATTATGACGTCACAAATTACCCATCACTCTATGTACAAAAAGAGCAGAATTGAATTCTTTAATGAAAAAAATTGCTATTGAACAAAATGTCATGAAAATTTCAGATATTCCCCCGACTTTTTTAGGTCTATGAAATTTCCTGTTTTTCAGATTGGTGTAAGTATCCCCTGCGTATTCTATTTTAGCTAAAAATAAAATTTTAAGTGACTAGAATGTAAATTTTCAATCAAAATCCAACATTAATTGATTTTTCTTTTAGAACCACAAAAAAATTTTGCCCAATTAGACTTTCGCTTACAATATTACACTATGAGTACATACATATTATCTAAAACATTGTTTCGGCACTAGAACGTAAACAGAAGAGTAAACCATTTATTTCTCACTCTAATGCAGCATTTTCGGCCGTACCTATACTCTCCGAAAATCTAGTACTTTACAGCTCAGGCTGACTAATGGATCGCGATAATGTTACCCAATTCGTAGTCGCATCCTTAACGCTGCTAGAAACTTCCACAACACATAATTTGATATCGTATGACCAATCTACATTTTACGTATAACTTCGAGCATTAGTTATAAAGCTCTAAACTCTCTTATATTCACACAGATGACATTGATAAAATATTAATGAAACTTTCAGCGACTAGGTTCGGTGAATAATAATCACTCCGGAAGTTTCTAGGAATTTATTACATGTAGGTAGTCGAGATAACTTAGAAAATATTAGGGTATAACTACTACAGTTTTAGTTTTGTATCAAATATCATTTTTTTTATTAGGATTATAAAAATGCTTAGCAGTTAATTGGATTATTTCTCAAAATTGAGGCAAAGTCTGGGTTATTTCTCAACTGCAAATTGCGGTACAGCACGCAAAAGACACATTAAATGAAATTTAACAGAAGGTTCTGACTTTTTTTGTCTCATCTCATTAAGGAAATTTCAATGAGACAACAGCTCTGCGGTTCTGGAGCTTGAACATTTTTGCTATAGCTACAAGTTAGATTTTTTTTTATTAAAAATAATCTCTAATTTTTTTTTAAATAACTAATAATAGATAGATACTTATTTGACATACCTACTTGTAGCAAGTTTCAATTCAAGATGTAATGAGGTTCAATATGCCCGTTTTTTTTTCAAGGAAATTCATTCAATTAACTATGACTTCTGAAACGCGTCCTAATTTTCTTCAAACGGTTCATTAGTCAGCCTTGTTAAATAAAACGCAACAGTCGAATCAAAGCATAGCCTATATGATAGAAAAAAGAACACATCTCATATTATGAGCTTAAATTTAGGTTTCGTTCGGCAAGCGAGGTCATTGGCACATTGTCATTTAAGTTGGCAGCTTGCGCCGATTTGTTTTAATTGCTACCGAGAATATGTCAACAATCTTTTACCCAATTGCACTTTTTTAATGCAGAAGCCTGAAGGAACTGAAGGAAAGAACTTTACAGAGAAATTTAGAATTATGAGTAGGTAATATTCAACGAATTACATCCGAGTTAAAGGTATCCAGAGCCATAGAAACTTTTTCTACATCCTTGTGGAATTAAACTGTTTCTGTACGTGGTAACTTTCGAAATAATTAAAGTAGTAGGTATCTAATGTATTACAGAAAAACTAGATCGATAAAATTCTGGTAAAGGCTAACTGCCGACTGTCATTTTAGTCCTGGATTAAACAGGCACTATGAATGCAATCCAGACCGCAGACGGGAGATTTTCAGGAAAAATCCACATAAAAAAATTCCTAAGATATCAACGTGCGGTGGAAAGAGCATGTGCGTGCGAGGTATTTATGTATTTCGGTGCAAAAGTGTAGGGGAGGGCCACGCATAATGCCTAAAATCAATAATATTATACTACAGCGCTGTCTTAATCCAGACCCGCGATTTTTGACATCTGACCCTAAAACTCGAGAAACAAACCCCTGAACCGCTCCACGGCACACTTTTCATTCATCAACCGGTTAAAAACTAATTGCAAACTTACTTATCGCAATCGAGGGTGGCTTTGCAGCAAGATAAAGCCGATTCGGAGTCGAATATCTCTCCTGATTTAAGCACTGTTCTCCCTCACTGTCATATCCAAGGGGCACAACAAACACACAGTTTAACACTATTCAAAAAATCAATTCACTTTTCAAAATAGAAATACCTATTAAACAACTTAGTACAGCATCTCTACTACACAAGTCCCGTACCAAACCGCATCGATACTGTTCTCGCGTTGTGACCGGACGGTTTCGTGCGCGTAGATGAGACGCCGTCGCGGAGGGCCCGAACAAGGCCGTTCGGGCACGGGGAATCTCGAGTCCGGGTAAAAATGGCCGACGCCAATCCACCCTCGCTATTATGTAATTGCTGCCGAGGCCGTCAAGCTCTCGTCTGTCGTATGGGGACGCGAGGAGCTTTTTTATTAATTGTAGACTACTGCCGCTCTTCTGAGTGTTTCTAATTCACACGCTCATTCTCAGGATTTAAATTTGTCTTTGTACTAGTTCATCTCACCCTCTATTAGGTATATCCAAACAAGTAGGGTATATTAACACAAAGTATTGTCGTATTCCAAGTCCCTCTTAATGGTTCCGGCAGATTCTTTAATTGGATTTTCGAATTTCTGGCGCTCTTGCGACGAACGAATTTCTACCTTTCCTGGGACTATCTTCAAACTTCGTGGAAGATGGATCGACTTTTCGCTTTGGCTACATCACACTGTTAGATGTGGCTAGATGATGGTGTGTGTTGGGGGTCACAATTTGGGTGTTTATTAGGTACTTGTACAAATTTTAAAGGGTGAATCTTTAATTAATTTTAAGATAAAAAGTTCATATGAACATGCGCAACGGCTTCGTTCTTGAGATACAGAGCGTCCAAAAAAAATGTTTGCTATTTTGATTAAATTACTGATTAAAACTGGGAATATTGATGATGAGAAACTCAAATATTTACACAGTTTTTTTTTTAAATGTTAGAGGGCGCCAGATACAGTGAATTTAAATAACCATAAGTTTTTTGTGTCATACTGTATGTAATGTTTGACTAAGTATGCCTATTCTTCATTCAATTTTACGTACAAAAGGTACTCCTAGTATTTGTCGCTGTAAGCAGCGGTTTTGTAAAAAAAAAGGGTTTAAAGATAAAACTGCGTTGGAATCATTAAGAGTTTTTGAAAAGCAAGTGGAAAAATGTGTCTTTTAATGATTGTGTTGCGATGTGACAAACTTATACATATGTGGAATTTAAAAACAAATTACATTTAAAATAAATAGTTTATGAGAATAAAGGAATTTTTGTAGGAACAGGGGTGCCAGATGTGAACTGATATTGTATAAAGAAATTATTCAATTTCTAAACCCCTTAAAACCGTACTGCACTGGATCCCTTGACAGGGAATGATTTATTACTTTGCATCGAATATGATCTTACTATATCTCTGTATCTCAAGAACCAAGCCGTTACAGACCCATGTTCATATGAACTTTTTATCTTAAAATTCGTCAAAGATTCACCCTTTAAAGTTTGTACAAGTACGTACGTAATAAACACCCTGTATATTCATTTCTGCAAATATGAGTTGTCACTTGTCAGTGGTGAAAATAAAAAATAGTTTCTTTGTGCGTAAAGTGCCAAAATTGTGCAAAAATGACGAAAAACGTAAAAATCAGGATACCTCTACAAATTTTTTGCGAAGCACGCATCGAATGATTTTTTTTAAATATAGTACTGCTGTACTAATTACATACGATAATCGAGTAGGTAAGTAGGTAATTCAGTACATTGTAATTTTTTTTAGAATTTTTTAGATTTTATTGTTATTAAAAATCTACCTGCGTAGTATTATTCAGTATTGCTACCAAGGGCGTCACCATTCGAGAAGAGTACAAACATTTTCTTAAGCTAAGAAACTGTTAGATTGAAAATGTTTAATAAAATATTTTGTATTTGTTGACAAAAGAATTTAAAAAAATAAAATTTTATTTAGCTCTGGAAATTAATTTTTATCTGTCGGAATCAGAATAAAAGTTTAACAGTGCAACTAAAGCTATACATATATGTAACCCACCAATTTTATATAGGAGGAATGAAAAATAGAAGAATAGAAGAATAAAAACCTGGCTGAGAAATATGCTATGGTACAAAATCGTGTCAATGCCTGATGAGTATACCAGAAAGCTTATTTTTAACAACCATGAAGATTTTATTGATGAAGATTATGTTTTACCTAATTTTCGTTGAATTTCTTTATTTTTTTTTAGTTATTTATATATTTTTTTTTTGTTTCTCTTGTATTAAAAAGGATTTATTAAACATATTTCTAAAAAAAATTAAGCGCTGTACCTATTTTTACCTATAATTTGTATTTCTCCCATCCTCTCTCTTATTTTGCCCCTCTACCCCATTTGCTGGTGACGCCCTTGATTGTTACTATCGTTGTCTTCATCAGTTTAAAATGCAGAATAATTTTATTAGGTATACAGACTTAACTTAAAGTTTCAGATTTATGTTTTCTGTTTTATTTTACAAATCTAAAAGGCTTGGCAAATATGTGAAAATGAGAATTTAGCCAATTACTGACTAGTGATTGTAAGCGGTAAATAAAAAGATTTTTTTTCTTTTTCTGTTTCTTCACAAATTTAGACAGGACCTAAAAGTTTTACAGTTTTAGGTCCATAAATACTTTATTTTTAGCAATTATAACTAGCAGTGTCAGTAATTGACAAACTTTTTCCCTATTTTAATCTTAAACAGACAGTTAAAAAAATTATGAAATTGCAAGGTTTTAAATGATTAAGACTAGATAGTCAGATTTTTTATAAAAAAGTTATTTACGAAAAAAAAATGTAGTAGGCCATGGATTACCAACTGAATAATCGTAACTGGTTCAACAAGTACATCTAGAAGGATATTATACAGTATGTCCGCGGTTGGGGTTATTAAAAGGAAAAACCTTTTTTGTTTTATATTTTGCGGAAAGAAGGCACACTTGATTTGTTTTGCTTGGATTTAATATGAGGTTGCCATGGTGAAAGTTAACATTTCATGTACGTGGTGTTCAGAAAATTATATAATCTGAAAATATTACGAGAATAAAGTACTTACCTTTATTTTTAATATTTCTGAAAAGAGATATTTTGCATAAATCGTGCAAAAAAGTTACTTGAGTTTTTAAATAAAATAATTCGCACACAAAATTGGTTTAATTTTTTACAGAACATAATAAAACATTATTCGAACACTCCTCCACCAACGATCACACAAATTTGAAGACGTGCAAGGAATTCATTGTAGCAGCATCTGATCTCTTCTAAAGATATGGACTGTACAGCATCTCTAATTCGCTGTTTTAAGTGCTAATAAAAGTCCATGATTGTTAAGTCTGGACATCACGGGGGGCCACTGATATGGAGCATGCCTGCCAATCCAGCGATTGGGAGGGAAAGGTGTTTTGTAACCAGGTCCTAACAGTTATAGCAGAATGCGCCGGACAACCGTCTTGCTGAAAATAAAAACAATTACGGCAAGCCAGTGGTAAATTGTCCAATTCATTAGTAAAAAACGTTTGGAGCATATTCAGGTAGCTGTTTACATTGCACGTATCTTCAAAAAGTATGGTCCTATTATTTCATAAAAGGATACCGCACAGCAAACATTTACTTTTTTGAAATATTGCCGTATTTTAAAATGAGGATTCTCGGTACTCCAATATCGCAAATTCAAAATTTTCTGTGTGCGGGTCTTTTTCACAATTCCTAGGTATTCTGAGCGTCTCCTCAGTGACATGGTTGGATATTCATTCACTGACTGTAGAACTAGCACAGTAGCGGCATCTTCATCATCATAGTTTTTCTTTTGCCTAGGTGTTTTCGCCACAGATCCTGTTCTCAAAAATTTTGGAACTGCTTATGTAAAGACGACTATTTAAAAATATCATATTAGAATCCAACTTAGATATTAGAAAATTTAATAAGTCTTTTGCAACTTTCATTCTTACACTATCTTCTCTTGTTGGAAAAAGACGGACAAACTAGAGGTTGACGATTTCGGTGAACTATTTTGTAGATATTTAAAAAATTACCTAAACACTCCAATGAAATATTTATAAAAAATTGCAAGACCCATAGCTGTTTTTTACTAAATACGTTTCCATGAAGGTGTAGATTAACTATTAACTGCATGCATTAAAAACACCCCTTCTTCCCTGACGACAACATCTGTCCAACATAGACGCCTGCATATGGTTTTTTAGTGCCTGCATAATTTATGGTAGCGGTAAAGCCATTTAAATGCATCTACGAGCGTATTTATGTGCATTACGTTGACGAAAGAAAAACATTAGCGAGATGATCAAGCGGATTGCTTCTGACAGGAATGTTTTTGAATTAAAAATTGTATCAATACATCAACCGTTTAGTAATATATTTTAAAAATATAGAAATATTGGAGGAGATTTGATTCCGTTGGGTTCCTTTTCCAGATGTATTTCTGAAAGACAGCATTATGTTAACTTTTATATTATAATAATAAAGGTATGTGCGACTAACAGCAGTGGAGTAGCGAGTGGGTAAAGAAGTTAACAAAGTAAAACAAAAATAATTATCTTTGTATATAAAAAAAAGTTAATATTTCTCACGTGATTAAAAACAATTTTGCAATAGAAACTTTGACACTTTAGTTTTAAAAACTTTAAATTATCTTTGTCTTTAATGCAAGGGCGGATGCAGAGATGGATTTTGGGGAGAGAGGGCGTTTGTATAGTTGATATCTAAAAGAGTTAAAAAAAGGTTCTGCAATAACGAAAACTGAACAGTTTTAATCAGAAAATGTTTTATCTCTATTACAGAATTCTTTTTGCTCTTTGGTTTGGCACATTTGGTGGTGGTACAAAGTAACAAACAAACAAAAAGTAAAAGTCGCTTCAAAGAGCAAATTCTAATTAGACAAGGCAAGGAAAACCTCGCATTCGTGGAAGAAACTTTCCGACTCGATTTTTTTGCATATTCAGATTCGTGTGATGTTCCTTAACATGAATCAAGATGATGCCGGCCGGAAATCTGGTGCCCAATTGTTTAAACAAACTTTTTTTAAACAAATTGCAATTGTGCCAAAAGGTTTTAGGTTTTTTGGCATATTGTAAACAAAAAAGTTCCTATGCACTATGCCTCTAAAATTGATAGTTTTAAAGTTATAAACAATTTAAGTTGCTAAAAATGCGAAAATGACAATTTTCAACTGTCGATTTCCGGGTTAAAAATTGTTATTTTTGATGTTGCCAAGTTCCTAAATTAAAGTTTAAACATCCCCCTACAAAATGCTGAAGAGTTTTTGGGACTCGCATTATTCTAATTCCTTGTTTTTTAGTTGTTAATAAAGCGCTATGAGCTTCTTTACATATCTACATATGGAAAAGTTCCATTTTTCTTCAATATCAATATTTGGATTTCACAGCTTTTGATTATCAAAATGAAACAGGTGAATTATTACCTAAATTTATTACCAAAGATCCATTACCCAAAGACTTAGTTAAACAATGTAAATATACAAAAAACTGTAAGACTAAAGCTTATTCTTGTAGGAAAAAATATATATCACTTGTGTACCTTCATGTGGTTGTAACATAGAACAGTGTGAGAAATTTATTATTGAATAAATGTGTGATAATAATAATATGCAGTATTAAATAAATGTTCTTTAATAAAAACCAAAATGTATTTGATACTATTGCCCTTTTATTTTTTTCTGCACTCTATTCGTAGAATTTTGAATTAGTTAAATAAAATTATTATGAATTATAAAATTTAAATAATCAATTTTTACATTATTTTATGAGTAGTAATAGTACTTAGAATGCAAAATTCAAAGAACATAAGCTGAACCCGCTAAACCAAATAGCGAATCTGCATAATTAAAATTAAAAAACAAGCCTTTAGAATAATGCCAGTCCCAAAAACTCTTCAGAGTCTTGTAGAGGGACGTTTAAACTTTAATTTAGGTACCTGGCAACATCAAAAATGACAATTTTTAACCCGGAAATCGGCAGTTGAAAATCGTCATTTTCGCATTTTTAGCAACTTCAATTATTTATATCTTTAAAGCTATCAATTTTAGAGGCATAGTGCATAGGAACTTTTTTGTTTATAATGTACCTAAACCTAAAAAAATATAATTTTTACAATTTATTTAAAAAAAGTTTGTTTAAACAAATGGGCACCAGATTTCCGGCCGGCATCATCTTGATTCATGTTAAGGAACATCTCACGAATCTGAATATGCAAAAAAATCGAGTCGGAGTCTAAATCGATCTTTTTTCGGATCGCAAATACATCTATAATCTCATCCAAATTAATATTTATTTATTTATTTACGTTACACTGTTCTACCGGTACAAGAAACCCAATTACAGAACAGGAGAACTCGGTACAGTATGTATAGTATATAAAAATAAAACCTAAAATATAATATAATAGAGATTTTGTTTGTGACAAAAATACAAGTAGCAAACGGACGGTGCCATCATATAAAAGACAGTCTGCAGATATATGCTGATATGTTTCCTACTCCAATTTACCATTAATTAATTTTTTATAAACATTTTTATGCAAAACATCGCATTTCTTTTAATTTTTGGCTTATAAAATCTGAACTAACGAAGCACTCTGAATGCTATAAATTTATAGAGAATCGAAATACGAATAAAACGAGAGGTCGATCGATCCGATCGGATAATTAGAAACGAAGAAAACCCTAAAAATCGGAAAACATAGCGTTTGCTTAAAAATTCATTACTCCGCCATTTTTTAAGTTTTAAAGCTGATCCCGTGCACAAAAGTAGTGAATTATATGTATTTTAATTGTGCAAAAAGCAGACGCTGTCGGACCATTAGTTTTGATACAATATGAATTTTTTGGTGCTCTATATTGCAAAATTTCTGGATGCGTTGGAGGTAGTCCGATTTTAATTTAAACGTATATTCTAATTTTCCGATAAAATGATGCGAAATAGGTGAAAAATAGTTATAGTATAGTTTAATATTATTGTAAATGGTAGTAAGACAATGATAAAAAGAAAGAAAATCCAATCCATTTAAACTATAGAAATGATAAAATACAAGAATTTCTATTTAATTTTTCGCAGTGAAAGATCACGAAAAATATGACAAAATAAGATGCAATAGGATTCCAAATTGTGAAACATTATATATTATTTAATGACAGATTCATTTGTTATGTTTCTTAGTCAACAATCACAGAGGAAATTGACGACGTAACTCATCTATACAGGGTGTCCCGTTCATGTTTCAAAAAAACCTGTGCGCAAGTTCCTCATGGAAAAATAATAATAATAATAAATTTTTTTCTTAGACGCCCTATTTTCGAAATACAGTGTGTTGAAGTTGTTACTTTCGTTTTCCTTAATTATCTTTAAATCGGCTAAAGATAAAAATGTCAAAATTTGTACACGAGTAAACATCAACTGTGCGTTAAGAATAATGTGCAAACGATTTCTTTCTGAAAAGCAGTGTCGTCGATACAGAAGCGGTACAATCGAAGAAAAAATTTGTTAAAAGTCAAAATTGATTACATTTCTAAACGGTTCTGTAAACTCTAAAGCTTACTACAAAAAAAAGGTGTACTTGTCGAAATTCGGTAGCATGTAGCATTGAGTGAGCTGAAGACATTTAGCTAGCAACAGTATTTGCATTTAAGATTATAATTTTCTTACGTATCACATGAAACAGTTAAGGGCGCCATATTCTTTAAATAGTGTTTTCCACAAAGACAAATAATTTCAAACATTTAATAACTGAATAATCTAAAGCTTATCAAATAATAGGAATGTTATGTCATGACATCTGGGTATTTTCAAAGACGCCGCAGTAAAATGAATAAACAGGTGCAAAAAACGATCAAACCATCAAGGTTTTAGGTACTGAAATCTACGAAAATACTAACTTTTTTATATACAACTCCACATGTAAATATTCTTATAACATTTACTTGCTTAGTACTACATATAAAATTGTTTACTTTTATTTATAAGTAGGTACCTACGTGAAAATAATTCTTAAAATGTGGGGTTAGGATAACAGCAAACGCATGTTTTACAAACGCTTTTTTTTATTTATTATTTAATTGAGTAATTTTAAATAGTAACAATGAATAAACAGAACATCAAGGATTTTATTTTTGTGCTTACTTTTGTTCTACACGTTAAACTATAACACTACCATTACTAAAATAAACAATTGTTGAATGGACTGAATTGTTGATGGACATGAATGCTTAAAAAAAGCGATAAAAACAGAAAAATATTAGGAAAACAGACTCGGAGACATGCAGAACAAAACAGCTGCACAATTAAATAAATGTGCAAACTCGAAATAGTAGAGGAGATACTGAAATTGTCCCCCATTTTCTTCTATGCAACTTCATTTTTCTCGAAAATGGTACATGCTACCGAATTTCAACAAGTATACCTTTTTTTTGTAGTATGCTTTAGAGTTTACAGAACCGTTTAGAAATGTAATAAATTTTTACTTTAAATATTTTTTTTCGATTGTACCCCTTCAATTACCTGTATCGGTGACACTGTTTTTCAGATAGAAACCGTTTGCTCATTATTCTTAACGCACAGTTGATGTTTGCTCGTGTACAAATTTTGACATTTTTATCTTTAGTCGATTTAAAGATAATTAAGGAAAACCATTTGGAAAGTAACATCTTCAACACACTGTATCTCGAAAACAGGGAGTCTAAGAAAAAAACTTTATGTGGACTACCCCCATTATTTTTCCATGAGGAACTTTCACACAAGTTTTTTTGAACACGAACGGGACATCCTGTATATTTTTCCCACTTTAAAGTATTGTCAGTTTTAATAGGCAACTTTTATGAATAAAACTATTAATTCTTAGGGATAAAATTTATGAAAACAGTTTCTGATAAATTTAAAAATAATTTATTTCTATTAAACCAGCTTAAAAATTTATTGTGTAATTATTGGGCTGCATTGATTTTTTTATTTAAAAATTTATTTCCACACAGCATGATTATTTCCATACAAAAACGGCAACATATAACTTTAAATTTGTCTAGATTAGTTAATATACCACTGCAAAAGATAAAACGCGATATCTGAATGTTGGATACTGAGAATTTATATCGAAACTTTAGGCCTTTTTTCTTCTATTAGACCTAAGTGGAATGAAAATTGCGAATATTTTGCGATATAACATGAACGCATGACTTTTAAATCAATTTCAGTCGCATTTAGTTTAAACTAATTCTGACATTCTTTAAATATTTTCAATTTACGTTTTCTCCGCGAGATACCACCACTACATGGAAGACAGTTTTAAGTTTCTGACGATTTAGGTATCTTCTTGTTTAGAATACGTGACACTTAACACCCAACCACCTAAAGTTCGACAGGAAAAATCTACTCTATCCCGAAACTTCCAGAAAACAACAGGAACTTCAGCTCCCCAATACGGCCCGATCGAAACGCGATTACCTAGCAACACAAACAAATAACCACGTAGGGAAACAGTTTGTATGTTAGTTGGGTTCTTTCAGGGATGGTAAATGAAATTTCAAGTTATTGCAAGTTGAATAGGAAAGAAACCGGTTCGATATGTCCGAAAAATTGTGCCTAACAATAAACGACAGCAATGATCCCAGCTATACCGGCCTGGTCCTACCTTAGTGAGTATAAAGAATTTATCTAATTACAAGACATGGTCGCTTGGAGAACCACATTGTTCCTTTATTGAACACGTGTTAATTTTATTAGGGCGCCCTTTGACATTTACAGCAGCAAAAGGGCCGTAATATGTAACAGTTAACAGACTTCAAAGCAGTCCAGGGTAACAACTCAATCAGGGTTGTTGCAGAACAATGGGTATTTGCAAATGTGCCTGTCCACTGAATTTTTTACACCTTCATAAATACGTTTAATAACTTCCTATAAATAACATCAGTTTTTAACTGCGCTTTATATAATTTTTCTCTCAAAAAATACAAATTTTGTATGCATTAAATTTGACACAAATGTCAATTGTATTCGGGAAATCAGGAAACTGTCATGCATAAAATCAGAAACATCAAAATTCAAACCTATAAAAATAGAGGTTTTCGGGAACTATGAACCTATTAACTGGTTCTATTAGATTACAGATCTAATCGTTCCTAAACTGATCTAAAGTTACAGATGTAGCCTTAGAGCATATACTACATGGAGGAAGCACGCTTACGGCGATAGTGTAGATGAGTGACTGAGAGAGAAAGAGATAGTTTCGGCACTATCTTTCTCTCGCCGTGGCACGTGATTGGCTAACGCTGGGACGATGGGCGGGATCTCCCCACTTGTCCTCAACGATTAGAGAGAGAGAGCGAGTGCCCGAACTATCACCCTTTCTCTCTACAGCGTCTACACTTTTTAATACGTGGTGCTTCCTAGCACCAGAAGATTCTCGGAAACTAATCCGATCGACCTTATTTGTTTCATACCTTGCTATCTAATTAATTTTTGAGGTTAAGACCTATTTATATGTCAATTTTTAATTTGTGGTTATATTATGGTGTGCCTATACCATAAACCTTATAAACTACTGAACTCGTCCAACTGTCATTTTGCCTATATGTATAAACGGCAATCGCACACACGTGTGCAAGAGAGATAGAGCTAGTGCGGGCTTATGCTTCGTTTACAGAACTTCGACTGTAGCGCACTACATTTAATTCAACCAATCAGCTAGCTATTCTCAATTCTTTACCCCTTTTTTCTCTTGGGTTCTATTCCCGTTTGAAGTTAAAATGATTCGCAAGCTCTTCTGAAGTAGTTGTTTTAAATAGTTTATATTATCTTGCTCTGCAAAACTATATCAATGCTTTCTTTTTCAACATATTATTTAAAGAGAAGTTTTGCTAAAACATATTATAAGCACAATTCAGTTAAAACTCTTTTTATTTATGTGTTTAGTTTGATGTTAAAAAATAATTTCAAGGGGGCAAAATTTTTACGTTAAAATGACATTTTTATTTTATGTTATCATCGGAAACAACTCTACTTGGTCATTATTTTCAGAAAGATGCGAAAAGTATAAACATGTTGGTAACATCATAACATCTTTTCTCCCTATGAAATTTTATTTTTTTCTCCATTTAAACGTCCCTTTACGCAATTGATCGCTGACCACGATTGCATCATATTTAGTTTTCATAAATATTTCACACACAAAAATTTATGAAATCTTTAACATGACTTTTACTCTAAGGTTTGTATATGGTTTTTTGTACCGGTATACCCGTGTACCATTTGTTTTACCGGTATTTGCCTGCATTAGCTTCATCTACCTTGCACACATCAGCGCGAATGACCTCTCTTTCTAAGGCCAGTCCATAGTTTACTAGGTCTATTGGCCTACACGCATGTGATGACGTCACTTGAGAGAAAGATTGACGAAACCCTGAAAATGCAACTTTCTGTCATTTCTTATTAATACAAACCGACCCTCTACCCATAAACCAGAATGTACTTTTCCGAAGGATTTTGGTGCGCTGAATTCTAATCCGAGGTCCAAATTTCTCAGTTGGCTCTGATCTTCGAGATATCTTAACCTAAAAGTACCAAAATCGCGATGTTTGACATATTTGAGGTTATGTTACATGGATAGGTAAATTTTTTTGCTAACACCATTAATGGGGTCAAAAAATAAGTCAAACTACTAAATTTCAACATGCGATTTCTCAAGAACGCAAAATGATATCGGGATAAATTGAAGACCCCATTAATGGTTTCAGCAAAAAAAAACCTTTCCACGTAACATAACTTCAAATATATAAAAAAATCGCGATTTTGGCACTTTTTTGGCTGTTGTGACCTATAAAGTAGGATCGTATTCGATGTAAAGTAGACCAAAAAATTGTAGGTCTTTTATCAAAGGAAAATTGTGTCATCATTTTTAGGACGAGTACGATGAACCATTTCAAATTTAAAATGAAACTGAATGTAAAATCTGAAATACCGCTTCATACGCACTGTGTTCTGGTAGTAGCTGTAGTCGCCCAGGTGCATCGAGTGTACGAGGTGGTCGGTTATCCGTCAAATACTAACTTGGCGAGCTTGGTCGTAAATCAGACACCGCCTTCAAGAAACAAGTAAATAACAGTGGCAAGTAGCGCGGTAAAATGTAAAATTAAAAAAAAAATTGTATTTATAATAAATTACATTTAAAATAATGAGAATAAAGGGATGAATGAAAAGATGATGCATAAACAAATTATTCAATTTCTAAACCCCTTAAACCCGTACTGCACTGGATCCCCTGACAGGCAATGATTTATTACTTTGCATCGAATATGATCTTACTATAAATATCTTCACATAATTTATTTTGTTATGAAAAACAAGTAACATTACTGACTTTTTAAATGTGATTCACACCATATGTAAACTATACATGCTTTAAGTATTGCTTATAGCTTCTTCGTCAATCGTGAATTAAAACTTTCCCTTGTCGATAAAATATTTATTACACTATTTTCACATTAGTACCTACTTGAACAAGCTACTGGTACTATGTAAATAGAATTATCACCTAAAACGTTTGCTTTTGATACTGAATTTTAATAATTCGTCATTTTATACTTATTTGGAGTTAAATTCCTTGGATTTGCGAGTCACTTTTAAAGCTCAAGCCGCCACCCATCCCAATCTAGCGGAAACTAGATCATTCATTCGATTAGCTGTCTGCGTTAACTTAAAAACGGATTAGTTTAATTTGTAGCAGACGTCCTCAGTTCAATGGGTACAGACTTTTAAAGCCCATGCAATGACGCTTTCTTTTGTTGTATTTCTGCAACGCAATCTAAATAGAATACAAATAGAATTTATAGAGAATTCAATTCAATTTTCGCTAAAAATTTCTAAATAATCGATACCGACTCCTATTTTTCACGACTTACAGTAGATTCGAGGACTCTATCAAAAGAATAAAATAGCATCCTTTTATAGTAAAATTGTATAAAACTTAACACGCGAAAGCTAAAGAAATATTTAAATGTTTTGATCATTACATTCAAAACAAATGGTTGCAGGTTCCAGTATATTCTGATTATAAAGTATGTTGATATGAGTTCATAATTTATTTACTTTTTCATCTCCGCTAAATTCATGTATCTTTTGAACCCACATTACGGGTTATATACATGAGAAAGGCATGTTATTGGCATGTTTCTCAAGCAGATACAAGTTGCAAACCGCTAAGGGATGTTTTTGCTTCTTGCCTAGGGGTAGATCTTACTAAATTAGACGAAACTTGAAAGCTATTAATAATTTATATTTGAGCACTGAAAGAAAAGCTTAATTATAAACTCAGAATAACTAAGGTATCGATCTGATTCAATTAAATTCTATATATTTTTTTAATTCTATCACATGAAATTAAACAATATTATTCGGTATCAAAATCTAAGTGCAAATGATATCGAACCTCGCAGACAAGTTTTCTAACTGCTGATATCGCGGGAAACAGCTATGTCCCAACTAATTGAACTATATCAGCAATGTCTAGAAAAGCTAGAAATTAACAATTTTTAAAATAAAATTAAAAATCCAACTGCTATTAATAAAAAAACTTTTACCTCACAATGAAATCGTTAAATAATGTAATCTTTTAAATAAACTTAAAATAAATAACTTTACCTAGGTTTTTGGTATCGAGGAATAGTGTTTGTGTCATTTGAGAAGATTTTTGTAAGAAAAAAAATTTATGAATTTATTTTGATTAACCCATTATAATAAAGCCAAAATACGAGAAAATTTATATTTTAGATATAAAATAACAACTTATACAGGATATTTTAAGATGAAATGATCAAATTTGAAATTGTAATTCTGGTGGTTAAAATAAGAAAAAGGTTTACAAAACGTCTCTTGAGCTAATTATTTATCTAATTAACTATAAAAATCTACTTAAATCAGCAATGCAATTTAATACACCATATCACGAAAAGTTCGAAAAAATACAACTTTTGTATTTTGCTAGAAGTAGGAAGAGACAGTACCGAAAAGGAAATCAACATTTCTACGCCAACCATTTTTTTTTAACTTTTTGAAACAATTACGTATAAACATTTTTCGTTAAACGAGGGTAATGTAGGTAAATGGAAAAAAGTAACTCGAAAATTTTGGAATAAAATAATAGATAATTTTTTCTTATAAACATTGCTAGGAGTTATAGTTTTTCCGAAGTCAGTTGAACATGTATAAAAACGCCTAGCAATCAAATTTAATAAGTGTCATAGGCGTCTCTAAAAAAGTTTTCTGCTAAAGGTAAAACATAATAATACTTTGTATAATGTGTATAAAATTACTATAATACTATGGCCAACAGCATATTTTAATTATTTATGTCCTCAAACAATTTTATTATATCGATGGTAAATTTTGGTTGACATATGAAAAAACATTTACGGGAAGGTATGAACATATCATTGCCAGGAAAGGATGATCAAAGGTTGTTAGTTTAGGTTAGATAAGTTATAAAATAAAAATAATCAACAATAACATAATTCCGCATTGGTGCACTGCACTGCTAGGCAATTTGTCAACAACAAATTTATGGCCCAGTCGCCCAGTGCGGTTGTGTTTGTGCGCCGTTTGCCCGCGCGCGCATTCTTCAACTGGGCGTATACATTTCTACCACCACCACGTTTAGTTCGACCAGATCTGTATATGGGTATGACTAAATAAATATGACAAGAAGTTTTTCAAATATTTCAATGCCGAGTTGCTGCGTAGCGACCGAACCTGGTACATACTGCCTAGCTCTTTGCTCTTCAATTGAGATCGGAAAGACTACAAGAGATCGAATTTCCATTATGCGAGAATTGAATTTCGAGAATTCTTAGTAGTAGTGACCGTAGATGTCTCAGCCACTGGTATAGCATAGGTGTTTAGAGTTTAGCAGATTTTTACCTTTAATTAGGCAAATCATTAACCCTAGTTTCATCACTCAAAATCGATCTTCTCCAGAAATATTTTGGAAAATGTGAATTTTTTCTTAAATTTATACACTTTGCTCATGGAAAAAGAATCATTTTCGGGTACATATTAGAATACAATCCGAAGTAGAAATAGTAATTGTAAGGGCGAGATACTTTTTGTATAAATATACAAAATACGTGCGTTATTTTACTGAAATGTAAATTTTAGTACAATCTGAAATATAAATATAAATAATATATTTTGTATTATACAATTACATAAAAAAAATTTTTTATGAAACAAAAAATTATTTTTGTGTGAAAAATATCTTACTTTAAATAAAATGGTGCCACTGCTTATTTAACAATATTTTTGAACAGTAATTCAAATGTCATTTTTAGTGTGATTGCTAGATTTCACATTTTGACATCTTATTTTTCCAGTATTTAATATTTTGTGTCGATCTACATCTATTCCAGATGGTGGGGAGAAACTGCTCAAACTTTAAGCAAGACTAATTTGTGTAGAAAAACGTTATATACAATAACAATCTGAAAAAGATAGACCAGCTACGATTAAAGATATTAATTCTCAAACTATTAAGTTTTTGTATGATTATTTACATAAATGAAACTTGGCAACGTCGCACATTGAAGAATGGTTAATTTGCTCGCGCGCTGACATTCTACAAAACTTTGAACTAAAATCTTTTTAGTTTCAGTTTGCGTTTTTCGTTTAAAAGGACTAATAAAATAAATCAAGCAATAGGGACGATTCCTGAAAAATTTTTAAAAAACTTACCAAGTGATTGTAACTGTACCTAATTATATATTTAACACTAACCTAACCTAACTTTGTGCCCCCGTAATATAAGTTTCCATCAATCTCTCTCTCACACACAGCTGCGATCTGTACGACGTTGCCAGTTATCGAAACTAAGAGACTCAAATATGCTCTAAAGTTTTCTGCTTGAACTCCGTACTTGGAATATAACTAACTACCTTAATAAATGGTCCACGTTTTTTATACTAGCCTTTGAACCTTTACTTTACTTTAAGCTAATTGAAATGACATCATGGGATGAGAATTTTAGGAACTTAATAGTTTTTAAAGAAAGCACATGCGAAGAGTCAAAGCGAGATCACACGCATATGCGTGCGTTCTCGCTCTTCAATGATTATGGTGAAACTTTTCCTCAAACGCATGCGATGTTTCTCATTGTGCTCCATTCATTCCTCCTAAAGATGTCTTCAGATGAAGTAGTTGTTATAACAACGGTAACAGCGGTGCTCAAAAACCGACAGATTTCGGCTCGCTTCATTCTCGTTCGCAACCTTTCGCGGTCCACACTAAAATATGCATGCGTTCTCGCTTTGACTCGCCGCATGTGCTTTCTAGTTTGTACCCACCTTAAAGTACAATAATGGTACGCGTTTGGTACCCTGTAGAATAACAACAAAAATATAGTTTGTCAATTACTCAGTTTCTTATGCCTGAAAGACTGAGTCCTGAAATATTCTATAATAATAATGTTTTATAAAAAATTAATCATATCCTGACGAATTTCGATCGTCTACAGGGACAAAATAACAATTTTCCGTCTCATCCCGTTAAAACTTATATTGGCCAAACCTCCCAATTCTTTTTTCCATTTTCCCACACTAATTCTGTTCCGTAATCATTTCCAGCCGAGTTATCTGCCGGCAGAGATACAGGCGGGCGGGCGTACTCCAGAGAAGGCAGTTCATAAAAGAAATTAAGGACCACGAACTTTTGCAGACACAGGCCCTGCACGGCGTGAGGATCCACAGGGAGTTCTGCAACGCGAACCTCTGCGCGCCTCGCATCGAGGACATGGTCAAGCTTACGAATCAGCAGAAGCGAAAAATAGAAGAGATCCTGAAGTAGGATTGTTTGAATAAGTTCGACTCGGATCGTAGAAGTTTCAAAATAAATTGCTTTGAATTCAGTGTGTACCTCGTTTTCTTTAATCCTTATCTGACCTATAAATACAGGGTGTATTTTTGTGAAGGAACACAAACACCACATGATCATAATTCTTTCAAGTAACTGCTGACGGGTAGTGATTTCAACATGGTAGACAAGCGGTTTCATATGTCCCCATAAATAAAAGCCCAAAGGTTTTAGATCTGGAGAACGCGGTGGCCTTGATATTGGACCTTCTTGACCTATCCATTTATTCGGGAAATGATCATTTAGCAGTTACTTGTCTCCCTCTATGTGGTGGTGCACCATCATGCTGATACCACATATTAATAATCCGGTCAAAATAGACTAAAAAATAGTGGTAATTTTACAATAATTCGCATAGAGAAAGGTCTTTGGTACACTATTACGAGGGTGGTCTGAAAAGTTTCCGACCTCAACATGAAGATGGCAGCACTCGTAAATAAAAGCTAGTGAATTTCGTTGTTCATCTGTTGACAGTTACTCATCAAAGTTTCAGCCATTTTGGACGCACAGTTGTTATGTAACAGTCGTTTGAGTGAGTTGATGTGAGTGTTTTTATGAGAATGAACAAAATCGACGAGTATCGAGCTGTCATTAAATATTTGTTTTTGAAAGGTAATACGCCTACGCAAACCAAAGATAAGTTGGATTCTGTGTATGGGGACTCTGCACCATCATTTACCACAGCGAAATTTTGGGCAGCTGAATTTCAACGTGGCCGTAAGAGCGTGACGTCCAAAAACTGCAACTACCGACGAAAACATCGCCAAAGTTCACCAAATGGTGCTAGACGACCGCCGAATTAAAGTGAGAGAGATAGCAGAGGTTATGAACATGTCAAAAGAACGTGTTTGTCACAAATTAAATCAACATTTAAAGATGAGAAACATTGGGTGCCGCGTTTGCTCACGTTAAACCAAAAACGTGTTCGAATGAACATTTCCAATGCTCTGTTGGCGCAGTTTAGGCGCAATAAATCCGAGATTTGACGCCGATTAATTACTGTAGATGAAACTTGGATACACCATTATACGCCTGAAACAAAAATACAGTCCAAACAGTGAACTGCAAAGGGGGAACCGGCTCCAAAAAAAGCAAAAACTGTTTTTTCGGCTGGGAAAGTGATGGCGACTGTTTTTTGGGATAGTCATGGAGTTATTTTAATCGATTATCTTCAAAAAGGAAAAACAATTACAGGAGCATACTACGCATCATTACTTGACAAGCTGAAGGCAGAACTTGCGGAAAAACGGCCAGATTTGCAGAAAAGGAAAATCCTGTTTCACCAAGACAACGCACCGTTTCACACCTCAGCGGTTGCCATGGCGAAAATCCACCAATTACGGTTTGAACTGCTTGACCATCCGCCTTACTCACCAGATTTAGCCCCCAGCGACTTTTTTTTGTTCCCTCATCTAAAAATTGCGCTCGGAGGACAGAGATTTTCGTCAAATGAAGAGGCAATCACCTTCGTGAACAATTATTTTGCAGAGAAAAACACCGCGTACTATTTGGAGGGGTTACAGACATCGCTGGGAGAAGTGTGTAGAGTTACAAGGACACTATGTTGAAAAAAAAAATAAATTCTGAAAAAATGTATATTATCTTTGTTATGTCGGAAACTCTTCAGACCACCGTCGTATAAGTAAAATGTCAAAAGTCCCCACCAATCCCATGCGTGCTAAAAAATTTATTCAAGGTCAAAGGTCGCAAATATCGGTTTTTTGCATTAACCCAGCTACCATCTGTGAAAGTTTATTATAGAGTTTATAGAACACCCTGTATATGTTTTAAAACTGACATATATTCCGACCTTTGGAAAGCATGTCGTGGTCTCACCAATTTTAAAAACTAATGTTTAAGCCTAACGTTGAAAACTGTCGTCCCATAACAATAATTTCCAACTTTGCCAAGGTTTATTTTAAATACCTATCTTTACAGAATTCAATTTATGATAAAGTTAGAAATTGTATTAACAAAGCTCAGCATGGTTTTGTTAGTGGAAAGTCGACAGTCACAAGACAAGTTGACGTAATTGATACTGATTTTTCTAAAGCCTCTGACAGGCTTGACCACCGTATTCTACTAAATAAACTTAACATGATTTTCACCTCATTATAAATAATATCTTTGCTTCATATCTTAACGATAGGTGTTTATATGTAGACTACTGTGGTTTCATGTCTGTTAAATTTGATGAAACATCTGGTGTTTCTCAAGGTTGAGTCTAGGACCCCTAGCTCTTTAATTTATTTATTAATGACATTGTTACCAATGTTAATGTGAACTGTCTACTCTATGCCAACGTCACGAAATTGTTGCGGGTGATGATAAATAATAATAATTAATGTATAACATTACAAAACGGTTTGGAAGCAGTCAATGCATGATGTGATCTAAATAAGTAGTTGTTGAATGTTTCTAAATGTTATACATTGTATTATTCGATGAAAACACTTTTCATTCATAATCTGTATGGAGAAGTCTTGCATAGAGTCAATGATATTGTTGATTTGGACAATGGCACACACATAGTGTCCATATGAGTTTGCAGGTAACACTATTCACAATGGGTCAATCAGCAGATCGGTATTAAATTTTAAAGAAGGGTTCAAAAACAGGAAAGCCAACTTATCGTGTTCTCTTACTGCAAAATGCTCTCAGGATACCATTATGTGAACTATAAATTGATTTGTTAGAGATGTTGGTTGTATTTTGTAACTTACAGAATTTTTCACTCAAATATGTCTCTGATCGTAAAATTCCACAAACTCATAAAAAATAGAACAGTATTGTGTCAAGTACGTCAAGAAAACTTCAAAATTAATTTTTGAATTCATCCTGGAAAGACATGTTTTCAAATTCATACCAAAGCGGATTTCTGTCGATATTCTACAGCGTCGGAAGTAATCCATTAGCTCTTTGGGATAAACATGTAAGTCCATTTACAAAATTGTAATTTTAAAAACATAGTACAGCCTGGTAGGTACTTATTTTTATTAGTTCAGATTTTTTTCTCCGCAAAAGAAAGGTATAAAGGAATATGTGTGCTAAATTAATTTTTTGTTCCATTCTTATTGGTTGTACAAGGTGAAAAATGGACATATTCGGAGGGTTGTAGACGATGATGTCAAATCTCTCGTTCTTGAAATAGCTGGAACTAATGTAGCTACCACGTATATCACTTGTCCCATACAAGCCAGGGCATCTCTGGGGGTGCAACTGCCCTTTTTGGTGATGGTCATCAAGAACATGAAGAGATATTTCACATTTGAGATACAGATATTAGGTAAGAAAAGAAAAGAAAATATTTAGATTATTTTCGGCAATCGCTTTAAGAATTGTACACCATCTTTGATAGTATTCAATCCAAATTTTTGAAGAAACCATAGAGGGATTTTTAAGAACTCAGCATTGTTTTAAAGGTAAGTTAGTCCATGTAAAAGGTACAAGTTCAGTAAGTAATTTTCTTTGTATCCTAAATCCCAATTTCCAATGTTTGGACCTGCTGTGAAATATTATTTGGTAGTAGCCAGGTGAAAGATTGAGAAAGAATGTAAAAGCCTTCTTGGACTGAAAAGATACGGAGGATTGAAGTCTTCAAGCACAGCTGAAGACTATGTACTTGCGATTATAAAAAGAAAATTTAAGAGAACTTATCCCTATTATTAAATTCTGTTTAGAATTTTATATTTCAATTTTGTTTAGTCCACAGAAGTTTCTAAAGTTTGAGGTTTTTATTTGACTGTTTTTCTTGCTCTTACAAACAGTAGTCGATGCCCTTCATTCATAATTTCTTCCCATACAGATGATAAAGATATGCGTCGCAGATTTCGAGTGTCCAATTTTCAATCTTCAACTAAAGTCCTGCCATTTTGCACCACCATGCCAATAGGCCTCAGTGACGGTTGGAACCAAGTGCAATTCAATTTGGCTGACTTTACAAAGAGAGCTTATGGTGAGAAATATTTGTTTATTTGACGATAAATATTTAATTTATTAAACGAATTTTTTTCTGAGAACCTCTCGATTAATAAATTTTTCAGTTTAAGTTGTCTTACAACAGCACTTTTTTTTTGTACAATGTTTTTAAGGATGAAGGCAAAAAAGATACCTGGTTCTATTTTTCTTAAAGACTAACAATTTAAGTACCTTGTATACAAAAACGTTTTACCTTAATTTACTTTGCAAATAAATTATTTATATTTACCCAATTATGTATCTAATCTACATAGCTAACGTAGAAGACTTAATATTTTCGAACATTTCTTTGCAAAATGTAAAACGCGACGCGTATACTTTTCATAATTTAAAAATTAACAAAAATTTATAGACCTTGAATGGTTTTTGATAGGGTCTACTTATATGGAAACCACTAGAGTACAAATTCACGCCAACGTCCGCATCCGCAGAATATACTTTTCGGACAGGCTCTATAGCGAGGAGGACATGCCGAATGAATTTAAACTCTTCGCTCCAGGTGCCAAGCAGAAAGAACCTCCAGAGAAGAAGAAAGAATCCATTGCTAAACCCAAGGAGGGTAAGTACATATAGCAAACCCAGCCGTCATTTTATCACTCACAGTAATTTCTTGGCAGTAGAAGAACCTATGAGGAAGTCAGTTGAGAAGGTTCCGGACGAAGTTCCTCCAATACCGACGACGCCGATGGAGGATGATAAGACGAAAGCACTGCCGGACATCGCTGCCCCCAGCCCAGTAGATACGGGGGCGCTGAACACTTCGGAGGTGGATATGAAACCGGAAGAGGCGGAAACTGTGGAAGCACCCCCAGAGGAAAAAGAGGCCGTTGAAGCCGCCGAAGTTCCAGAAGAGAGTGCGGAAGTGACTGCGCCCGAAGAAGGCACGGAAAGTCCTGTTCCTGAAGAAGGCGGAGAAGCCCCTGCGAGTGGTAAGGAAACAAAAATATTATGTAGTTCTGTATTATCACAGCGGTGGCGGATACCTCCACACTTGACCCAACTTCGTTTTTATTAGCTCCAACAGAAGAAACAACTGAGCAAGCGCCGACGGAGGCTACTGAAGAACCCGCTGCTACTACCTCAGAACTGGCCACCACAGAGGAACCTGAGCCAACCACAACGGAGGAACCAGCATCCACAGAAGTAGCCACCACTGAGGAACCAGGAACCACAGAGGCACCTACAGAGTCAGAAGTTGGTTCTCCTGAGAAATAGACATGTCATAGATGATTATTGAATGTTTTGTAATTCTTAGAAATCATTAACATGGATATAATTTAAAGTAACTTATTTGCAAATTGTCTGGATTTTACTTTATATTTAATATTTACAATAATAAATACACTTTGGTTTAGTTTAGAAATTATGCTATTGATAGAAGATTCTCGATTTTATATTTCGGAACATAAAGATCCATCTGTCGGTTGTTTCAATATCTAATTGATAATACGTTCCTGTTTATAATTCGAAAACAACATGAGAACAACTTATCCAGTCTTATCACCTGCGAGGTAAATTTTTGAACGCACTTTCTCTGTCGGGCCATCTGCTATGTAGATGTCAAAATTACAGAATGTTTCATTGTTGCGACATCTATGAGCGTATGACATAGTGAAAATATACAGAACTCAAACTCAGTCAATTCCGGTCAGGGTTGTCCAAAATTACCATAAAAAATACTGGATCTTCGGGATGTTGGACGTACATTCTAGAAAGTATACAATATTGTTCATTGTGATTATCCAGTTTTAAAAAATATATAATTTTAATAAATTAGCCAATGCATAAGAATTTACTATTCCTATAAAGTTACTTTAAACTGTTAAAGTTAAAAAATAAACATGTTATAAGATTAATCTTGTAAAACACGAATAATTTTATTTCTGATTTTATTATCTAAAAACTGTCTTATTAAAAATGCATAAAATTCTGAATGTAGTTTTGTCTTATTTTGTTTTAAAAATAGGTGGGCTGTTAAGTAGGCTACCTTTACCAATCAAATTTAGGTCACTGCTGAAATACTAGAATATTATATTTTATAAAAAAAATTGAAATATATACAAAATGATTCCATCGAAGTCTTTTAGTATTTTTAGCGATTAATTTCCTATCCATATTTATCACAGTTCATATTATCTTATACAAAATATAACAGTAACACTACACTGTTTAAATAGCCAGTATTTTGCCGCCATACTATGTTGAAGAATAGGATTAATAGGAATAATAGGAGTATTTTCGTACCTAAAGTAGTGTGCAAAATCCCTGACTGTCTGAATTTTTACAATATTGTGGTAGGATAACTAAATCCAAAAAAGAACCATAAAAAATGGAATCGAACAAAGTTGAGTGAATTCATCGAAAAAAGTGTCTTTTTGTTGATCAAGCATTCTTCTGTCCAACGTTTCTGTCAGTGGGTTATTTAGCATCATAATTTTGATAATAGTATTGCCAATTTAGGGTTTAATATAATGTAATTTAACTCAAAATGTCTCATCATACAAAATTCTGCTTTAATTGATGTGTGCGCCTTCTGTTATGGTTTTGAATGCATTTGATGTAAGTAAATATAGGTTATGTCACAATTTTTTTAAAGTAAACCAGCTTTATTTTCCAGAAATTTTTACTGTAGTATCAATGTAGTCTGGAAATGGTGTGTAAGGAGGAGGTTTTATTCTGGTTTAAGGACTTGGATGGTTATAAAAGGATAGATGTGTTATATGAGTTACTAAATATGTGTTTACCTTTTGAGTTGCGTTTCATAGGTTCTTGCATAGAAGAACTAGGGAAGCATACTTATCAAGAATTGCGGGGACCTACTCTCACAGCAAATGATTTAGAAAAACTTTCTAAAGATGTGTCGTTTAATCAGGGTATTTTAGATGAAAATGTTCGACATCGAGTGTTGGTGTATATATCGTTACTATCATCTAGGAACTATAGTGTAGCAAATTGGTTGTATAAAAAGGTATTAAGGACAGACCATATTGAAGATTATTTAGTGAAAGAGAGGGGTAAAGATGAAGTACTCCATAGTGAATTTTTATTATTGTATACGATGGCTTTACACCATCCCGCATTTACATTTGACCAAAAACAATTTTTTAGTAAAGTATTGGCACATTTAATTGATTTTAGGGAAAATCGTGTTTCTGCCAAACACTGTGCACTCGGGTATCCGCCTGGATTTGGATATCCAACCCAGAAGGTAAATATATCTTACTTTAATTATATCATACAAATATCTGATGGAATGATAGTGAATTTTATATTGTTTTTTTTTTTTAATTTAAACATATTCCATTTCCCTACAGTGAAACAACTATATTTCAGACAATTGATTTACAATCTTGTATATATAATATCTTGAGTCGTGCCTACTACATTTTCTAAAATTAGGTTCAAAAATAGGTAAAACATTAACAAAATTTTTAAGAAAATTTCTCAAATTATTTGCTGCAGCTACATAAATACTATTTATAAATTTATCTGGTAATAAGAAAGAGAGTACCATGCGGATAAATTAATTTATTTCTGAACTTTTATCTTTGTCACGTTCTTTCTATGATCTATCTAAATTACAGATCGATCTTTATTAGCTATATTATATTCACATGAGATTGTTTATGCAAGTGCATAAATATACAGTTTTTGCAATGTCAATTAGTTCATATCACACGACCTTCAACAACTTTAAAAATAACATAAAATGTAAGGAAATAAAATACAATGTTGGTAATATTAGGGGAATTACAGTCCTGAGTTTTATATTTATTTAAAGTATTGAAGTTCATCTCTTCTTTCTAATAATCAAGGTGACGTATATGATTATTATATGCTATACATATTATCTTCGACTATTATAGGTAGTTGCAGCATTTGGAAAAGTTGCCCATATACTCTCAATTGAAATTATAGTTTATATTATAAATTAAGAACATATATGTACATTGGGTCAAAAAATTCCAAATCGTATGATTTTATGAATATTTAAAAAATGTGGACGTACATACATATATGCATATAATCTAGAATATTAAAAAAAAATAATTGTTTGTTATAGTCCATCGGAGTTAGATTCTAATGTACTGTTTTGCAGAATGCAATAAATTTACTAAGTACCTATTTAATTCCCTGTGTAAAGTTTCTTAGAAATTTTAGGTGTTAATTAAATTTCATTAAAAAAAATGTATTAATTACGTTGGTACTTTAATAATTGGAAATGATTAAAACTTTTCTGATCAGTAATTAGTGTCACGCTTGATTTGCAATTTTGAGAAAGCTAACAAAAAATGCAGATTATTAACATTTATGTGTTAAGGTGAACTTTTTAACAGTATTTGTATTATATTTATAAATTTTGTTAAAGGAATTGTATTATTATTCTCAAATAATGATCATAAATTTATTTTTTTTTTTGATGTTAGCCCCCCATCTCATTAAAAAGCTAAACACAATTTTTATTAATTTTGTTTCCGTATAGTATTGAATGCATTGTTTGATAAAAAAATCAAATTTTTGCTAGCACCTGATATATTATCAGTTTTTAATCTCGTAAGTTGTTTGAATATTTTTATGATAGGAAAATATTTGTAATTTATATAAAATCTCAGGTTTATCACGTAATTGTTATCTAATACGTAAATACCAAACAAACGGAGGCATAATAACTTGATAAAACATGTGCCGATGCAGTTAGGATTTTTTTTTTCTGTTCTGTACTAATTAAATAGTAAATGTTTTTGTGACACAAAAAAAGCTATTAAAATTTCTGTCATAGATCTTTAGAAAAAATCGATTAAACCTTCAGTTAATCACCATTGTTGCTAAGTTAAAATATAATCCACAACAAGTTTTATTATATTCAGTCTTTTTTTTATTAATTAGAAAACTACTTAGTTTAAAATTTTATTTTAACAGATCCATGACATACCAACGATACCGGTAAAGGTCGCTCCGACGTCATGTGGTGACACGCCCGCTACCTTTCAGCATCCACCCGGTCTCACACATTTACCACCCCCGCCCCATATAGACTTTATCACTCCTATGTGGAGCAGGCCGGGATTTCCATACGGTGCTCCAGAGGTAATAGCGCGATATTGTCCTTGTTTTTTTTAATGTTCAATACAAGGTGCAACTTTATGTGGGTGTTAGTTTTTAAGGGGTAATAGTACATGTTTACCTGAATACGAATATGAATTTTTTTTTTTTCAAATAAATAGTCGAGTTCTATGTAATTAGTTTTTTAAAATGCTCTTTACTTCTTATATACGCCGCCACTGATACTTATGTATTTATAACAAGATTGTTGGCAACTACAGTGCACGTGGAGGGAGATAGTGCGGGACAATGGTGACGAAGCAAAAGGGGTCAGTTGTTCCGCATTTGAGTCTGGTACATCTAACTATGAATTTGAATGTTTTGCATCATTATTATATTCTAAACTCCATATCCTGAGGCCACATAAAACAACAAATTCAGAGAAGTGTTATAAAATCATATGAGTAAACAGACTATTTATTTTTGTGTATTTCATTTATCAAAAGCCTCTGTATAAATATGACCCCCACTCAACGTTACACCCTGTATATTCCAAAGATCCAATGAATTACAATTTTTTTTTGTTGTATAAGTTTTATAATTTCCGATGACAGTTTAGCTCTAAGTTACTATTTTGTGATAATTTCTATGACTGAAATTTAAGGAATTTTTAGTGAATCAAAAAATTATTTTCTTATCGTCTACTGTTATGATCAGCATATCATCATTGCGCCTTCAAAATGCGCCATGTGTATTTTATCAACTTGTTCGGAGGAGTTAAAAAACTGTTTCTTGGACCTTTTTATTTAAGAATTACACCAATTATTTTTAATTTTACCGCGGACAGTCACAATTCTGTAGAAAATAATACGACTGTTTTTAGCCAGATTATGCGGTCTTTTAAAATATATAAAGCGCAATTATTACTACTACATTTAAAATTTAGTGAACAACTGTGATTAAATAATTTAGTAATTAAAGCAGTAATATAATGAATCGAATTTAGAGCTTTGTCCTGAAAGATTAACTGGTTTAGATTGAGATACAGATTTATCAGTTTATTTCATTTTATAAAACTATTTCGTGACCTCAATTAGCCTACTTAAAAATTTAAAATATTTATCAGTTGTTCAGTTGACAAATTATCTATTGCTTGAAATTAGTATTTATATTTTTTCTCTGAATAGAGTTTAATTGATGTTGGGTTACTATTAAAATTGGAATAAATAAACTTACTTTTTTTTTGTTCCACAGTGTATTTTTGCCACACTGAAAAGATTTTTTAATTTTAAATATTTAAATTTTTTTGCAGTGGCAAAAATACCGAATTAAACAATAAATATATAAATTTATTATAAATACTACCATAAAATCAGCAATTAGGTAACATAATTATTATAAAAATATGAAATTTTCAGAAAATTATGTCTATTACGAAATCAAATTATTAATTGAAATTGAAATATCATTTATCTAATCATACAAGTTTGTTTTAGTAAAATTAATTGTGAAACTGAAAAGTTTATATTCTGGGTGGCTTGATCACCACAGGGATCTCATAAACAATAAAAGATACAAAATTTAAATCATAAATAAGTTGCATGACATCAGCGGCTTTTGAAAGATGGCTTTAATTTTCTTAGAGCTTTCATATATTACTATAGTAGGATCATATTCGATACAAAGTAATAAATCATTATCTGTCAAGGGATCCAGTGCAGTACGGTTTTAAGGGGTTTAGAAATTGAATAATTTCTTTATGCACTATGAAGGGAAAAATCCCTTTATTCTCATAAACTATTTATTCTAAACGTAATTGATTATAAATCCAATTTGTTTTTTAAATTTTACATTTTATCTCCGTACGCGCCACTGTTATTTACTTGTTTTTTGAAGGCGGTCTCTGATTTTCGTCCAAGCTCGCCAGGTTAGTATTTGACGTATAACCGACCACTTCATACACTCTATGCACCTGGGCGACTACAGCTACTACCAGAACACAGTATATATGAAGCGGTATTTCATGTTAAATTTCAGATGGTTCATCTTACGCTTCCTAAAACTGATAACACGATTTTCCTTTGATAAAAACCAACAATTTTTTGCTCTACTTTGCATCAAATAAGATCCTACTATAGATAAGTGGAATTTTATAGACACCAATTTTCTTCTTTTTTAATAACTATAATTATGTAGAATAGAAGTTTGAAAACTTCAAGTATTATGTAAACCAAAATAAGGAAAAAGAATCTTATCAAGGAATGTCCAGTAATGCTTCAAATTATAGATGAAACTGTTCGAAAATAAAAAAAGCTAATTTTTTAAATAATTATCTCTGAAGATGCTCGATGCAGAGGGGTAAAACTGAAGCTCACAATATACATATAATTAATGTTAAAAATCCACTAAATTCATATACAGGGTCGGAAAGTCCCCATGGTTCATCGGCTGTTACGTGAGAGCGATAAAGTAAGTCACAGAAATCCGTGCGATAGAGAAAGATGGCTATAATGAAGGCGTCTAATAGTCACCGCCCATTTCGTCCTTCCACAAATAAGAAGTGGATCTTATTTGTGGAAGGGCGAAATGGGCGGTGACTATTAGACGCTTTCATTATAGCCATCTTTCTCTATCGCACGGATTTCTATGACTTTCTTTATCGCTCTCACGTAACGGCCCTTGAACCATGGGGACTCTCCGACCCTGTATACCTAATTAATCAATTGGTGGAAGAGATATTTTGGAAGTTTGCTCACTACTTTTAATTATTTTAATTTTATTTGAAAAACAAGCCATGTACAAAGTAATACGAGCATTATATATAAATAAACTATTCAGGAAAAATTAGTGTCTCACTAAGCAAAAAAAGTGTTTAACTGATAATCGTTGGTTAAACTGTTTACTAGTAATTATATTTTAAATGTGTTTTGTACATTACTACAGATAGTAGGGAATAGCTAATGATTTTTCTAGAAATGCGATTTTAATTGAAATATAAATGTAATTCATGTAAAACCGGAAAAGATCATTGGCCTAGGAAAATGTAAAATGTGTAAATCAATGACTATTTTGACATTTTCAGTGTTTTGCAATTATAATCCCACTTCTAGTAAAAAAAAATAAAAAATTCTGTAAGCTTTTTCTATAAAACAAGCTCTTCTATAATTATTTTATATTCACTGAAGTACCTAATAACAATAATGTAAGATAAAACAAGTTATAAATTGAAATCGATTGTTGAAAAAAAAATCTTTAAAACCACCAGAAATTAAAAATAGTGATCTAATTTTCAAAATATATAGTGGCATCAAATTTCATTGATACTTGGTGTTAATGACTCCCCATGTATGTCACTGGTTGATATGTATGTTCGGAAAAATTTTTCAGTTAAACATATCAGTAGTCTGCCTCAAGCGTCTTCAAGAGATATTTTTGAAAACGTGAAATATTTTTCAAAGAACCCCGTACAAAACATATGGAAATTGAACACCAATCAATTTTTATGAAACTTCGTATTTTGATAGTCCTCGTCATGCTGATCAAAAGTCTCAATCGGCACGAAGCTCTACATCCCCTTCCAACCCCCCAAAATCAGGGTAATGAACTTGATAGATTACAGGTCAATTGGCTGACCGGAATATTTCACTACTGTAGTCGAACCTACAGACACCTGTACCATAACTAGGCTTAAGACTATCAATGGGCACCGAGCCCTGCAACCCCCACCAACCCCCCAAAGGTCAGGGGGATGCACTTGACAGATTATCGGTCAATAAAACTACCGAAATATTTTACTGTTGTAGTGGAACATGCAGCCACCCAAACTGTAACTAGGTTTAAGACTACTATCTCCAAAACACTTAATCCTCCATCCCTCTCCCTCCCCACTAACTACCAAAGCCTGTCATGTGACTTTTCCCTACTTACTGGTTGAGTAACTACTTAATTGTGAATTCCATCTCACAGCCACCTAAACAATCATTACTCTATATTCTCCAACGTCGACCCCCGACAATTGAACCACCCACCACCAACCCAAATCCCACGGTTGGGGTCGGACCAACCCCAGTTCTTATCGAAGCCTGACATGACTTATCCCTGCTTACGGCTTATGAAACCGTTCAATCTTGAATTCCATCTTACACCCATCTTATTGTTTAATACAGCCTTTTAATAATATATTATATATTTAATAACCCACAAGAAGTATCAAAACCTGACATAAGATTTTTTGCTGTTTGTGGGATGTGAATCCCTGGCTGTAGGTTCGACTGCAGCAGTAAAATATTTCAGTAGATTCATTGACCGATAATCTGTTAAGTGCATCCTGCTGACATTTGGGGGTGGCTTTGGGGTGTTGGTGGGGGTTGCAGGGCTCGGTACCCATTGATAGTCTTAAGCCAAGTTATGGCATAGGTGTCTGTAGATTCGACTACAATAGTGAAATATTACGGTAAGCCAATTGACCTGTAATCTGTCAAGTTCATTATCCTGATCTTTGGGGGTGATTTTGTGGTGTTGGAAAGGGTTGTAGGGCTTCGTGCCCATTGAGACATTTAATCAGCATCACGAGGACTATCAAAATACGAAGTTTCATAAAAATTGACTGGTATTCAATTTCCATGTTTTGTGCGGGGTTCTTTGTATCTCTAAATGAAGCTCTACATTCCTTCATCGGACTTTTTTTTCTTATTTTGACTACTTGAATTAAAATTTTAAGTTTGTCCAATTAATCTGTAAACATCTTGTATAAGAAATTTGAAGGGGTCATTCAAAAACGTGTGGCGTTGCACAGCTGTTTTGTTATTTAAAAGTGCTATTCGTACAAAAGAGTATTTTCTACAAACACAAAATATTTTAAACAGTTAATAGCTGAACTGTTTAAGACTTATTGAATAACAGTAACTATGTAAAATGCTCCATCTACGGCGCGGTTTAACGGACTGCAATATATTGCATCATTGCCGTCTTTTATTTATTGAATTATTGCAATCGCTATACACATTATATTGCTCTTTCAATCATATATTTTCTATTTATATTGTGCAACTAATTGCTGACAAATGTAATAAATTGTTGCCAGAAACGATTACATACAGTCGACAAGTTGATTTTAGATATATATATTGCTCATCACCTTCAATAAACCGTACCATGGATGGGCCCTTTTGTGATACCTGACTAATGCACAACGATAAAAAAAAATGGACTAGACACTTTTTTCATCATAATGAAATACATGTATAGACCGAACTTAGGTGAGAATTGTAACCGTTTTCCTTATTACCGGTTTTAGAAATGGCAATATAATTATTGTAGAATTTTACATTTTTTCTGTAACTTTAATGGCATTTAAAATTTATAGCACTGAAATTACGTCGATTTTCCTCCATTTTCCTTAACTTATATGCTCAGTTTAATTAACTTATATCTTTTACGTTTCCGCAATCCTCCTGGGGGAATTCTTCACTGAATCAGGCTGTATAGCTATTTTTGTATAAAAATAATTTAATTCTACTAGTTGCGACTTACTAATTTGCAGGTGCCACCTTTCCCACCTCCTTCCATATCACCGTTAGTTAGTCAAGCAACTTCACCTAATCAGAGCAGAAGTACCTCGCCGCACAGATCCCAGATGAGTATAAGACCGCCGCCACCTCCGCAGGTGTTGCAGCCGCCGCTGGCAGGGCCACCACCTAACGTTCCGATGAACGGCCCACCGCCACCTCTGGATATAATGCCAGTCTCTGTGCATCCGCAGCCATCACTAGATCAGCTCTCTCAAACTAATCTGCCTGTGTATAGTAACCCCGACTTAAAGTTGGCCGAGGACGACTTAGCAAAGGTATTTAGTTTAGAAGTATTTGGCTTGCGAGTCGGGTGAGGTATGTTTTTCAGTTCGTAGGAAGTTTTAGTGAAGGTAGCTACAGTAGGACTTCTTGTATTTAATACTCAAGGGTCAATCGGTTGCTGATAAATGAAAGAGCTAGTTAATTTTACTAATTAAACATTTATTTTTTTTTAATTTTAATTTTAATATACAAAAACTACAACGGTATTAAAAATAACTTAGGTATTTTGACTTTTAAAAATAAAAAAAATGATACACTAAAGAGTATGTCTAAAATATAAATACAGCAAAAAAAAACAGGTACATTTTCTTTCCCAGATATGTTTTTTCCCCATTAGCTCCTAAAATTTAATATGCCTTAAACAAGGTATGCTTTTTTTCTAAACTTCTTAAAATTTATTTATTTCAGTGTAGTAGAGTTGTTTCAAAATCTTATGAGCTTTGACCTTCATATGCGCAGAAACATAATTCCGACTGTCGCCTAAATTATTCTACGTCCTAAAAACATTACATCCATTATTCTCAGTCTATCTCGAGCTCTCGTAGCGTAAACAAGCCTTATCCGATTACAAATATCATAATAAAATGCCCTATTCTTTATTATTTTAATTTAAACAATAAAAATATATAACAAGCGTTCAAATAAAAACGTGGTCGAAGTTGGCTCTGACACATTGGACGTAGGGAGTAACTTATAGCGACCAACTTAACCTCATTTCTCAACGAGCTGTATAGCTGCTGTCAGTTTCAATAACGTTAATGACTATATAACTTTATTTTAAAGAATAATCGTGATAACAATAACAAACAATTAAAGGAGCTGCGGAAAGTGTCCCCCTCCTTGTTCCAAGCACTTTTCACACCTGTTCCTCAAAGAATTAAAGACATTTTCTAAGATGCTCGGGGTATTGTTAATTTCACGAATCTTGTCTATAAGTCGAGCCTGCAGATGGTTTAAATCAGGAAAAGACAGTTCAAAAATAGTGTTTTTAAGGTAAGGCCACAAAAAGAAATCTCACGGCGTAATATCACATGACCTCGGTGGAAATTCATGTTCAGCATTGAGACTTATTAGTCGATTTTGGAAAACTTCCCTCAACATATTCATTGTCTCGCCTGCCGTATGTGCCCTTGCGCCATCTTGTTGAAAGTAAAAGTTTGTAATTTGTAATAAAACACGTACAGAAGTTCTTGGCGCATTTTCCATTATTTGTTGGACATTTTCTTTTAATTCTTCAGTCCGCTTTTTAGGTCGGCCGCTTCCTTCTTTTCTTGTTACACTGCCCGTTTCACGAAAAACATTAACACAATGCTGAACTGCACTTTGAAAAATTTTGTACTCAACAACGCCGGGAAATTGATTTTGAAATTCTATGAAACATTCCTCAGTAGAATACTTCCATATTCCATCAATCTTGCGTCCATTTCTAAAGTAGGACTCTATGATAAACACTTTTTGTTCTTGAGAAAACACCATTTTAAACGCTTTTTAAAACGAAAATATTCAAATTGATAGCGGCGATATAGCGTTTTGACAGATGACGTTTAAGTCCCTACGTCCAAATTTTCAGAACCAACTTGACCATGTTTTTATTTGAACGCTCGTTATAACGAACGTCCGCCAGTTGACTTTATTGAGGCCCGAGCGCCTTAGTTCATTTCTGGTTGTAATGAGGCACGTGGTCTAATTCTGAGTCAATGTTTTCCACAAAGTGCTTTTTAGAAGAATTATGTGGATACGCCATGCCTTTCGCGCATTTCGCGGCTTATGAGATTTTGAAACTACTCTACCATATTTTAGCAATGTCCTGTACATATACAGAGTCTTCATAAATGATTATAAGCCAAGTGATCAGTAATTTTCTTTGGAACAGTAATTTTATTTCCTTCGTGTTGTTAAAAATTATTAATACAGTAGGATCAAGATTAATTAAAACATAATATTCTGTGTCACCAGCTGTGATTGGTGTGATTTTTCACGAGATTTTATTCAACCAATCAGCATTATCTTGAGCGTAGACATAACGGTTTGTCATTGTTCATTGTAAACGAATCATTAATATTGGTGATGCCAAGATTTAGGGATTTTTCTTTACCAGTACCTGTCGTGCTTGGCGGTCACATGGCTTGTAATTATTTATTAAGGCTGTTGAGACCATAAGATTATTGAATTCTATTTCACCATTATGATAGTGTTAAAAAAAGAAAGTAACAATTTTCTTTTTTCCGTGGTAATTAGAAAACCAAAATAACATGAATTTCTCAGTTGAAATTCTGAATTTAATGAGGGAATTATGAATTTAAAGTTAGAATTAGTTTTTTAAATAATTAATTAGTGTGGTTACCTTTGTAAAAAAGATCTCAATTTGGCACTAAATGAAAATATTTTTGAAACATAAATATACTTGATCATGAAGCATATTTTGTACAAATAGTTATTCTGAATTTCCATTTCGAAATTTCTTGTTTTTCATATTTTAGTAGTCTTTTAAAATACAAATTTGTTGCTACAATTTTTTAAGACTGCCAAATATTTAAAAGTATATTTCACGAATGACTGGCATTTTATTAGAATCGGTTTAAACAAGGGTTATAGGTGATAGCACCATCTAGTCAAGTGCCATTTAAACATTTAGTCTAGAATTGACGCAGGATCTTTACAAAGAATGCCTATTTATTGCCATTTTTTGTCAGTTTCTCAATTCCACTTTAGAATCGTTAAAATGAAGTATTTTCCTCAAAGGCCGAGCCTGACAATATAATAGAAAACATGAAAAATCTCGGATAATTCGGTGTATTGAAAAATAGATGGTTTGTTGAATGAGGTTCTACTGTAGATACTAATCTACGAACGCATTTCCTTGTAATAGACGAATATGTTTTTTTCCATAAATGTAGGAAAAGCTGTTTTAGAAATTTTAAGAAAATTAATTTTAAAAATGTGGCACAATTTTTTATACTGCTCTGTGATCCATTTAAGATGGAAATATCCTTAAAAAAAAGTATTTCTGTCCTGATTTGTTTCGATTTATTACTTTTTTTTTTTCTTGAAAATAGCAGCTTATAAAACGTTTGAATTAATATTTAATTATTATCAAAGCCCACTTATTATTATTTTTTTCTCTGTCAAATTTACAAAATTTATTAGCCATTTTTTAAATTTAAACTCGGACTTCGCTGTTATTGAACTCAGAATTATGTAGAAAGAGTTTGCAGAAAGTCTAGTCGATATTATTTTGCTAATGCCAAAATTAATATTAATAATTCAATTTAAATAATGATTGTTAAAATGTTTCCAATCCAACCTCTAAAGTTGACTCTTTTAATTTCTAATTTTCTAATTTCTACGTTAAGTAAACGAACTATTATATTAATATTACTTTCGACAATTAAGAGATGTTTTAGGAAATATTTGGGTATAAGTTATGAAGGGCATAATTTAATAATTATTGGAATGCTTGGTTGATTTAAGAATAATTGATATAATATTAATTTTGTCAATAATATTAATATTTTTTTATTAAACTGGAAACAAACTCTTTTTTGAGGATGTAGATTCCAGTGCTGTTGTTGTGAAAATAGTGCAGCAACCCCCAATACTCAGATCTTGTGAACCATTGTGCACGCTGCCAGTAAGAGTTTAAAATAAGCCTATGCTATGAGCGAAAGCAAGCACCAGCTTTGCTTCCTCGTATTTGTGTCTTTTCATCATTCAACAAATGGAGTGACAGAGGATCTGTATAGAGCCCTCGTCTTTATAATTGTACATTGTTTTTTTTTTTATCGAGTTAATGAATCTTTTTAAATAACATTGTATAACCGTCACTGTTGGATCTGGATCTGTAACCCAAGTCATTTCATACCATCTTCATACCATCATTTCGGTTTACAAAGACAGGGCATTGACACATCCCAAGATGGTGCAGAATGGGATCCTGTGGAACAAAAGTGCTTGTAACCTCGTTTAATTGTTTGTGCATGTGCACTTGTAGAAACAGTCAGGTTTTATCGTTCAAATTTATCTCCAAAAAACTATGCAAATGTCGTGAGAAATAGCTTTTTATTGGGAAGTTTCCATCTTGAGTGGGTAACACTGTACGATAGAATGATAATTCGCATTAATAATGCTCGGTCAAAGTCCTTTGTGGAAATACTAGATTTGAATGTGTTTTAATCCCTCTCACTTTGCAGTTAAGCTCAATAGTGGAAGAGAAGCATCTAATGTGGCCCCAACAGGCTCCTCCGCTGAACGAAGTGAAGTCGAACGGCATTAGATTTCCCCATTTTCTAGGGAACGTTAAACCCTTCCTCGTTGAACAAATGCAAGCCCTAAACCTGGAAGGCGAGAACTCCCTTCACCAATCCAACTCGTCCAGCAATAGCAGCCCGAACGGGACGCCCCCCAGCACACCCCTTAGCACGCCGGCTTCCACGCCGCACGGGCCGGGCAGGGGCGACAAGTCCAGGGTGAACGGAATGCCGCAGTTCGGAGTGAGCTCGGGGCCACCCCTCCACAACACCACGCCGCCGCCCCCACCAACGTTCAGCAACAGCTCGGTGCCTTACAGTTTTCCCCAGTTCACGGCCCTTCCCCCGAACAGGTCAATGTTCCATTACACCCAGGCTTTCAGACCTACTTTCACTCCCCCCTACCCCAATTACCCGACTGACAACTCCTTCCCCACCTACACTTATCCTTATATGTCCCTTATAATTTCCAGCCACTACCAGCCACGGACTCCTCCCGGTTGCTACAATTGTGGCGCGACCGGCCACCTGGGCACCGAATGCCCCAGTCAGAATATCGAGGAGATCACGCAGAAGAAGACCTATCAGTTAGAATACACATCTCCGCTACCCGATCCGGAGAAATGATAGTGTACCGTACAGTTTTGAACGAGTTTATCCAGTGATCTGAACAGTTACCGTACTGTTTGAAATGTGTAATATAGGTTTAAAATCATGTAATTATTATGTAAAAAGTCTTTATTTTTTCTCGTTTGGCATTAATTACGCCTGCCGTTTTTTTTTTCTCTAATTTTACCTCTGTGGTTTTTAGTCTTGTTTTTATACAATTTTATATAAATTTGCAATTTTTAAAATTCGAGAATCTCCGGGTGTTTTATAGACAACGTATGATTTTTATCATATTTTTTTTAATACAGTACTTATTGCAGAAATAATGTCGCCATATACAGATTAAGTACCATGTTTATTGTTTACTATTTTTTTTTGTTACGAAAAAAAAAACAAAATAAAAGTTGGTTAGATTGGTTCTAGGAAATGTAATCGAATTATGTCAATAAAGTGCTTTTTACAACCAGCGTATTAAGGAATGACTGCAGTAAGATAAATCAGGAACGATAATCGGTTATTTATGACGGTTTGATGAAATATCATGTAAAATATATGTTAATTTAGTGATGTTAAGTACGAGCAGTAGTAATGTGTTTAGTTTTACAACTTAATTACTTTTTTCCTGCTACAGTCGTGGAACACCGATTTCTTAGTCAAATATTGTGATAGTTATCTTCTCGATGAATATTTCTTGTATTCTTATTTTTAGTGTCGGTGTACGCCTAGTTACGATTATTGTAACGATCGATAAAACAAGTGTATTCGAGGAAATGAAGCACTGAACCTCCGAAATCTGTGCAGTAAGATGGATCGTGACGCGGTTTTTTGCTTTCGATTCGTTAGAGCGTCCAGAAAGTTTGTGACCCTGTGTGATCAATGAGAAATGAAAATTGCATTGGTGCATAAGAAATATGCATTTTTAAAATTGCATCTCGAAGAGTTAAAATATGAAAAATTTACAACTCGGGGGATATTGACGGAAATGAGTTCAATTTTGCTACTCGGGGGTTTTTGAGGTCGTTGAACACGAATATCCTGGAATTTTGTGGAAATTCATTATAAACTTAGCCGAAACTCATTTCCTCGGGATTTTTGGGGTCGCTCAACACTAATATCACGACGGTAACGGTCCACGAGGTACCTAGTACCCAGGATGGCTGGATTCTGTGACAATTATTTTCTTAATTATTTTTTATTATAAAAATACATTTATTCATTACAAAAAATACATGTTTTCAAAAAAATATTATACTTAGATGTCTTTACAATTTTAAATTTTCTTATTTAAATTTTTAATTTTCATTATTATCTTCTTCATCATCTAGGGTTTCCAGTTCCGAAGAAAATATGTCGTTTGCAGAATATTTTTCATTATTCGTGCAATTAATGCCTGCACAATCTTTGCACGCAATGCAGCAGTTCAATCCGTGCTTCCTACATCCACAAGAAGTTCCACAATCTATTTTGCACCCACAGAAAATCATATTCATGATACTTGCTGGACCAGGTAACTGAGTCATTTTTATGGGAACTAAGGTTTGTTCTTTTAGTTCCCATCCCCAGTCTGTCGGACTCAAACCATATAGCCAGTTTTGCACTTATACTATTTTCAAGAAAAAACACGTGTGCGCTATAACTTGGAGCGTATCTGTATATACTAGTATGTTAAGAGTATATATGTAAGAGTAAAACGTGGAAGCAGCGGCTAGCGATCGCAGTCCTTACCTAAAATTTCATCAATGCTACCAACTGTATTAAAAGCACCAAATTTAAAAAAAAAATGTTTCCGATAATTTATATATGGATATTGGATAAAGCTTACAAAGATGACATTGGTACCTCGGAGACGATTACCGTTGTGATATTTGTGTTGAGCGACCCCAAAAACCCCGAGATAACGAGTTTCCACAAAACTCCAGGAGACGAAGTGGAAACTAGCCACCCTGGGCACTAGGTACCTCGGAGACCGTTGCCGTCGTGATATTCGTGTTCAGCGACCCCAAAAACCCCCGAGTAGCAAAATTGAACTCATTTCCGTCAATATTTTCCGAGTTATAAATTTTTCATGTTTTAATTTTTCGAGATGCAATTTTAAAAATGCATTTTTCTTATGCACCGATGCAATTTTCATTTCTCATTGATCACATAGGGTCACAAACTTTCTGGATGCTCTAACGAATTGAATGCAAAAAAACTCATCACGATCCATCTTACTGCACAGATTTCGGAGGTAAGGCCGTTTTTAGTGCTTTGTTTCCTCGACTAGTCTGAAATATCTAGTTGAATTAGATAAATATGGCGTAAGATTTGCCCTGCTAAATTTCAAACAAAACCGTTTCAGATCGTGATTTCTAACGAAACAGTAAGTTATTGAGGAAAAGGTAAATCTGTATTAATTTCGATCTAGCGGCAAGAAGCCGGGTGGATTTTTCCTCGAAACTATTTTTCGTTTTGCCAAAATTAACACAAAATGAGCTTTAATTTCACGAACTCCTAATCTTATTCTTCGGTAATGATAGAAATGTCGGTTCTCAGCATATGGTTGCTGGGAAATTTAAATTGGTTATATTTTAAAACTGAAGGGTGGAACCCGTAGGTTCTTAGGGAATGACATATCATCGCTTAGAGAACTTTTGTGATTCAAAAATTGGAATGAAATTTGCGGAATAAAGAATCTGATCTAAGCCTCAAGAAGAGGCAATTTGTTGCTGAAGCTGTTATAATACAGTAATAAATGTAATAAATACAGTAAGAACCTCAATTATCCGAGCCGGCCGGGACCGAACCTTTGCTGGATAATCGAAAACACGGTTAAATCGAAATAACGCCCAAACTCACCAATTTGTACATATGTAGGTAAATAATATGTATGCGATAAACAAGCAGAAACTCATCTTTTTTTTTGTTTCTTAGCGCTTTTTTCGCCCTAGCATGGATAATGGATAATCATAAACATTGCAGCGCACGAAGAATCCGCCGCACGGATAGTGGATAATCATAAGGATCAACCGTGCACGGATAATCGGGATTCTACTGTAATATGTTAAATGCATAATTCTTGAGATCTAAGGCTTATAACCGTTGAAATTTGTGGGCAAGCGTCAGCCCTTATTTTGACGTAGATAGCGTTGCTTATAAAACCGATGCAAAGAATAAAAAAAGTGATTGCCAACATTCCGAAAAAGATTGCCCAGAAATATTTACGTATTTAATTCGTCAGAAATAACTTATCTAATAAATTTTTCTGAAAACTCGGCAGATAATTTGTGCTCATTAAAATAGTGCTAACAAGCTACCTATTAATTAAAAAAATATCTAAGCAATGTATGCAAATAGTCCAATGATGGTTAACAAAAATTTAAACTTAAAAATAGATCTTATGAACTTGGTTTCTGAAAAAACAACACAAGTTGTTGCCTTTGATGAGTTAAGTGGTTAAAATTTTGGCATCTTTTTCTGGGACACCCTGTATATCTGCTAAATATTTTGTTTAACAATCCCCTGCTGGATGCAACCAGTGGTTTTTTTATTTTTTACAAAATTTGACTTTGTAAGTTTTTGAAACAAAAGAAAATTCTGTTTGTATTGCAAAATTTTACCAATTTTCCCCCCTCTGCCCTGAAAGTTTTATCCGCGGGTCTAGAAATCCTCCCTTAAAAACGGTATGGGTTCCACGTTTCAGTATCAAAGTGAATCACTTTTGTTTTCACAAACGACGACTGATACAAGGTGCAATGGAGAATACATTTTTTTCTCTGAAAGGACCCCGCAACTATCCTTATGGAAAACCGGTCCCGGTCGTATAGTACGAAACTTTGCCGAATGATAGTCCTCAATGTGTCGATCAAAAAAGTCCGTGGGACCTAGGTATGAATAACTACTGTTCTGAAGCTACAGCCTTCTGAAGTTATCGATTCCACATGCTCGATGACCATCAAGTCCAATGATTTACGGGCGAGTAAAAGCAAATATTTTATAAAGTGACCAAGCTGGCTGTTTCTTGATGTATTTTCGTGTGCTGAATGTGAATCCGTGATCAAAATAGCTGTATCGTCCCTCATTCTTCAGAAAATCGGTGAAGCACCTACTGAAGAACAGCGATAGCGACACATACTGCTTGAGCGACATTCAGAAAACTTGACTTGATGGTCATCGAGCACGTGGATTCGATAACTTCAGAACAGTAGTTTTTCAGACCTAAGTCCCATGGACTTTTTTTGATCGACACATTGGGGACTATCATTCGGCAAAGTTTCCATTCGACCGGGACCGGTTTTCCATAAGGATAGTTGCGAGGTCCTTTGAAATTGCTAGGAATAAGGAAGACTCAAATTAAACTAGTCGCATCTTTACTGAACAATTCCGTTTTTGATTCTCGTCATTATTGTTGTTATCCATTAAAGTTTATTGCAAACATTTGAAAATTTAGACGTGATATGATAAAAAAAAATGCGACACAAGGAAAAAAGAACAAAGTAAACCAGTACTTCTAATGATTCTTCTCACTGATAGTTGAAATCAGACGTTAATTTTTTCTTAATCAATATTCCATGTTTCTCTGAACAGTATAATCCACCGTCACATTTTTTTAAGTTGTCTAATTTTTTGTATGGAACTGGTTTAATGGTATCTCGATTAATAACGGAGATAACGACGTAAATGAAAAATAAACTGTTCAGAAAAGATGAGACTACCATTTAATTCATGTAGTCAGTATTTTAGCCAGTGAATCCAACAAGATATTTCTAATTTCAGAGAAAAAACTTATTCTCTCTGAAGTTTCCATTACTAAGAAATCGACTTATGATTTAAAGAAAAGCAGTCAAAATTACCTTTGAAATTGGGTCTCATTTTAAGTGTTGCGTTAATTTTGATGCAAAGTATTCGAAAATTGATGTGCCAAATTGTGCTAATTAATAGAATTCTACTCTTTATCATTGCTAGAAGTTTATAAAATATTTTTGCGTCAAAATTTTTTTCTCAATGAATAAGTAGAACAAATACATTTTTTAGTATTTTCTCGATAACTTATTGTTTAACGAAGGAAATTTTTTCATTCTTGACTTTCGATTTACCTCTCCATTCATTGAAAATTTGTAAGTATATGCTGTAGTTGTTAATAATTTAGTTTAAAATAGGCAGATCGATTTTGCTACTGATTTTAATTTTAATCGGTAATTTAAGGCCTACTTTACTAATTGAACTTTTGAATATTTTTAGGCCTGAATTGACATTTTAAGATCAGGTCAAAGGTAGGACTTATGTTATTTATTGTTTTTTTGTCCTATATTCAACAACATTAACATTATTTTGCTCAGAAACTACAAAGCATCCAATGATAAGAATATTTCCTTTTCAGCACTAGGCGATAATTTATTTAAATGTTAATTTTGAACAGTCCTAAACTGACATGCTTTATTTATATTTATGTGCTGTCGCAGAAAATATTTTTAACTGTATTTGTAACAGCCAAAACATGAATGTGAAATTTTATGGTTTCTATAGTTTCAACTCGTTCAAAAAAATTTACTGGTGCTAAACCAATAGACCACTTTTATTTTTCTTAAATATTTTTTAATACAAACACTTCTGCTAATTATTAGTAAATGAGGATTTTGGATCTATCTTTTTCTACAATTGACTCCACGGGTGCTACATATTCTTTTTGAAACAGCCTCGAGATGAAACGGTGGCGGTTTCTGGGAGATTGATATTTTAGGTTTGTGTTTCGTCACTTTAAATTTATACATAGGTATGCACAGATTTGTCTCTTTAAAAATTGTTTGATCTCTATGTTTGCTTTTTTGAATGTGCTTTTAGATCAGGCTCCGTAAATGACAGGTAATAAATAGTCAGAAGCCGTTACTGAATAGGAACTTTTATATTGATTACTAGTTTGCATTAATTTCTATATGATGTAATAAATTTTTTGGCATTTTGAAAAATTATATTTTGTTATTTATGTCGGGGTGATGATTTTATAATGATTATTACAAGCAAACTAATAATTCGTGTCAAAGTTCGAATGTCCATACATTCCAATTTTCGATGATAAATCTTAGATCTTTTATGGCAGCAGCCATAAAATGAATGTAAAACGAATCAATTCTATTAGGCCTTAATTTGTTATTGTTGAATGGAAACTGTCGAAGGATTATTTGTATGTCTCAAATCTATTTTCTAGTTCAAATCCAAGTCATTTAACCGGTTTTAGGATATTTTATCAAGTAATTTTATAATTTATAATTTAGACCTATGTTGTATCGTTGAAGACATTTCTAATGTTTTGAACTGAATTTTTGTTTGCGGAGTAAACCAAATTGAGTTTTGATTTTTCGTAGTTTAGATTATTTTGCCATTATTTATTTATTAAAGTAACTTGTATTTTTAATTTATATACATATTAAATTTATTTTTGTTGTGATTTTGTTATCTTGAAATATCGAGATGGTCTTTCTATATACATATATATATATAAATATTGTTCTGTAAATTACCATGAGGTTTTACTGTATATAGTGACTTGTAGTTACATTAGTTAATATTAAATATTGATATATTTATAATACAATCAGTCTGACTGAAAGTTTAACTTAAAATGAGATTAATTAAAAAATAAAGTTTTCTAACATGTCTGTGTCTTATTTTACGCAAACAACTTTTTCGGTAAAAACAAATTTTTTAAATTTTCATATATTGATTATTTTAGTCAAGGCCATTCTTGGACAGTGTTCTGGTGGTGTTCCTGCACCAGGGCGGCCAAAATTCAACTTTTCTCTCCTGGCCTTCCCCAGATTCCTAACTAAAAGTACTTAAACAAAAGCAGCAAAGGCTGCAAAAGATAGAATGTATATTAAGTTTCATTTGAGTGTTGCTTTTGGTGTGCAGCAAAATAAAACTCTCAACGGTAAAAATAAAAGTATTTTTATTGAAAACAAGATTTGTGAAAAAGACGTGTTGTCGGGTTGAGCGTTCGCTGGAGAGTTCTCGTGTGTGGGAGTCGTTCGCAGATATCTGAGTAAGCACCTGGTCGCCGGCGCCAATTTGCCGTGGACCCTTTCTGGAACCCTGGGCGTCAAACTGGCGCTCTGGACATAATGGGTCACTTGCAAGGTGTATACCCACACACCCCCCTGTCTAGTATTAAATACACATTTTTAATAAAACAAATGTCGAAGCATAGATGTTTTATAAAGTAAAAGTGAGCAAAAGGATCTGATGAGGTATACAATTGGTTAGTGAAAGATGCTAAAACTTTGGCAAATGAAAGTGGCATTGTTGCTGAATTTCCAGTTCAACGACATTCATTTTGATACATATATTTCTACAGTTATCAATATACCTCTTTTAGAAAAGCATGGATCAAGCAGACCAGTCTTAATAAATAAACGGAAAGATAATGTAAACATACTTAGATCGGTCCTATGAGTTTTAATTTTTGTAACTGTATATTTCTCATAATATTCAACAACAACTGCCAAAACATCAGTGGCAGAAAGATTCGACTTATTAAATAAACGTAATGAAACATTTGGACTTTGTCTAATATACAAGAATATACCAACTGTAAAGTATATCAGTTGCATCTGGGGAGTGGAGTTTCTCCAAACTTAATTTATTATAAAAATTTTTTAAGATCTAGTATTACCCAAGAGAGAACTACCTCCCTTGCTATGTTGTCAACAGAACGTGAATTGTCTGAGGAACTTGATCTCAATTCGATTGTAGATGAATTTGTGAGTTCATTTTTTGATGTACACGTAGGTATACTATTGTTGCACGAGTTTTTGTGAATACCTCTCGTATGTACTAGTCGCAATAATAAGTTTCTGTTCCCTGTTCTGTTTTCCAAAGAGTTACCATCTTAGTTTTCGAATTTTTGATTATTTTTCTTATGACCTTTTTAAATTAGGTATTATATTTTGCAATAGAATATTAAAGTTTGTTAGTGCAAAAATAAATCTATCTGTATTTCTAATAACACACCTCCATCATAGTATATCCTTAAATCCTAATATTAATACTGTCATAATGATATGATAGATATATATGGGGTAATTGCGGCCAATTTTTCTATGCACCAAGGCGGGAAGTACCCCAGGAACGCCCTGATTCTAATAATGATTGTAATAGGTCCTCATTTACAAGGTGATAGGTTACTATCACTGTCGTTTATCTCCATCACCTGTACACGATATTTTTCCTTACAGAATCATATTTACTTATTTCTAAAACAGGGTTCTTGGTAATTTTTAAATGTACATAAAAGCTTTAGTGGTCAAAATGGACGATTAATCTTTTTCATCAAATTCCGATATGGCATACATAAAAAAAGTAATTTTGTCAAATATTATGGCTAAAATTATAAACTAGCAAAGTTAGCTAGTGTAAAAAACAAAAAAAACTGCAACCGAATGATTCAAGATTTTTTTTTGGCCAGACTAAAAAAAGAAGTTGCAACATTTTTTACTTTTTTAATAAAATTAAAAAATCAATTTTTTTCAATTTCATTAAATTTTGTAGTACTTTTTGCATGTAAGGTTTTCAGTGTTTCCTATATATGGTTCCCTGTATATAAAATTATGCCACCTGTGAAAAAATTTTAAAATTAGTGAAATAAAGGACCCCCCTTGCGCCAAAATAAGGATCAGTCGAGGGTTATTTTTATGAAACTATTCATTCACTGAAAAAGGCAGAGAAATACAAAAAGCACATCACTTTATATCACATACTTAAAAATGTTTTAAAAATCCGTAGCGAGGTATTTTTTGTATTTATTTGTCTGTTTTTCTGATCAGGCAAAATTAGTTTAAAAAAAAATTACCCTTGACTGATCCTGCTTTGGTGAAAGGGTTTTATTACACTAATTTTTAATTTTTTTTCACACATGGCAAAATACCCAAAATATAAATCAAATATTTCAACGATGTATTTTTTATTTTTAACAGTGAAATAATGTAATTTTTCTTACTCAAAAATCTTATTGTATATTATTACGTATAAAGACTGCCTTTATTTAGTATTTAAAAGTAACTTGTAAAAAGCCAGTGAATCAGACAAGCTATTGTTTTTTTTTAAGTCATAAATATGATGTTCCATGTTTGGTGCAAATTTAATAGTAGCGCCACTGTATAATTTTCGAAATAATCATACTTTGTTAAATATTTACCAGGGAGATATTGACAAAACAATTGTGAAATAGTAATATCTTCTTAAATTTAAAAATTTCTTAAATGTACCTAGAAAACTTAACGTGGAACTTTTTTGTAAAAATTTAGTATACACTTTCCAATATTTAATTTTGGTAAAAAAATATAGTTTTGAGTTAAATAAGATTTATTCATCTATAAAATACAAAAAGAAATATCCAATATATGCAGACAGTTACAATTAAATGGTCTAAGGGAAACCGTCATCATCTTCTTCAGCCATTTCTTTGGCTAGCTCTAAATCTTGCTGTTCACGTTCTCTTCTCTCCTCGGCAGATTCCAATTCCTTGCCGTAGGCTTTTGGTGGATATCTCATGGCCTTAACGCTCTGATTGTGCAAATCTAAGCAGAAGGATATACGTTGGTGGAACGCCATTTGCGGTTCTTTTGTGCAGTAGATGTCGGTACTTTCCTTGCTGCGCATATAACCCCCTTGTGGATCTAACGTTGCCTCAATAACTCCATCCCTAATGGCTTTAGCTACGATAAATTCTGCATCTTCTGCAGAATCCAGACCAAGCTTCTTCGCAATGTCTTGCGGAGAAATTCTAGAATAAGACAGTCCGATAGCACGGATAGCAGTTTTGATGACATTGTGGCGTAAACGTAAGATAAGTGTGTAAGTATGGTCTTGTCTGAATTGTGGACCAAAGTTTTCCAATACCTCTCCAAAGCGATGTAAGTTGCCCATTCTAACAGCTTGGGTCAATTGAAAATAAGGAGCCAGGGAGTGTCTCATGCTAGCTTGTCGGAAAATCTGCCTTTCTGGTATGTCTCCCAATAAGAGTTCGACGACTACCGTTAACTTCTGGACTGTCTGTCGGAATCCAACTGCAGCATTTTGTGGTGCTTTTCGCATAGCCTGTACCAAGTGCTTCTGAGCAACACTATATTCTAAACGTGCAGCTTTAATACGTCCCAAATAATACAGAAATCTAGCACATTCATTATTACTTGCCGTGTCTGGAAAAACACATTTACTTACTAATTTGTCAGCTTGATCGTACAGAGAGTAATGCAGATAATTTCTTAACAGGCAGTTGATAAGTACAGCTTGGCCTTCAAAATCATTTCTTAATGTTGTAGTGCGGAGACGAGAATGCAGAAAAGCTCTTATAGAATCCAACTTATTCGTCAGTTCTGCTACTCTAGAATGGTAAAAGTAGCATTTGGCTGCAATGTGATCGATAGTACGTCTATTCTGACTAGTGATTTTATTCATTAAAGCCTGTGAGCACCGTTCTGCTTCTTGTAGTTTGTTGGTATCAATTAAACGTACCAAAATTAATAAGTTTATGTATGTATCGACCTCTGGCACTGGGGACTTGGCAGCTGATCTTGCTCTTGCTTGAGCATTGTCTATTTCTCCAGTCGCTTCTTCTACAAAATTTAACAAAGATTCCCTTTCAGCCACAGGGTAAATCTGATTTATTAAGCTCCTTAGGACAGCACCGTTCAATTTTCTTCTGGTATTTGGAAGACATCTCAGCACTCTTAAAATAAACCGATTTTCCTTGTTGGCTACAGCTTTTTCAATTTGCCTTGCATGCTCCCGAATTTCCAGTAAACTTTGCAGATCCACATCTCGTTTAGTATCTCCGGCTTCCAAACCTGGAGGACTGTCTGCGTTCTTCATTTCGACATCGGTTTCAGTAACTCCCATGCTGCTATTAACTTGTTTAACTATTTAAAACTAATGGAAATATCAAAACTGAAGAAAGACAAATTGCAAGTCGGCACAATGTCAAAATTTATTTTGCCTTGTAACTAGTGATGGGAGAATTCGAATGCAAGAATCGATATCCATTCGATTCTTAAAAGTTCTCGCTGTTCTCGAGAACTTTTATGCCGGCATTCGAATACTTGAGAATTCATGACGAGATTTCGAGTATCCCTCAGGGCAGGCAGATAGATGGACTAGACACTAGGCGGATGTGCTTTAGAGGCCAAAATTGACTGTTTTTTAAGATTTGTTGTATTGCCAAATAATTTAAACTTTTTACTTATTTATTACTTTTTTTAAAATAATATCCCAAACTAATGATTTGCAGCCAGGCTTCATTTTAAAAATAAGAATTTAATAATTATAAAATAACTAAAAACATTAATATTTAATAACGGAAAATGCTGCGTGAAACAAACCACATCTCTCGTTCGTTGCGAGATTTACCTTAATTACTAACTGCTAAGCTACCATCGATGCGAGTACGAATAAAAATATCCCAATGATGCTTTCGAATCCACACCGTGTCGCCGACATACACCGATTCTGCATTGTCGCTGTTCTCGAGTCCTGTTCTCGGATACTCATTCGGTCTCGGTCCGGTACTCGGTTCTCGGATAATCATTCGATTCTTAAAAGTATTCGAGTACCGAGTTCTCGATTCTGCCCATCACTACTTGTAACGCACTCTAAATCCAAACCACAAAAGTGTAGTATCCTGACTTACCTACATTTTGATGTGGGCGTTTTTCAAGTTCTATATTTCTTTATGGATATCCCTAAATAAGTTTATCCGGAAGCCACCATGGAGCTTCCTAAACCTGTATTATATTTACATGCATGAAATAAATAAAATAGCAATATTTTCGGAACGAGAAATCGCTATGATGTGTTGCATTTTAGGTCATTAACTTTCTCCATGAACAAACCTTCTGTAAATTAGTCTTGGATTGTGACGTCATGTGGCAGTTTTTAGTTTTGACGGTGGTCTGTGGTTTTGACCTTTTTTGAGGTTAGTGTGCTTTTAGTAAACTGTCAAATGTTGAGAATAAAGTAAATATTTAAGTATTTGTTGTGCATTTATTGTAAGTTTGTGTTGTAAGAGGAAGATGGTAAAGTTTGTAATGATAATTGTAAATCCGGTGTGGATGTAGGGTATTTAAAACCAAAAAATTAGTAAATAAATATGGATAGAGGAAGGTAATTTTGTCATTATTAATTAACAAAAAATGGTTTTTTAATTATTTTTGCACAGGTTCTCGTTATTACAACTTGACCCTGGAGAAATATACTTTGAAGACTATAGCGCAATTTTTATTCCACCCGACACCACCCCTAAAACGTATGATGTTAAAAAACAGGATGGACGACTCAAAATGTGCTCGAAATCATTGGTATTCGACCCAAAAGATATAAACAAACCCATGATAAAAATACAATTGAAAGACTGTGTAATTATTGAGCAATGGAAGGGAAGCGCAAAGTTTTTACAAAGCAACAATGTCCTCAGTGTAAATTGCAGGGAATATATCGAAATGTTAGAGAGAAATATCATAGCCCCATATCAGTTTAAGGATTCTGCAAATTTTTTATTCCTGTTGAATTATGCAAATATTATGAACTGTTTACCACAAATTTGTCAGCTTCATAGGGCTAGTACTTTACCTGCTGCAGAACAGGCAGATATGGTAATTCATTTTAATTTTAATTTAACATTTGATAAAGAGGTTTTCTTTTTATATTAGATGTGATTTATCGAGTTTTATTAAATTTTCATCTAATCCATACATTTTTAGATAGCAACGATTGTTCACTCTAGGCAAGCCAGAGTAAGTTTTAACCCTTTATGGTTGGATTTATATGAAAAAATTGTGATGGAAACCCAAGCTGACAAAGTAACACCGTTGGTAGTAAACCCTGGAAGAATTCTTTTGTCAACATCACGCTTATGTTTTCAACCATATAATAATATAGAACAGGTAACTATGCAGCAGTTTGTTATTTGTTTTCAAATACATTCAAAATATAATTCACAACAGAAATAACATACTAATGGCATTAAAACCAAAAACATTCATATTTCAGTATCCAGTGTTAAAAATCGACTTAAACAGTATTAAAAGAATAGTGAAAAGAAGATTTTTACTTCAACAAATTGTAAGTAGATACATTTTTAAATATATGTCTTTATACGACTTGTTTTTTTTAAGGGCCTCGAAATTTACTCAAATGAGAACTCTTCTAATCCTCATATTTATTTATCCTTCAAAAACCAAAAATTAAGAGATGAGTTTTATGATAATTTATTGCAACAACCTGAACTGAAATTGAATGAAATAGAGCAAGATGTTATGACTCTTCAGTGGCAGAATGGTATTATTTCAAACTACGAATATCTATTGTATATAAATAGGTGAGTTTATTTTAATTCCATAGGTAAGTCTATATGTTTTTATCATATTGCATAGATAAACATTGATAAATATTATAGTAAACAAAGTTTTTGTTTCGGTTTTGTTTAATGATAATGTACCTATATTTAGTACTGTAGCGTATCGCATAACTACATAGTTCTTATTCTTTTAAAAATTAATCATAAAATAATGAAAATATGTTCATTTTATGTGAATTATTATACAATCTTTATGTCTATTTTTTTTTACTTTTTATACCCTTTTTAGCCTCGGTGACCGAACAATAAATGATCTGACTCAATATCCAGTTTTTCCTTGGATTATTTCCAATTATAGTGGAGAGAAACTAGATCTCAATGACCCAGAGAATTTCCGTGACTTATCCAAGCCTATCGGAGCTTTAAATGAACTTCGTTTAGGACGTTTATTAGAGAGGTATAACGAAATGTCCCACCCAAAATTCATGTATGGTTCACACTACTCTACTCCTGGTTTTGTTCTGTATTACTTAGCCAGGCAGTATCCTCATTACGTACTGTGTCTCCAGAGTGGTAGATTTGATCACCCCGATAGAATGTTCAATTCCGTAGCGGATGCTTTTAAAAATTGTCAGACCAACATGTCTGATTTCAAAGAGCTAATACCTGAATTTTATGATATCTCGCAAGAAGGAAAATTCCTGGTTAATAATATGGGAATAAATTTTGGTTATCGGCACAACAACGTAAAAGTAGGTGATGTAGAATTACCTCATTGGACAAATGGCCCTAAACACTTTATAGAAAAATTAAGAGATGCTTTAGAGAGTGATGTTGCCTCGAAAAACTTACACAAATGGATAGACTTGATTTTTGGTTATAAACAAAAGGGAGAAGAGGCTGTTAAGGCTAATAACTGTAAGAAACGAAAAAAAAAAAACAATTGTTTTTAGAACTAAATACCATGTTTTAGTGTTTTATCATCTTTGCTATGAGGGAAATGTTGATTTGGATTCAATAATAGACTTAAACGAAAGACATGCATTGGAGGTACAAATTATGGAATTTGGACAAATACCAAAACAAGTATTCAAGGTACCCCATCCTCAACGCAAAGTTGGACTCAAATTGTTGACTGAACCCTATCAGATCACACAAGACGATCCCAAACTTGAAGGTATATACGATTTTAGTTTTACACATTACAAAACATATACAGAGGGTCAGCTCTTTAGGGGTAGTAGTATGTATTCCCAGAATAATAAACTGCAATTATTTCTTTCGGAGTTACAAAGCTGTTATTTTAAAGCCACATTTAAAAAAATGTTATATATACAGGGTGTTTTCACTTTAAATTTGGAAAATGCAGGAATGTATTCCGTATCCAAAATTAAGTGTAGTTTGCTCTATAAATTTTTTTTATGAAAGCCTTTGTTTTGGAGATACAGGGCGTTGAAGTTAAAAAAAAATAAACACTTTTTTACATATCTCGGCTATCCACGAGTAGATTTGATTCAAACTTGGTACACATTTTGCGTATTGGGGGTTCTCATAATTAACAGAATATTAGTCCTATCGGATTAGCCAGTGGCGTGCAAAGGTAGGGATGCGTGGCACCTTTTTCAAAAAAAAGTACGCCATTGAGTTTTTCGAAGAATGTAAAGTAAATTTAAATACTACCATACAAAAGCAATCTAAAAGGTCTCTTGGTATTTTTCGATAATACGCAGCGTTCATGAGATTCTTGGACTATCAAGATTCCAATGCATGATAACATGGCACGGTAGTGCTGAATGAGAAAAAGAGATATTTTTCTTTGAATTCAAATGCTGCATTAAAATTTATAGCAACTTTTTTGTTTCGCAGCAAGTCAAGAACCTGTAAATATTTTCATTACTTTCCTCTACTCAATGTCGTAATTATTTTTTTTTCATGCATTGAAATCTTAATAGTCCGAGAGTCTCATGAACGCTGCGTATTATCGAAAAATACCAAGAGGCCTTTTAGATTGCTTTTGTATGGTAGTATTTAAATTTACTTTACATTCTTCGAAAAACTCAATGGCGTACTTTTTTTTAAAAAAAAGGGGCCACGCATCCCCCTTTGCACGCCACTGGCTAATGGGATAAGACAAATATTCTGCCAATTATGAGAACCCCCAATACGCATAATGTGCACCAAGTTTAAATCAAATCTACACGTGGATAGCCGAGATATGTCAAAAAGTATTTATTTTTTTTTTAACTTCAACGCCCTGTATCTCCAAAACAAAGGCTTTCATAAAAAAAATTTATAGAGCAAACTACACTTAATTTTTGATAGGGAATATATTCCTGCGTTTTCCAAATTTAAAGTGAAAACACCCTGTATATAACTGAACTCCACTGTATATATTTCTCCATTTTAGATAAATGGAAAACCATGACAAATCTATGCCTACAAACTAGTTTTAATTCCCATAAAAATACAGTAAGTCATATTTTTATAAGTGACGATGGTACTCGGATCACATCGGTGGGATACGACTCGAAACTGAAGGTATTCTCTTTGCCGCAGAACAAACAAACTAGAAGCGCTAATATCGGAAACATGCCCCTTAGCAGTTGCATCCAACTTCCTAATATTAATGTTTTAGTTATTGGAAGTTGGGATAATCAAATGTAAGTAAATGGAATACGTCTTTTATTTTTCAAATTTTAATGTTGTTTGAATGACGCCATGGAAATATTTTTGCATTTTATTATCTTGTTCCCATGTAAATAATGACTGATTGATATTAATAAAAGAAATTCCTAATTTATTGTTATGCTAGCAATTAAACTTATCATTAAAACATGAAGATAAGTAACATGAGGCATTTATAATTCACTATTTTCCCGGGTGAAAGATTAATATTGTAAGATTATATTATGAAACCTTAATTTTACGTTGTTGGCATTTTATCAGCAGAGGTAATTTTATGATAGTTTAAATATTGCTCGGCAATTTATTGTTTTCTAGAAATTTAATTACACCGATGCATGATTCTTTTGCATGAATCATATAAATGTTGTTTTTTCGTCAAATTGTTTTGTTTGGTAATTATTAGTAATAGCGCCAGACAGTCGCCGTCCGACTTTCTTTATTGGTGTATGAAAAAATTATTGCACATATTAATGCAAATTGCACTTGTAAAGGGTAACACCATTATATAATTTTCAGAAAATCTATTTTTTTATTGATTTAAAAGATGCCTTGAACCTTCTAGAGTAAGGGGAAAATAGACTTATACCTGGACAATTTTTTTTGCGGCACATGGATACGTACAGGAAGTCTAATGTGATTTACAAGTTCTCTAATACTAACAGATGTCGTTAGAAAGCATTTGTGTTCAATTAGAAACATTTTTAAACAAAAGTACGCTAGTATAGTGTATATCTCAAAAGTTTAAAGGTGTTCTTCTCGAAACATTATTTTTTTAAATGGCACACAGCATAATTCCAACAATTTGCATTCCATTTACTCCAAATTTTCACGGTATCTTTAAAATAACAATGGGAAGAGAATTACGTAGGGGATTTTTGATAAGTTGATTTTAACATTATTTATTAACAAATGATTGCCTATTTTTTTGTCGGTAATTAAATTTTTTACTTCAAACGTTCGACAATCACACAAAAATTAATATTTCTCTAACCATAGTCGTGTAGATTAAAAGAAAATTCAACTTGCCTCATGAGAATGACCCTAGTGTCGTCATTTTCTACTATAATAATAATAACTTTTTTTTTTGAGTACTTTAAAGACATGATCAATAACATCCTTGAATATCATTATTCTCTTACTTTTCCTTGCATTTAAAAAACATATCACACAATTACGTTTTATTTTAGCATTTTAAAGTCATGTTACCCCTTAATGAAAACATGCAGTAAAAATTTGTAGGCTGCCCATTGTACCCTCATTATTCTATATTCAGTTTGTATGAAAAAAACAACTGATTTCCTTTGGCCTCTTTGATTCGGTTTTTTCATATGGTTGGTTTCGACAGTGCAATATTTTATACCGTTTCAGATTGTTGTATGATCTGGACTACGGGAAGGTAAAGGAAAGCGTGCTCGCACATGAAGACGCTATCACTTGCATGTCCTTCGCTTCCAAAATCAACCTTTTGGTATCTGGAAGTGGCGATTGCACGGTGAAAATATGGAAAGGCCTTAATAGCGACGGCATAATTAAACCCATACAGTGCCTGCATAAGCAGATTGATCACAACTCTCAAGTGACTTGTTTATGTTTTGACAGGTAAAAAAAAATTATACAGTATCCTTGACTATGTTGACATTATACAAAAATGATTTTTCCACGTTTTCTTTGTAGGGAAAATAAGTATTTGGCGGTGGGTACGGAAGATGGAGAAATATACGTTTGGGAGACAACGAATTTCACCTTATTCAAGAAATACGATAAGCACTGTTCCAGTATTAGGGCACTTAGCTACAGCCCGGAAGGATTGAAACTTGCTATAGGCAGCAGCGATAAACTCTTCCAAATAATAGATGTGAATACGGGTATGCCTGTTTTCAGTAAGACTTTAAAATCAAGCATTTCGTCATTGAAATGGAACGAGTTTCTGTTGGTGTTGGGTTGTGACGATGGAGGATTGTCGATATGGGACATTTTTGAAGTCAAGTTGCTCTTGGAGGTCAAGGCGCACTCAGGTAATATTTATAAAGTCCAGTGAATATTTAATGTTAGTTATTGGAGAAAGAGGATAAACATATGCTTTCTATTATGTTAGTATTATTGTTTTGATAAATTTTGTGGTTTTCTTACAGACGTCATTAAAACATTGGATATATCTTTGGAAAGGGAATTCATAGCAACTGGTAGTCAGGATCGTGTGATAAAAGTGTGGAAACCAAAAACGAATAATTTATAACTTTATTTTTATTTTAAATTGATTCTTTACAATAGTATTCTAGTTATTTTATATTTTAATGACACTGTTGAGCAAATGTTGTATTGTGATATTTTTAATAAAATCATTTTTATTATTTCGAAGTTTATTTTTGTGAAATATTTTCTATTCCCCACAGTGCATCCTTTAAAAATAGTAATTTAAACATATACAATGTTACGTTTGTGGACAATTTTTTTGGGAGCCTTATCAGTGTAAAAAACATTGAGAGCCAAATATACAGGGTTATCCAAAAGTCCCGGTACGGCAGAAAAACTTTCGAGGAAAGCATTTTGGGAAAAAATGTTACAGACAAAAGTATAAGGATTTTTCCCTAACTATCTGATGGTGACCTTGGATTTGACCGACTGACCGTCAAGGTCATTTGAAGGTTAAGTTATGTTTTTTAAATAGGAACCCCTATTTTTTATTGCGGATTTGAAAAGAGCAGGAAATTTTACATCCAAAAATGGTCTTAACCATGACTCTGACAATGACTACGATCAAATGTGGGTCGAGTTGATCTTCAAATGACCTTGAAGGTCAAATCCAAGGTCACCATCAGACAGCCAGGGAAAAATCCTTACACTTTTGTCTGAAAATTTTATTCCCAAAATGCATTCTACGAAAGTTCTGCCGCTCCGGGACTTTTGGAAGTCGAACCACATTTGACCTTGAAGGTCATTGTCAAAGTCATGGTCAAGACCATGTTTGGACGTAAAATTTCCTGCTCTTTCCAAATCCGCAATAAAAAATAGGGGTTTCCATTTAAAAAACTTAACTTGATCTTCAAATGACCTTGAAGGTCAAATCCAAGGTCGCCATCAGATAGCCAGGGAAAAATCCTTACACTTTTGTCTGAAACATTTTTTCCCAAAATGCTTTCTTCGAACGTTTTTCTGCCGCACCGGGACTTTTGGATAACCCTGTATAAAAAAAATGATGCTTACAGCTGTCATACTGGGTATTTTTATTATGACTCAATTTCTATGTCCACTATGTGTGTAATGTTCCAACCTATATTAATAATGGACAATTTTTATTGTATTGTCCCATGCAATGCATAAATGAAGAAACTGACAGTATTAGAGCTGTTGGACTTGGAAATACTGTAAATAACTGCACTACAGAAGCGATATTAATAATATCTAAAGTCCATATTTCATCTGTAATAAAATATAAGATGCTGGTAAGTTAACATTTGTGAATATATTTAATGCAGCTAAATTATTTTTAAATTCCTTAGTGACGCCACTGACTTGACACTGAAATGTCAAACTTTATTCCAAGTTGCTTGGAGTTGGGCCCTGGGCCTCAATAGTCTTGACAAAAAGTATTTATATCCTATATCCAATAATAAAAGTTATATTTTTATTCACAGACAATTATTTTAAAGTTTCCCCTACTATCCTTTATATTTTTATTTAAATAAATTCTTAAAAAAGTTAAAATAGTTGTTCCTACCTTTTATAAAATTGAAATAATTTTCTCAATGAATAGATAAACAAAAAATGTAATTTCCACTGTAATTTCTGCAATATGTAATCATTAAAGACTAAAAATGGAATTAAATAAAATTTTTCGCTACAAAATGTTGTAGACTTTTCTAAGTAGGTAATTATTTATCTTGCGTACCGTTTCTCTATTTCTAATTAGTAGTATACGGGGTGAAAGAGAAAAGATTATCTAATAAAACACCATATTAATTGTTATTAAGTGGATAGTTACGAATTATAATGCACGTTTATTCTTTGTTAAATTCTCATACAAATCGATCGGCAATCCGTCTCATGAAATCGAAGGTACTTACAGCTCAAAAAAAGTATGTATGTTATCTGGGTAACACGACCTTCTCTTATCAACTGCGTACCAACAGCCGCGAGCTTGCCTTAATGCGGCTGAATTATTTTTGAAATGTGAAACTATCAACGCATTTTTATTTTATTTATAAACACACATGGTGATGACGTTTATATGCCAATAAGGTCCAAGTGTACAACAATTTCCAAAACGTGGATGTATTGATATTGATTATTTATTTGTAGGTATACGGATCTGAATTTCGAACAACAAAACATAATTTGTTTGTTTATAGGTAAGTTTTTGTACCACGTCACTGAAAGTTTAAAACTTATTTGAATGTAATATGAATGTACATTTCTTAAGAGAGATTAAAAATGAACTAAGTTTCCTACGATAACTTCTTTTTTTTTATTATAAAATATATTGTATAAATACCAGAGGCTTTACCTTTTCAAGTATACCTATGTTCAAGTATAAATTTACATCTTTTACATAATTTTTCTAACTTTCTAGGATGAAAATCATTTTTTTTCCAATTTTCACATTTTTGTGATAGCGTGCTCTTTTCATAATTTCTTTATGGAAGTGTCTCCGTTTGTGGGTATATTTAAAAAGTTTCAGTTAGTAATATTTTAACAAAAACATAATTTATGCACAGTTGGCCATAGCTAATAACAAAAAATTTAATAGCACTAGTCGATGTCGAATGTCATTAGTTTAGTTTCTAATCTTTAGTCAGAGTTCTATGGTAAACATCTTTAAGCAATTCACCCTATATAAAAATATAAGGAAGGTGTGGAAGGTAATTTGAAATAATTAATATTATATTATTATTAATATTTGGCGGATTTGATATATTTTCTATGAAAATAAAATACGTACCTATTACATTATTTTTACAACTTATATAATTCCATCATAATATAAAATAAAATGAAAATTATAATTATGTGATTATCAGAGTTAACTACCAGAAGAAAAAATTATTATTTGAAATGTCCCGACATGGTATTTTAGTAAACATTATTTTTTAAACCACCTGTGATAATTGTATTGGTAAGGTCAAAATCAGTACCTACATACATAGTAATATTTTCTTTTACCTACTTTATATAAAGTAGTATTTTATACACATATTTTATACAATCATGTAATAGTTTTTGAGATAATATCTAATTTTATTTACTTTGTAGAGCTAGATATTTACTTTTTGGCTCCCTGATACCTTTTTATAACATTATTCTGTTGAATGTATTTGTTTTACACGCAAGAAACATTACTTTATGAATTAACTTAATAAAATAAATAAGTGGGTTTCCCGTCTTTTTGTTTGAGGGCTATTAAATTATTATTATCATGAATAGTTGAAATTCTGTCCACATCAAAATAGAATTTTCCACCGGAAATTTGTTTACATGCACTTATACTATGTACTACATATCTATCTATTGACTAAATATGTTGAATTACTTTCTGATAAGAAAGGATATCACTGTCGTATTGACAAACTACTCTTAGTGTTTTTCTGTTGTACTGTTTGTTCATAAAAATATGTTACTTCACAGCAGCGTTTACTGTGACTGGAAGAGTATAAAAACCGTTTAATTTGCGAGTGAATATTTTGATGAAGAAATATGTAAGTAAACGTTTGCCCTTATCGCTAAATTCGAGACTAAATTGCTTATTTGAACCACGTTATTTTGGATATATGATCCTTTGTAACGAAAAAGTTTTTAATACAAACCTTGTTTGTTAGCCAGGTCCTTATTACTCGTATGTCATGTTTCAGAAAACATTTCATTTAAAATTTCAGATTTATTCATTTAAGAGAAAGGCGTTAATTTATCAATTTTGGATAGTTTAACATGACGAAGGAAGAAATGATAGCATCAAAATCAAGCACGATGCCATCTCCAGAGCCTTCCGTTTCAAGTTCCAGTAAGGGCAGCTTTGCATTATCCTTGAACAAAGCCATTCCCAGTCGTCCTGTATATAAAAAATACTGTAGGAGCAAGTCCTTATCGAACGTATTCCCTGAATCTTACACTCATGGTGATATTGCAAGAATGAGGGAGAGATTATTAAGGTATATGGCATATGGATAAATACATTATTGTTTTATTTCAAAACCGTTGTTTGTGTGGGATGGGGGCAACGTATTATTATTCTATAGTAGTTCTTAAATTTATGTTATTTCAGGACAAACTCACATTTAGAGCCATCTGCAATAAGGAATTTTTCCAGATCTCAAAAATTAACCCTAGCCTTATTAGCACTGGTCGATTTTATGAGTTTCTGTTCAATGTCAATAATGGCACCATTTTTTCCAAGAGAAGCAGCTGAAAAGGGTCTTTCAGATACCATGTCTGGGTTCGTTTTCAGCTTCTACGCCCTCATAGTTTTCATCACTTCACCAATATTTGGAAAAATTGTTAGTAATACTTAAAAATTATAAAAGTTAAATGCACTGCAATTGTTTCTATTTCAGCTACCGAAAATCGGAGCAAAGTTCTTATTTGTGCTAGGAATTCTTATAGCAGGAATATCAAATATATTATTTGGGTAAGTGATTTATGTTGGATTTTATTATTATTATTATTAAATAGCAAATGTTCATTTCACCGAATTATTTTTTCAGAATGCTGGAGTATATTCAAAATTATACACTTTTTACAACATTTTGTGTTTTAATTCGAGGCTTTGAAGCTTTAGGGGCCAGTGCATTTTCCACAGCTAGTTATGTAATTGTTGTAAAAGCTTTTCCTAATAATATAGGATCTGTTATAGTAAGTACTTATTTATGTTTTTCTTAGATATAGACAGAATATAGGTACGGTATATTTAAAAAATTCAATTCAAACTCTGTTATATTTTGATAATGAAATGTGGGGCCCACTCTGTTTTTTAGAAGATAATTTGTTGACCCACATAAACTACTTCTACGTCAAATAAATTTCAATTTAAATTTGCTGAACAAAAAATTAAAATAGGGATTCAAATTAAATTAAAATAACCTGAAATTCGAAAAAGTATTACATATAAACAGTAGGGTGGCTAAAAAAAAAACAAATTTTTTTCGTGTCTCTTGTGAAAATATGTTAGTTTATCATGTTTTAAGAGCCCCCTCAAAAAATCAGCTCAAAAAAAAATTTTAGAGCTAGATTTTTCAATTCCAAAATGGTCAAAAATTGAATATTTTTAAAATTTTTTTCTTTTATAATTTTCTGGGTTGAAAAAAATCTCGATTCTGAAAATTTCAAATCGATATTTTAATTTCTAAAGGTCACTCATAATTATTATAACTTTAAAAGTAGTGTACCTAAAATGTCTTCGAGCGACCTCTAAAAATAAATATCAGCGAACTAATTATTTTTTTATTGAATTTGATGAACAAAAGAATAGAAATAAATCACGAGACACTTAATAAATTTATCGAGGAAAAATTTACTACCGCACTGTGAGTATCAAATATGTACATTTATAATTTTTTAATTTTTTAAAATTTAAGTGTCGTGATTTATTTCTATTTTGTTCATCAAATTCAATAAAAAAAATTATTAGTTCCTTGATATTTATTTTTTAGAGGTCGCTTGAATACACTACTTTGAAAGTTAAAATAATTATAAGTGACCTTTAGAAATAAAATATCGATTTGAAATTTTCAGAATCGAGATTTTTTTCAACCTAGAAAATGATAAAATAACAAAAAAAATTTTTAAAAATTCAATTTCTCACGATTTTGGAAATTTTTTAAAATCTTGAGCGACCTCTAGAAATTTTTTTTTTAAAAAGAATCACCTCATTGTATTTTGTTGATTATGAAAGAAAAAAAATGCATATACCTATGTATATACAGGATGTATATAAATAAGTGCGAACAAATTCAGGGGGTGATACTCTTTTGAAAAATAAGTTGGGTCTTTCATATAAAAAAAAATCTCCTTTGAAGATCCCCTGTAAAGATACAAATGCTTAAAGAGGATTCCACAAAAGTAGTTTTTTATTTTTTTTGGAAATACCAAAAAAGTGACAAATTAAATTAAGTAGACGGTTGTAAGGGGTAGAAAAAGCCAGAAAAAGACTTGTTTCATACGTAATTTTTTTTGTATTTTATATCTTATCATTTAAAAATTCATTCATTTCAGATAGCCCGATACACTGTAAACAAAAAGGTCTCTTGTAATTTTTTCATAAAATTAACGATTTCTGAGCAAAAAATTTATTTAAAATTAATTACATGGTATGATTGGTACAGGGTAGAAATGAACTAGTTTTTTGGCACCCTCTTTAAGCGGTTGTATTGTCACATGGGATGATCAAAGGACATTTTTTATATGAGACCCACCTTATACTTCAAAAGGGAATCATCCCTTGAATTTTTTCGCACTTATTTATTTACACCCTGTATATGAGCAACCTATCAAAATTTCAAGATCTGCCACTACAAATGTAACACTTTATTTCATAAATTTCATTTAAAATATTTAATAGAAGTTCTCATATACGGCGTGTGTCACTGCACGAAGCATTTAGCCTAGCAAATTACATTAAAATAATCATTTACTTTCTATTTCTATAAAAATTTAGTACGATATTCGTTTGTAGGGAATTCTAGAAACTTTTGTTGGTCTCGGCATGAGTACCGGACCAGCCTTAGGAGGAATTTTATATTCGGTATGTATAGATTTTGAAGTACTAGCAATCTAAATTTCTAATTTTAAAAAGAATGTATCTTTATGTTTATTTCTAGGCAGTTAGGTGGCTTCGGTATGCCATTTTTTGTATTAGGCATAGCAATGGTAGTTATAGTTCCTTTAAACTTATGGATGTTGACTACCGTTGAAAGTAAGTACAAAATGAAAATTAAAAATGTAAGTACTCCTTGTACATTTTTTATTATCGTAGATTGGGATGACGTTACAAGTAGAGGCACGTCCATATTAAAAGTTATAAAAGTACCTGCTGTGATGGTAACCGGTCTAGTCGTAGTAATAGTTTCAAGTACTTGGTCGTTTCTGGATCCCACTCTGGAACCACATTTGAGGCAAGTACGTCTAATAACTTTTTAATTTGAATAGTTGTTAAATATAATTTTTTCAGTTTGACTTAAGTCCTGAGCAAATAGGATTGATATTTTTACTCTTTTCTGCTTTGTACGGGTTATCCAGCCCAGTCTGGGGCTGGGTTGCCGATAAAGTCAACAATCATTGGTCCATGATGGTTGCTGGACTGGTGATGAGCACTATCGGTTTGCTGTTACTGGGGCCATGTCCATTTCTACCTATTCTTGAAAGGTAGGTACATTTTTATGAAACGGCATAAAAATATCAAAGGGGTAATCACTCTCCACAACACGTGTACGTTTCTATAGAAAATCGTTAGCAATTTTTTGTAGTGACCGCAATTATACAGAAATTGCTCCGCATGTCGCATTACAATAGAGTCCAACTTCGCGGCAACTGCAAGTCGCACCGCATCCTTTTTTGCAATTGCAAAATATCATTTTTAAAAGTTCTTCGGGTACAGGCTGTGGTTGAACATTTTGATTGGCTGGAGACGATTTTCATTTTTAATCCATCCCCAATCAGTTGGATTAATGCTATCATTACCAATTCGTTTTTTCACGATAACTTTTTTAATTTTTAATATTTTTCATCACTCTAAAATTGCAAGAGCTACAAATCAACCCTTATAGTTGAAGGGTCTTGAACTCTTCGTTTTCGAGATTTTTAGGTTTTAAGGGCTCAAAGAAGGTGGTCCTTACACGCAAATGCAAACTAAAAAACGTAATATCTCAGTTAAATTTTGCTCTACAGAAAAATTGAAAGAGAGCAAAAATATTATAAAAAAAAGACCTTTCAGTTGAACTCTTGTATTTTTCACGTATCTTGTTTAGTTTTTGAGTTATTTCAAAAAAAGGAAATCTTTTTAAAAATTAAAAAAACTTTTTTTCATTATTTCAAACTTTTTTTTTTAATTTAGGCATTCTAAACCGGTCAAACTTGCAGAGCCTATTATTAGTACCTAAATAAAGTCAACTGTACATGGATTATGCTTAGTTTCTATTTTTATGGTTTAGCCATAGATTTTATTGTTCATCTTCATTTTATTGGTCATCTCATTTTTTCTCTGAAAAAATGAGATGACCATTTTATTTTCATCATAACTCCGCGAGTTTTTGAGCGAAATTTTTTCAGAAAACATTTTAAAGGTCTTTCCAAGCACTTTAAAAAAGGTTATATTCATTTTTTTCGAAAAATTAGGTCTCTCCATTATTTTACGGTAAAAGGTTCGATTTTATTTTCCGAAAAATAAACAATCAAAAATGGTTGAAAAACATGCACCTTTTTGATGAAAAATCAACATTTTCAATCGCAAACAACTCGGAAAATATTAATTTTTGGAAAAAACGTTATAGAGCATTTTTGCTTAGAATTCATCCTTCTATTGATTTTTGCGATTAAAATGGGTGCCTTCATTGCCACCCCCGAGAAAGGGTGGCATTCACCCTCAGGGTGAAAGCACACATCGGCACTATGTAACTTTTGTTTTTTGAGCAATTTTCTACTTATGTTAAAATTTCACATCAATCGGTGCATGTGTCAAGAATTCGGACCTAAAAACCGTCATATACTGAGCTATGGAGGAAAAAGACAGATTCCTGGCTCTTCTCCCTTTGTTACAGAGGGATGTTTTTATGAACCATTTAAGTACAATATTCTAATATGAAAAACGTTTAGGTCACATGACATTTCTTCACAAATAGTTTTTTCATAATAAATTTAATATTGGCTTGTTACACGCCTAAATAATCATTTGTGACTCTCTGTCTGAACGGCTGAACCATGTTAGAATTTGTTCTAAAGCTTCATATTGTATATAAAAGTGTGACACTTGTTTCTGCACTTTTTATTTAATTCCAAAACTCCCTAGACCACCAAATCAAAATAATTTTTCTCTTCAGTTATTTCAAGGTTTTGTAGCAAACTTATTGAAAGTTATAATTTCATGAAATTTGGCATACATGTAAAAATTTTGAGTAGTGTGGTTACCCCCTAGAAAAATATCGTATATCCAAATTTAATTTACCGATTAAGTAATTGTAAGTATGTACCTAATTATAATAGCCTTTAATTTTTTATAAAATTATCTTATTATTCTCACATCGTTTTTTTAGCAACATATGGTTAGATCTTGTGGCACTATCAATTTTAGGAATCTCGATAGCCTTAACATTTATGCCCACTTTCCAAGGTGTCCTAACAAGTGCAATGTAAGTATATTTTTTTTCACGAATTGTAAACATTTCCTTTGACCGCAAAGAAAGTCAAGAATTTATCAATTAATAAAAGCAATAATGTACTGTCGAAAATATATCAGAAAGGTATATGATGTTTAAATTAATATTGATTAAAAATATACATATTTTTTTTATATTCAAGCCGTGGAGGATGCAGAGATAGCTTACATACATACAGTATGGTGGCGGGGATATGGTCATGCATGTATTCCTTGGGAGAAGTTATTGGACCTGCCCTTGGGGGATATTTATTAGAGTATTACGGGTTTCCCATAACAGCGACTGTTATGGCGAGCATGACATTTGTGCTGGTGAGATATAATGTTAAAACATGTTAAATATTTATAATTAACTTTAAACTGAGACTGGCTTATTTTACTTTTGATTCTCATATTTACTCACTGACTTGTGTTATTAATTTTATTTCAGTCCATTATTACTTTCTTCTTCTTTTTTTGTAAATCAACCTACTGTAACGACTGTGATACAGCATCTGACAGTGGTATTAGCGAGTCATGGAGGAGTTCTTATAGTTCAGAAGATTCAAATGAAAACAGTCCTCTCCTTGTTTCAGCCGTGGATTCTAGTTATCGACTGTACACTGAGGAGAAAATTCAGTATTATGAAGATAGTAGGAAGCAGGAAAATGAGGTAATAATATCTATATTAATCAGAAATGCAATAAGTTTTAATAACATATGTATTTTTTGTCATTGTGCAGATGGGCGAGGCTGATTCCAATCAGGTAACTGATGTAAGAGGGACAGTTGCAATAACTGGGAAAGGATCATGTGAAGTTTAGATAATTTGTCAATGTATTTTAGGTATTTTTAGAATGTCCATTTTAAATAATATAAAAGAACAAGGAATTGTTAACAGTTCTTATTTAACTTGTATTTATTATTGCATTTTTTTAATTAAAGTTTTCCTGTTTATTAACTTTTAATAATAAAAACATGAAAGTTATGAAAAGTGTTATTTACCAACTCTTTTTGTTAAACTTGGATAGTACAATGAAATTTTAAATTATATTTTTTCTCAGGCACTTAATGTACATAAACTCACACTGTATCAATCATTGAAAGTAAAATTCCTAAAATTAAAAAATTTAAAGAATAAATACCTTTTTCCTTTTACAATTATTTTGTGCAGTGTACAGGTAGATATGTGGTACAGGTATTTTCATGGTATCTTCAAATGTACACAATTGAAGCAATAATGGGTTAATATAATATGTATGAGAGATGTGTGATTCATTAACTGGTAATTTGTGGATTCATGGGAATATTGGAATTATTGGAAACATAACTTACAGTATTAACAAACATCACGCATTATACAAAAACAAGAAACATAACCTAAATTAAATTCAAATTTTGAGATAAATTGAGTGCCAAGTGCGCAGTTTTTTGTTTTCGAGTTGTCTGTATCTGATTGGTTCTCATTTGACATAACAATCATGAAGATTTGTTGATTTGTCTGTTCTATAGATACAGTCAAGTACACTTGAGTGTAAAATAAAGAAAGATAAATGCTACGAGAGCCGCTAAACATCACAATAAAAAGAGACAGCAAATATACGTATATTTACAAAACCAAAATCAAAAAGTGTATTGAAATTACAAATAAACAGCTAAGTAGATTCCAAACATTAATATGATTCTGTAATTTTTGTGATATTTAAAAAACTTAAGTATAAAATAAATACTGTAGTGTTACAGTAAAAGTTAGTTTTAAGTTATATATTAGATAAGGTAAAGTACATTATTTTATTTACTCATACCCGGCTTGTTAGGTTATGTGTTTCAATTTTTCATTTTATAAATTTCGTTTTTTAACATAAATTCTGTTTTTTTCAGAATGAGGTTGTTAATAATCTGCAGTATATATTTTTGTTTATTTATACGTAATGTAGAACTAAAAACTAAAAAATCTAAATCAGTGACTACATTATTAGAAGCAAAATGGGAAGTTACCCCATTAGTCCTAGAGGTAGCGGAATACTTAGCTGATGAAAGTTTGGATTTTTATTGGAACTTTATTGATTCCATCAGCTCGTTGAATCCTCCATTAGCGACGATAGGTAATTATAATAATAATTAGTTTTTCAAATAGCCAAGTTATGTTTATCCGTATGTTTTAGAAAATGATAGAGAGCGATACAGTAAAGTTATGGATCACGCGTCTCGACTAATCACATCATCACAATTAGGTCTATTAAAATTAGGATTATCAATGCATATTTACTCACCCAAGGTACAAATGTATGAGCAAATAGCTCACGAAAGGAATTTACCGTCTTGTCCCACAGTTGCCGATGTTAAAGGAATTTTAACTTGTGATATAGCAGAATTAAAAAGATTAATAAAGAATGTGAGTAGTAATAGTAGTAGTGAGATTAACTTATTGATAATTATTTTGTATAATTTTTTTAGCCTTCTGGTATAGAAAGAACATTGGATTTGTATAGAGTAGATCATCATTATCCAGGGTCAGCTAATAGGTCACTCGCTGTGGCTCTTTATGGAGAACTAGGCACTGAAAGTTTCGCTAAATTTCATGCTTTACTTAAAGAAGAAGCTGTAGCTGGAAATATTGATTATGTTGTTCGATACAGTGTTAATGTAATAATACCTACTCACATTTTTTTGCCTGGAATTATTTTATATGTTTTTTAGAACAAGGAAAATAAACGGCTGCGCTTGTCAGGGTACGGAGTAGAACTTCAGATGAAATCGACTGAATATAAATCACAAGATGATACTCAACTACACGACGATCCAAGTTCTGAGGAATCTTCCCAGGAAGACGAAGATACTGAAATTGAAGGTTTCAACTTTGCAAAAATAAAGTAATTATGTGTTTAATTCTATTAAATACGATTATTAACACTTTAAATACTTTAGGCAAATATTCCCAGAACTGAAGAACAATTTGGATAAGTTTAAATCACATCTTGAAGAAATGTCGAACGAATTGGCACCATTAAAAGTATGGCAGTTCCAGGATTTAAGCGTACAAGCTGCGGAGAGAATTATGAGTGCTCCTAAGGACGAAGCTTTAAAAGTGTTTATCAATATTGCTCAGAACTTTCCAATGCAGGTATTTCTTTTAATACATAATAATTATTAGATCTTTAAGGAGTTTTACTTCGTATAGGCGAAAGGTTTGGCGAAGACAGTGGTAAATCCCGAGTTAAAACGAGAAATGAAGAAAAATTCCGATATATTTGCATCCACCTTAAACCTCCAACCTTCGGACACAGCTCTATTCATCAATGGAATGTTTTACGATATTGATTTAATAGACGTATACGGAATATTAGAGGTTCTCCGCAACGAGCTGAGGTCGATGGAGGGACTCCACAACATCGGGATAACTAATAAGAGAATGTCATCGTTACTAGCTTTGGATTTTGGCGATGATAGTGACTCTCAGGAATTCGCTATTGACATTAGAGATTCAGCGATTAATTGGGTAAACGACATAGAGCAGGATTCTAAGTACGGGAGGTGGTCCAGTAGCCTTATGGAATTGCTGAGGCCTACCTTTCCGGGAATGATGCGCCAAGTTAGACGAAATTTGTATAATTTGGTGAGTAAGAAGAATTATTTACATTGTTATTAATATACACCGGTCTCGGAATCTATTTAGTACAGTCATTGAAGCTTTTCACCTCCGAATTCTTTGAAACTGAACCGATTGACTTGAAATTTGGCAGACAGTTAGAGAAAAGGTTAATAAACATTAGTGGCATAGCGCTGATTGACACTTCCACCCTGTTGTTTTTCAAAAATAACGCTGGAAAGCGATAGCGATTCAAATCTTGAGCAAAAAATATTCGAAGAATTTTTTCGAGAAATCAATAGTTTTTTAGTTATTGACAATTGAAAACTTGTAATTTTGAGTGAAAAAAAAACTCTTTTTCAAAGTATTTTTCGCGAATAACTAAAAAACTACGCATTTTATTAAAAAAAGTGTAATGAACAAAAATGTAGCTTATGAATAAACAAAGAAAATCGTTTTTTAAAAAGTGTTGTACGTCCTATACAAAGCGAAATATGGTTAGTGGAAGGGGACTTGTTTTGGGGGAAATACTCAAATCGATGGATTCAACGTCAAATAACGGCAAAAGCATTAATTGTACGTGTATAACGCTCCTGGAGTTTTTTGTAGTACTCAAAAAGTCCTTCAAAATGAGCACTTATAAAAGTTAATTAGAGCAAAATTGAAGGAGTTATCGTCAAAAACAGATGGGTTGCTCATATTTTTTAAGAGAAAATGAGCAGTAAACGCTGTACCATTCATTTCCATAAGAATTTTAAAAAATCGTAGACCCTTTACAATTAGTTTTGTTTTCGTGTTTTTCATACGATCCTGAAGTTAGACTGGTTTAGAATGCATATTTTTTTATGTACGGTAAAAGTTGAAAACGTATTTTTCATTATTAAAAAAAAATTGCCTTATTTATATAATAACTCTGAAACTATGAAAAATACGTAAAAAATGATAGACAACAAAAATGTAGCTTTTTTTAACAAATATTTTGCTTTTTTTTATTCCTATAGCATAAAAAATAAAAGAAATATCGCCACTTGAAGTATCCATTTTAGTGAAAAAACTACCTGTCTCGAGCCCTTCGATCCCTTCCCTTTAGAAAACGAAGAACTTAAAAGGTTTTATATGCAAATGATCTTACAGCTCTTGAAATTATCTTTAAAATGCTTTTTTGTAGGATACTATAGCTTCAAAATTAACTGAGTTATGGTAAAAAACCAATGACATTTTTTCAGAGCAAAATAGGCTTTCTCATTTTTGGAGCAAAATGTTAGGATTTAAGTGCGCGTCAGCGTTTATAAAAGTTTATATGCAGCATAGCAATTTTTTTTATGATTGATTATATTTAAAAATCGATTATAATAAATATATTTTACATTAATATTGGTAAAAGGGTAGTTTATAAGAGTTGAAAATGGCAAAAGTAAAATATTCTTTCATAAACAATATAAGGGAATTTTTATTTTAAATTATTGCGCAATTATAGCATACCAAGATTTAAAACGTAATTTTTTATCATTTATTTAGCACAGAGATGATTATAAAAGTTGAATAGTGTTATGAGATACAAATTCTTTCATAAGCAATGAGGGAATTTTTATTTTAAATAATTGCACCTTTATAGCATTCCAAGCTTTTAAAAAGTAATTTTTCATAATTTTTGTCAATACAGGGGTGGTTTTTAGGGGTTGAAAGGGAAAAATTATTTTATTAGCTATAAGGTAACTTTTATTTTAAATAATTGCACGATTTAATCATTCCAAATCTTTAAAAAGTAACTTTTTATCATTATTTTTTACATAGGGGTAGTTTTTAAGGGTTAAATAAAGGGTCGAAAAGATCAAATATATCATAAAACATGTTTGAGAGCATGGAACATTATTTAATCTTTGTGCTTGAACAAGATTTTTTATCAATAAAATGCTTATAACTTAATTTTTTCAATTTTTTATCACAGATGTAGTTTTTACCCCTAAAAAACAAAAATGTCACTTTGAACTTGACCCTAAGATGAGCCTTATTCTAAATTTTCATGCAAATCCAAGCAGTTTCAAAGAATTCGGAGGTTACAGCGGATTTTCAGCTTCAATGACTGTACTAATTGTCAATACACAGATGTTCAGGCACAACCAGATTATGCTGCCAATTTACAATTGTTTTTTCAGTTCTAGGGATTTTTTATGTCGAAAATATCAAACTAGTTAATTATATTAAAACCGCTGTATCTTTTCCATCGTGTCACAAGCAATATTCATATGAATTAAAACGAAACATTCTAGTCACTGCTTTCATTTAATTGAAATTTCATCTTGACAATTCCCACAACTGGATATCTCCCAAATTTTATTATTGTTCTGTACACTCCAAATATGATTGATTTATACAACAAATACTGAAAGAAATGTCCTGAGTATGTGTATGAAATTCTTGACTTTTGAATAACTTTGACAATTCATCTAATATTCAGATAAATTGCACAGAAAGACTTTTATATCTAAGTTTTTTATTTAACATTCCAACATAGTTAATTTTTCACACCCCAAAGTAACTTAAACAAAAATTATGTTCTTTAAGGACAATTATTTTAACAGTACAACAAATTAAACTGGAACATTACTTTTAAAATTACAAAAGATTTTTATTTTTCTGTCTAGACTCTTTCGTAACAGATATCTGACTGTGTAAATATACTTGTGGCAATATATTTGTAATATTTATAAGTACTATAGAGATTAGTCGGTTTGTTAAAATTGTGTTGTAACTTATATACTCCATAAAATAGTAGGCAATGACTCATTTTCAAGATGTATATCCAAAGATTGTTAAATATGGAACAACAAATAGATGTTTTTAATTAATGATATGGTGAGAAACATGTACTCCATGGTCTATATACCTGATGAACGATACCTATTTATTAGATATTGGGGGTGTAATTCAATGTCAGCCAGGATATATAGTTCGTAGTGTAGTTGTTTCCATAATATCAATAGTTACAAAGCTTATTCCACCTACAGATTAGTAGGTCATTTTGTGTCAATAGCTACATGTTCCAGTAGACATAAAGTATCAATGACATTTAAATGTATGACATTTGCCATATACACTAGGCTATATCTCACAAATTCTCAAAACATGTAGGTACTTAGGTAGGTCGATTTTGGTAAAAATTAGATTATCCTTGCAAATTTAAGCTCACTTTGGTATATACAACAGGTAGGTAGGTACTTTCTTATTTGTACTAAAGTATGTATTCAGCAATTCTCTCTCAGGCAAAGATTTACTACTGCCTCAGTTTACTTTTTTCTACAATTTATTCGTTCGCACCACTTTGGTTAAAAGAACAAATGGTCTCTGTGAAAAATCTACTTACATATTGCTGTAAGACTAACCAATATAAAATCAGTAAAACTGCTAATTACTAAAGGTACAAACATCACAGACAAATGAGAGGCACCACCCGGTATAAGTGGTTCTATTATAACCCCACTCTTGTATTGAGGTTCTACATTAGTTGTTTTTCTTGTTATATTTGTGATTAATTGTCTTAATTTAAAAGTTATTTTGTGCCACGTAAGTTTTTAGAGACTCGTTATCTTTGACAATAACTGCAGCAGGTTTGATGTAAGGCAAAATAAATGTAAACCATTTTTCAAATCTACTGTCCATTGTTCTCATGGTAATCTGATCGTCACCACTTAAACACATTTGAACCATTATCTAATCGCAATCTGCATTCACTTACCTTTGATCCCATAGAAAAACTTTCTAAAAATGTTGCTCATCCGCTGTTGATATTTAAATCTTGCTAAACCTTGTAGAGTGTATGTCCGTCATTTATCCATGTTTCGTTGAGATAATTTATTTTTGTTTTTGTTGACGACACTAGTAATTCATACATAGTACACAGTAAAAGCAGGACCATCTATGCTTATAACACTCAGCTAGAAACCAAGACAGATAAGCATTTCAAGAAAAGCCATGCAGTCTCAATTGGCTCTCTTTTTCTAGATAATAGAAGTGATGTATTGTAACAATAGAATGTTACTAGTGTAGGCCTAAGCTGAACATATTATTGGAACACTATGAGAAATGAACAGCACATTACAAATTTCATGCAAAAAATATTCAAAATGATTGAAGTAGTAAAACTCATTAATCCTTTTTTTAATTATGCCACTACCTGCTATTTTGGTTCTGGAATATAGTAAATAAGATGAGCATCTAAAACAGTAAAATATTTTCTCAAAAAATTATAGTTATTATAATCGAAATTGTATTAATTTTGTCAAAAACTATATTCTTTCTAGATACTTATTATTGACCCAACTGACCCTTCGATAAAAGATGTCCTGAAGCTAATAGAATCATTTGTAGTACACACTGCCCCCATAAGGGTTGGTATAGTTTTCAAAGTAAATGATACAACTACTTTGAATGGTCTGCAAGATGCTGGCATTGCCATGCAGTGCGCGCTAAATTATGTAATGCAGAAAAAAGACGGACCTGCCGCTCTTAGTTTAGTCAGTGCCATATTAGGAAGAGCTAGTGAAAAAGTCACGGTGAAAGATGTCAAGGAACAACTTAAAAAGCAGTATGGGGAAGATCCTGAAGATATTTTAGGTATTCTCAGTGTTTTTATTTATCTAAATTGTGTAAAAATTAATAATTTGTTTAGGTGAAGATTCCGACTATGATTTCGGCAGACAGTTGTCGTCGGATTTTATAGAAAGAACGGGGTTACACACGTTTCCGCAGGTGCTAATGAATGGCGTCCCCTTACCTCAAAACCAAGTAAACACGGATGATTTCGAAGAAGCCATCTTACAAGAAGTCATGTCTCAAACTCCCAAGTTCCAGAAAGCAATATACCGGGGGAAATTGTCGGATACAGACGACGTAACCGATTACATAATGAACCAACCCAACGTTATGCCACGGCTGAACGATAGAATCCTCAACAAAGAAAAGTCTTTTTATCTGGACATGACCGGCTCTGCTAATAGCATAAATAACGTACAAACTCTGCTGAAGCTTAGCCCTAGGGATATGACAGCGACTGCTGTGGATAACTTGAAATACTTTACCGTCGCTAAGAAAGGCAAGCTGTATCACACTATGACTTATTGGATCGTTGGTGATTTGAACTGTGTAAAGTCTAGGACACTGCTACTGGAGGCCTTGGAACATTTGGTGAGTGACATCAGAATTAAAATGCATTCATTTGTCGTTATTATTTTTTTCTTACTTTTTTTTTATCGTACTTTATTTCCTGAATTTAATACTTTTTCTCAAATTTTCGTTCAATATATTTGACAGTGTCTAGTTTTATCAATTTTCTCAATATCTTTTTTTATTTTTGTTGTTGTGACAGGCTGCCCAGTTACCCGCAGCACTCTTTTATGATCTATTGTGTTAGAGTTATTTTAAAACAGGATCACGCTTCGTGCGAAAGCAAGCACTAGTCTGACGGATTTATTGTGTGTGATGCGTATATATATTTTATTATTTCACTTGATTTATGCAATTTGAAACAGGTTTTAAATTTGAGTAAAGCTTAGGACGGAGTAGCCAATCGTGAATGTTGTGGGCTTAATAATTTAAGTGATACTGACCTCTTTCTAAAAATGATTTAAAATAATCGAGCCATGTTATATTCATAATTTATGTTTTTAGAAATCTGAGAGTGACGTAAGAGTCAGCTTCTTGCCAAACGTAAATGGAGATAAAAGTAATCTATTGAACAAAATTGTATTAGCCGCCCAGCAAGAGTTGCCTCCAGAAAAATCGCTGAATTTAGTTTTGTCTCTTTTGAGAGACGACAAAGCGGCAAAGCAACTGGAAAATGGCGAAAAGTTGGACATACCCGTGAGTGATAATCAAACATGAAGTACGTAAAAATAATATAATTTTTCGACAGGTCGAAGTATCTTCCAAAACCAACGCCCAGGAGCTCAACTTGAAGATGTTACGAGTATACAGCCAGAAAGTTCTAAACTTTAAAGAAAGCGAAAGAGCCGTGGTAGCCAACGGAAGAGTTTTAGGCCCCTTAGAAAATAATGAGAGCTTCTCTAGTGAAGACTTTAATCTTTTGGAGAGATTCAGTTCCACCGTATATTTGGAAAAAATTAACGGTGCCCTTGAGAAAAATAGCGATGAAGAAGACGGTGAGCTCTCGTTAGCCGAACTATAATTTGTTTTTAATACATACTTCGTACCATTTTCAGATATTTCCAGTAATACGCTACTGAAAATAGTGTCGCTTTTGGTCTCAAGGCCGCAGACGAGGTCACGATTCGACATCAACTTCGGAGGAGACGAATATTCGGTAGTGAAAATACCTGCTGCACATCCTGATCAAGTAGCTTTCGATATAGTAGCGGTAGTCGATCCGGTTTCGAGAGGAGCACAGAAACTGGGGCCCATTCTGCAGGTACTGCAGGAGGTGTTGAACTGCGATATAAGAGTGTTCTTGAATTGCGTCGAGAAGAACAGCGATATGCCAGTGAAAAGGTAGGAATAATTAAGTGTGTGATTTTATATTAAATTTCCTTGATAACAATATTCTGCTAATCTAAAATCAATCTTTGTTTCATGTAGTTAGGACTGTATGTACATTATACAGTGTGATCCATTTAGTAGCAAGACACTAAAATATTTTTGGAATTCACGATTCAAATAATAATTATTTTTTATATAAATAGTGGCTTCTTTGATATACTTCAAGGTGTAAACCAATCTGGGAACCCGGGTAAACCTTAGTTTAGATTGCTGACATCGTAAAGATATTGTACCGAAATTCCTTTATTTAACACAATTTTTTTACACAAGAGTTTACAACTTTGACAATTGAGAATCACAAATAACAACTTAACCTCAAAAAAAACTTCCGTTTGTATATTTTTCTTTGTTTCTCTAACTTTCCATGGGTCTCCAAGATCAGTATAGCACAATTTCTAAACAGAAACATGACAGAAAAAAACAGAACATATTTTAGAAACATCAGGAAATAGATAAATAAACAAATGTAAACCAAAGCACACTAGGCCAAATTTCGCTACACTAAAGGCAGTGTAATCAACACATGAAATTCGGTTTTGTCCACTGTTTCAAAATGCAAATGTCAAAAGTAGCATCACTAAAACTTCAATATCTCTGTAAGTAACTGTTGAAAGGTCATGAAACTTTGACACGTTTCTTTTGAAGGTTAGTGCTTTTGATTTGTGGCGCCATCTGTGGGTTAGTCCCGGGACTTTTTGACTGATATGTTACGTGCAAAATTTGTTTTTTTCTCACAAAATTTAATTTTTCTTATAATATTATTAAGTTTAAAAATTAAATGTAAATATCAAATCAAAGTTTAACCTGTTTACGCCTGAAGGGACGTATTTTTTTTTTTCATTTTTCAACGGCTGCAATGACAAAAAAGATCGTGAAAAAGTTTAAAAATTCCTCGAAAAATACAGCTGGAAGTCACTATATGGTGTTTTTCCAAAAAAGTTCGAAATTTTTCAATTAAAATTCTTTCATCCAAACATTTTTTTTGGAGGTCTTAACGACAAAAATGCCGGTTCAAAGGAAAAAAAACCTCAACATTTTTAGGAATTTTTTTCTTGAAAATGGGGTTTCCGACAAAATTTATAGAAAAAAAATTTCTTAAAATTATGCAAATATGCTCAAATTTTTTCACAATTTGAGACGTTTCTACTTTTTTGAAATTTGGCCGTTTTTTGGAAAGTCCAAAAATAATTCCAAAAATTCTGAAAAAAGTGTATTCTCTAATGAATTTCAAGAATTTTTTTGTTCTATAAAATTTTTTCTGAAACCCCATCATTGTCGTGGAAAATTTTTTTTTACGAATATTTGATTCAAATTTCATCGGATTTAGGAAAAAACATGGTTTATGTAATGAAATTTCAATTTCTTGGCTTGAATGTGCAGTTAGGCTTAAAATGTACTGGCTAATTTAATATTGTATCCCGAAAATTATAAAAAAATTTTTTTTATCGAATGTGCCAGCTTTTCATTTCTCCTGTTTGCCGTATCTAATTGATGCATTGCCCAACTCTTACCAACGCAACGTGTAAGTCGATGAACGAAAGAGTCAGGTTTTTTTTTGTTTTTTATGTAAACTTTTTTTATTGTTTTTTTTTGTAATTTTATTATATTTTATTTTTATTACAATAAATAGTAATACATACGCTCACATTTTTTCAGAATTTTTGGAATTATTTTTGGATTTTTCAAAAAACGGCCAAATTTGAAAAATGTAGATGTCTCAAAAAAATTGTGAAAAAATTTGAGTACTTATATTCTTTGCATAATTTTAACAACTTTTTGTTCTATAAAATTTTTTTTGGAAACCACCATTTTCAAGAAAAAATTCCTAAAACTTTTGAGCTTTTTTTCCTTTGCACCGGCAGTATGGTCGCTAAGACCTCAAAAAAATTTTTTTGAATGCATGCATCTTGAAGTTTAGGGTCGTATGCCACAATATTTTCACTCCACTTATAAATCCTTATCTGATTTCGATTCAAAATTCCAGTTTGAAAAAAATTTTAAGTGAAAAATTCGAACTTTTTTGGAAAAATACCATGTAGTGACTTCCAGCTGCATTTTTCGAGGAATCTGATCACAGATTCTGAAAGTTGCGCTGATTTTACGTCGGATACAGTAATTTTTAAATTTTTTTACAATCTTTTTTGTCATTGCAGCCGTTAAAAAATGAAAAAAAATACGACCCTTCAGACGATAATGGATTAAATAGGTACAGCTAACAAGAAAGTTTAACATTGAAGATTTTTAAAATAATTCGCAAATATCTAAAAAAATGTGTGGGCATGACCATGAAAAACATTAGTATACAGAGTATAATAAAATTTTTCATTAAGACACTATTTTCAGTTTTTATCGGTTTGTTTTGGAACCTGAGGTACAGTTCAGCGATGACGGCAAACAACTTCCCGGTCCCATAGCAAGGTTTAATAACATGCCGACCTCCCCACTTTTAACTCAGAACTATCACGTTCCCGAGAACTGGTTGGTAGAGGTTGTGAGATCCGTTTATGATTTGGATAATATTCGGTTAGAGAACGTAGACAGCAATGTACACAGGTAATATAGAAAATGTTTGAGAGAGAATTCGTAATTTCGTCGATGGAAACGGTCATTTTTTTTAGCGAGTACGAATTAGAGCACCTTCTTCTCGAGGGCCACTGTTTCGAGCAGAATACGGGAAGCCCACCCAGAGGTTTACAAATAACTTTGGGTACGGAGAGCAGGCCCGTTATCATGGACACCATCGTCATGGCTAATCTTGGGTATTTCCAACTGAAAGCTAACCCGGGCGCTTGGATCCTCCGTTTGAGGCAAGGCAGAAGCGCAGACATCTACGACATAGTCAGGTAAGCGTTGAACTTACTAAAAAGAAATTGTTTAAACGTATTCGTTCCTTGTAGTCACGACGGCACGGACAGCCCGGCGAATTCAAGTGATATTAAGGTACTTCTAAGTTCCCTGAGGTCTCACATAGTCAAATTGAGGGTCCAGAAGAAGCCGGACAAGTTAAATGTGGATTTGTTGGCCGAGGATGACACGAACTCTGGAATTTGGAATTCGATAACGAGGTAAGGGTAGCGGTTGGCTTTTTCTAGACATTTGCATGATGTTTAATTTTAATTTTGCATGCTCACCAATAAGAATGCTCAGGTAAATACATTTTTCATCAGAAGTAGAGTTTTTCCGGTAGTTCTGCCATGGCCTATGTACCAGGTTGCAGACTTATATTGCACTTCCCTTAGCTGGGAATCTTTGACCTTCCCCTGTTGTTCTGGGACTAGGATCTGTGGGAGGGGTTCTGATAGCGGGTTTACCCCACAAAGCCTAGCCCGAGAACAAGGATAGATCAAAGATTCCTATCTGAAGCTAAGAAGTGCAATGTAAGTCTGTAACTGGCAGCAATCGGACACATAGGCTATAGTACAACAACTCAAAAAAAGAATAATAAAAGCACTACCACCCACATTATAAACTCTCAAAACATTAAAATTTTCTGTAAATGATAGAAACCTGTACAGTGCATCCTGTTTTACATTCGCCTTTACCACTTTTTGAGGGAAATCTTTGAAGTTATAGTCAAAATAAATATAGTTTTTATATTTCAGATGACCTCTGGTTAGTGGCTATCTTAATGTGGTTTATGTAATTTTTAAATAATTGTTACTATTTTTGACTTACAGACAAAATTACAGTTAGGTTGTAGTTGGCCATGGCCTAGCTAAAAAGAGAGTATTCTGCGCTTTGAAAACAACAAAATTGTTAATATAGACAAATGCCTTTTCAGAAATATGTATTTTATTAACGCTCACATAATTTTTCTCCATTATAAATGTATTATTAAGATAATTCAAATAAATTCAAACATTTTTTTTCTTAAAAAATTATAACAAATGAAGTCGAACCAAAGAAACTAATAATCTAACTATACAAAAGATATCTAACCTCACAAATAAGGTTCCTAATTGTTGATGTTGCAGGTAACTATATACTCTATCGGGTACATACCTCAACTAGCATTGAATTATAAGAGCAATATCAAGTAAATACTGAAAATTAATAATTTTCCAAAATAAAAATTAAAAATGATGTCTAAATATTATAAAATACAGGTCATTACAAATTAGTAGGTCAACCCCTTAACCACATATTCTATGAACTAAAATAATGTGACTTTTCTTATGTCATTCTTCATTTCGGAGCCCTATTTTCAAAATATAGTGTGGCAAAATTAAAATTTAAAAAATGATTTTTATTGATAACTCTGGTGATTGTAGAGATATTTATTTAAAATTTAGCACATATTTTGTTCTCAAGTCGGCACACTTTTTGTGTAATTTTGGTTTAAAATATCAAAGCATGAACAGACGAGAGAGGGGTTGCACTGCCCATGGATCCTTTATTTTTTTTGAGTATGCCTATGCTTTCCGAATATTTTTTTTAGATAAAGCAGCGTTTTATCCTATTTTTTTTGTCACTTTTGTAAGATTTTGATTTGGGTATTCATTTACGAGATATTGTAACATTTTTGGATACGTGACATCGATTTAGTTGACGTTAGACTTTATTTTTTGGGGCTATATGAATTATTTGAGTCATCTAATTTATTTCAATTTACAAAATAAAATGGAAATGATCATCATCATGATCAACGAATTTAATTTGAGCTAAAATCTAACATATCTAAAAAAATTGCAAATCTCGCACAGCAAGCCCAATCAAAATATGTGGTTTCTGCCTAAAAGGCTCTATACCTTGTACAATTCGTTTTTTTAACTGTTGTTTAGTTGGCAATGGTATCATATAAAAGAAATTTTTCATAAAATCCCAAAAATTAACGTCTAACGTTGACTAAATTGATATTGCTAATCCAAAAAAGTTACAATATCTCATAAACGAGGCTCCAAATAGAAATTGTTTTGTGCATGCAAGATAGACAGTAAAAAAAAGTCAGCAACCCAGTCGAACAAACACGGTCACTTTGTTTGTAATATTGTCATTCTTGACATTAATTAAAAAAATACAGTCCACATTTGTTTGATTTGTATAAAGAATCATAAGAAAAAAGTGATATTTGTTCACAACCAAGTCATACAGGGCTTACAGAAATCTTACAAGAGTGAAAAAAATAGAATATATCACCGCTTTATCTAAAAAAAAATATTCGGAAAACATTGGGTACTCTAAAAAAAAAAAATTGGGTGTCCATGGGTATTGCAACCCCCCTCCCCTCCGTTCGTGCTTTGATATTTTAAATCAAAATTATACAAAAAGTGTGCCCACTTAAAATCAAAATATATGCAAAATACTCTACAATCACCGGAGTTATCAATAAAAATCAATTTTTAAATTTTAATTTTGACGCCCTGTATTTTGAAAATGGGTCTCTGAAATGAAAGGTGGCATAGGAAAAGTCCCATTATTTTAGTCCAAAGAATATGCGGTTAACTGCTTGACCTACTAATTTGTAACACGCTGTTAAATAATTTCAAAAAAATTTAAAATACCCTTTATTTTTGTTCAACATCACCATTGACAAAAACCAAAATGTCAAAATATATAGAAATAGTAAGATCTTTCTTAGAAAACTATTTTTATTTGTTGATCTTTGCCGACGATGATTTTAGAACAAAAATACAATATACAGGGTGTTCGTATATGTGCGAAATATTTTAGGGGGTGGTTGCTGAAGTTATTTTGTGAAAAAAAGTTCATATAAACGTAGGTCAAAATATGCTTCATTTCCGAGATACAGAGCGTTTAAATTTTAATTTTTTATTTATTTTCATTAATTATTTCAGAGTTTTAAAAATATTGACTCGAAATTTGAAAAACACTTTGGAGGGATAAATGTGCTTATTTTGGGGTGATACGAATATTTCCACTTGCACCAGTGGCATTCGTGCGAGAATACCACAACCTTTTTTAATAAGAAAAATGGTATGCTACTGAGTTTTTCCCGTTTTGATATCTTCTTAGAAATCCGCCATCAATTCTGATTGGAATTGATCCCTTCAATTTTTTTCGTAGGATGCACCGTTTTTGAAAAAAAAAAAATAAAACATTTTATTGTAGGTTTTGTTAATATTTTATTTAAAGTAATAATGCAATTCAACATTGAAAATAAAAAGTTGATATGAATGTGGGTAAAAAATTCTTCAATTTCGAGATACAGGATGTTCAAATTTTAATCTTTATTTGATGTCTTGAATATTTCATAATGTTTTATTATCTAGTTCAGTAACATTAAACCAAAACAATAACACAAAACAGTAATAAAAATATTTTTTAATAGTCGCAAACCTACAACAGAGGTTGAAAATTACCTCCCTCACAAATGATAGAAAAGTCGACTCTTCGCCTCATTGAATATTCGCTGAAATATTCCTACTGTATTTCTTATTGTCTCGCAGCCGGCTGTAATTTGATTCCTCAGGTCTTCAACATTTTCAACAACAAATTTCAAATACCTCGATTTTTTAGTATTTGGTTAATACTGTTTGACTTAATTTGTTAAGCATTTTTAGTCAAAAGATTTTTTATTTATTTGAATTAACTAAATACATTTAAAAAAGAATAAAAATATGAGAGGTATGTAACCACTTTTTCAGTTGCTATAATTTTGTAGTTCATAGTCCGATACAAACTATATCCAATAAATTTACTAGAGATGGGCACTTTTCGGAAAAGTGTGTTACGGACATGTCGGGAAAAGTACTTTTGACCTTGAATCTAATAAGGCATCTGAGTGCAAAGCAAAAGCAAAATATTACTTTTATTCTAATGAATATGTCGATATATTTTACTTATTACCTACCTTTAGACTTTTTTATGAACTGGTTTCTAATTTTCTCCGGACAGCCAATACACTTATTTAAATGTTTTTCCATCCTACTCGAATTCTTAAAAATTGTTTTTGAGCAGAAGTTACATTTATAATGATTTTTACTCAATTCAGAAAAATATAACCAAACTGTTGATTTTGGCGTCATACTTCATTTATAAACTCTTTGTGTATTAAATATTAAATTAAGAATCAACTGATTATTACTTACTAATCATTAACTTTGCCAAAAATAATAAGATATGGACATATAAATAAAAGAGGTTATATTTTTAAAATGTCAGTTTCAGTTAAACAATTACCAACAAAATTACAAGAAAATGGCTAAATATCTTTAATTTTACATGTACTAACCTCAAACATTTTTTGCGGGAATTATGAATGCAACAAATAATTCCGCTCATGTGCATACAACTTTTCAATCTTGAAAACTGCCCTCAGGGCATGTCCACTTTTCACGACATGTCCGATGGACATGTTTAGCTGACATGTCCGCGGCACATCTCTAAAATTTACTGAGAATTAAAAAACAGTTATATTAGGTATTTTACAAATGTTTCTAAAAGTGTAACCTTGCAGTTCCTTCACCGGCAATGAAGAGGAAACAGATGAAAAACTTAACATATTCTCTTTGGCCTCTGGTCATCTGTACGAACGGTTCCTTAGAATCATGATGTTGTCGGTGCTCAAACACACTAAAACACCTGTGAAATTTTGGTTTTTAAAAAATTATCTGTCGCCTCAGATCAAGGTAAAATCTTTTCAGTATTTGTGATGTATTTTTCCTTAAAAGTAAGCATTTTAGGACTTCTTACCTTATATGGCCAAAGAATACGGTTTTGAATACGAACTGGTCCAGTACAAATGGCCGAGGTGGTTGCACCAACAAACAGAAAAGCAACGCATAATCTGGGGTTATAAAATTCTCTTCTTAGACGTCCTTTTCCCTCTAGATGTAAAGAAGATAATTTTCGTCGATGCCGATCAGGTAAAAAACGTACAAACCGACACTCATACCTTTCATTAAACGTACAAAATTTTAGGTCGTTAGGGCAGATTTGAAAGAACTTCAGCAACTAGACTTAGGGGGAGCCCCTTATGGTTACACTCCCTTCTGCGAATCCCGCAGGGAAATGGACGGTTTCAGGTTCTGGAAACACGGTTATTGGAAGAACCACTTACAGGGCAGGCGCTACCACATCTCGGCCTTGTACGTGGTAGATTTGAGGAGGTTTAGGAGGATAGCAGCGGGCGATAGGTTGAGGGGGCAGTACCAAGCTCTCAGTCAGGACCCCAACAGTCTCTCTAATCTAGACCAAGACTTGCCGAATAACATGATACATCAAGTGGCGATTAAATCGTTGCCCCAGGAATGGCTGTGGTGCGAGACGTGGTGCGACGACTCTTCGAAGGAGATAGCTAAAACCATAGATTTGGTAAGAGAATAATGAAAAATTAAAAATAATGTTATGCGAGAATAACATATTTTTTGTATTTAGTGTAATAATCCAATGACGAAAGAAGCCAAGTTAACGGCAGCTGTAAGGATATTGCCCGAGTGGAAGGGATATGATGAAGAAATTCGAGAGTTGCAGAAAAAAATCGATTCTGGTTTATTAGATGCCGATCCAGCCGAAAATTCAGATGTAGATGAAAAAGGTAAAAACAAAACAAAACCTAGAAATCGCACATGATGACCAGTCGACTCAAACCTAGCATTTTTTTTCATCAACTGGTTATGCATGTGAGCTTTCCGTATATATTTATGTATTATACAATTTTTATTGATTACTTATTTCTTTTATAGAGAGGACTGATATACATTCGGAATTATGATAGGCAAATTCAATTTATGTACAAAGTTTTTTTTAATAATTTGTAAACTGTAATATATTTACACGTTTTTAAATTATAAGTATTCAAACTTACATCTAAATAAAATAAATAATTAGTAAATATTTTAATTTGTATTTTTTTAAGTTTATAATGTCATTCGACAGTTTTTGTTTTTGTCTATAATAATAAATAAATAAATATGACTGAATTATATATTTAGTACGAGTAAGGACTTATTGCTACACTCCAGTACCAAAACAGAAGGTAGTATTCATAAAAAAGTGTAAACCACAATGTTTTACTATTTCTTAATCTGATAAAATTATTTTGCATGGAAATTGTAATGTGCTGTTCATGTTGCACAGTGTACCGATAATATGTTCAGAGTGCGCGCGTGCACTTGGAACGTTACAAGTGCCCATTTCTATCTTTGCGTATCGTGTATAAAGAGAGAGATGACCAGCACTGCATAGTTTCATTTCTTGATTTGTCACTTTAGGCATTTCACTTCTTGTCATATGCGTGTAAGTGGGAAAAACGTTTTTCTTTTCAATATTTTCGTATTTTACGTATTCCATTTTTAAAAATGGAATTGTGTGCCAATATTAGTGGCTAATCTGTTAATAATCAGAGTAGTCATAAAGAAATAAATTTAACAGATCAAGAAGGTTGTATGATAACGATATATGAGTTATAGTCCAGTATACAACGGTAAAAATAGGGTGTTACCTCCGAATTCTTGACACATGCACCGTTTTTCATGAAAATTGGTGAGTAAGCTCATTTCACCCTCTTTTACAAAAGTTACATATCCATAATGTGTGCTTATTGTTTTTAGGGGGTGAAAACTACCCCTTGCAAAAAACGTAAAAACCATAGATTCAAGTGTTATGTCAATAGAATAAGCATTCTTTTATTAATAATAATTTTTGATTGTAGCAACATTTCAACCCTTAAAATCCACCCTTTATGAGGAAAAAAAACAAAAATTAGTTTTCGCGGCTTGTTTATGAAATAATACATGATTTATTGCAACGTTTCAACCCTTAAAAACAACCCTTAATGAGGAATTGAAGAATTTTTACCTGCTTCAAAACACTCAACGATACATTACTAAATTCAACGAGATTACTTAAAACTCGAAACTTAAATTATGTAATTAGTGTGTATTACGCCTCGGAAACTATCGGAAATTAAGCCATTTACACGATCCGACAATTTTCACTGAATAATACAATTCGTTTTTCCACAATAACTTTTTTAATTTTTAATATTTTTCATCGCTCCAAAAAGCAATTTGCAGGGAATTGCAAGAGCTACAAATCAACCTTTATAGTTGAAGGGTCTTGAACTATTCAATTTTGAGATTTTTAGATTTTAAGGGCTCAAAGAAGGTGGTCCTTACATGCAAATGCAAACTAAAAAACGTAATATCTCAGTAAATTTTTGCTCTACAGAAAAATTGAAAGAGCAAAAATATTATAGAAAAAGACTTAATTTTGAACTTTTGCATTTTTCACATATCTTGTTTAGTTTTTCAAGGGCATTTTTAGCATATTCCCCATCACCCAGGTGAAAATCCGAGATATACAAATTGGAGACTTTGTCGTCTACTTTCGGATGCCGTTTTCAGAATTTAAATCGGACCATTTTTGATAAATCGCCATGCTGTGCAAAAAAAGTCCCTAATTTGTTTACAGTGCAATTGTGCAGAAACTATGCATTGGACTGAAACCATCTTGCGCATGATTAAACTACATTTTATTATCTGTCATTTTCCGCAAGATTGTTTTTCCAGCTTCAAATTTGACGGTTATGAATTTTTGAAAAAAAGTCTATTTTAGAAGTTTTTCTGGATTTTCTCTGTAAAAAAAAAAGAACTGATCAGGCTGCACAAAAACCATTTTATAGGTTTTTTTCTTCCATCACTATTTCTCAAGATATTATAAAAAACCAAAAAAATTTAATTTATTTGCAGTTTTTATTGTTTAAAAAAAAATTGTTCACGACTTTGCTGGGGAAATCACTTGGGTTTTCATTTACTAAGTATTTTTGAAAAGGAAATACATGAAATTTGCTGTAATATTTAAGTGTAAAAACAGCCTCTTTTTTCGTTCTATTGGTTGGCCTATATGTGCTAAGCACAAAATGAATTTTTGTTACTAAAAACGAAATCGAATGAAACTAAATTGTAGTATGTCAGAGACAATTTATAAAAAATAATGGTGTACCTACATCAAAAAGGATAGATTACTATCTGGACAAAATATGCATAAATGAAATACGTAGTCATTTATGTTTTAGAAGGAAGGAGATTTTTTCAAGGATTTTCTACAGGATTAAAGGCGTATTTTCTGCGAAAGGATGGTGATTAATTGCAAATATTGGAAGTGAATGCGGATTCTTGGGTAATGGTTTACATGTGATTTGAGTCTTCTCCACAAACAGGCAATTAGATAAAGATATAGATATTGGGGTATTGGAGATGTGGTTTGCATCTATTTTATCTCATATTGAACCTGGTGTTTGTCATGGATAATGCTCCTTACCATAGTGAATAAATAGAAAAATATCTGATGAAATAGAAATAGGTTGAATATAAAAACATGATGTTAAAAGTACAATAATTAGCAAATTGAATAAAAAAGAGCCAAATACATGAAATATGTAGTGGATGAATGGCTAAAGCTTGGGTGTTACACTTGGTTGATTGCCACCACACCACTGTGAGCTAAACCTCATTGAACTATAATCCCTTGACAGTATTAGTGATTGCAACAACAGTAATTAGTGATTTAATTTTAAAATGGTCATTCTCATTTTTCAATCATATCTTTAGTGATTTTATACATGCTTAGTAACATAGTATAAATAAACAAGTATTTATGTACCTGTTGGATACATCAAGGTAAGTGTAAATTTGTCACAATAATTTAGTTCTTTTGTTTCCAAAAATCGATATCTGTTTTTTGGTTTACATTTAACAATTTTTTGGAACCCTCTGAAATGCTACGCCTATGGAATTACATTTCCCGCACACCTTACGCATCGAATGAGGAATGAGTCGCTGCCTTACTGTTTTGGCCCTGCAGTTTACAAATATTGATATAGCATAACGGGGCATAATCGTTTTTGGTTTGACAAAATTAGTTTAGTTGCCACTGAAAATAAAAATTTTAAATTTGTGGTAATATAAACACAATTTGAAATTAAACAAAAATAAATTGACATAATTTACGTAAATTGTCTCAAATTTAGTGGAGGCGAAAATCAACAACAATCAACAGCATTGAATATAATAAGCCACACTGTACAATTTTCGATTCTTAAGTCATTATTTTAGATTTGATTACAAAATATATTGCTTTTGATTATACTTTTGAACTGGAAATTTCCTTTATAAGCATTCATAAACTTGAGTCATCATTCTACATATCTTGCATTTAACGTAGCAACAGCCGTAGATCTTGCACTGACACCGCTCAATTTTTTCATCCACAACAGTTCTGTATCCCCGTCCACAACAAAGCTGCCTGCAGCTCTCTAGACCGTTGGAGGTCACGTTACATTGCCTAGAAAAATAAGTAGATATTTAATTAATAGGGAAACACAGGGCAAAATGGAAAGAAATTATATTTTTTTAACAATTGATGTTCCCCCTTTATAATAAAATATCATTTATGTCAGTTAAAAGTTTGATATGTTTTAACACATTGGTATCTTGCAATGTGTCTCCACCCAAGGTAAAACAAACTTTTTAACTAATGATAATGTGGGCTGACCCGTTTAGCATTAAATTACACCCGCAATATCTAGAAAACAGCAAAGATCGTTCGTCAACAGAATATACACCAGTTTTAAATTTATTATTTTTCAATGGTATACCAGAGGAGTGATGCACACACATAGTTTGAGTGTTGGTGATATAACCTACAAAGTATGTCATATGGCTAATAAGCAGGTCGCTCTCTGCCAGTAGGTACACAAGAATAAGCGATGCTTCATGCTAGTAGGCATCGAATAGTAATGGCATTAATATGACATACTTAGTATAGATTGTATCTCATCTACACCCAAAGGTTTGGTGTACGTACACCTAACTAAAATGTTTAGCTAGATTTTATTGGCAAATTATAGCGGTCCGGGATGACGGGGAAAGGGCCTGCCTTTACGAGACGTTCGGTTCTTCAGAGATGGCGTGGGTAAAGAGCGATAGTCCTGCTCGACCTCGCCCCATTCGAGGTAATTTTTCCTGCTTAGTATATTGGCGCGTATGGAAAATTATACATCACAAATTAATAAAAGAGTTCCTATAAACATGTGTCAGAAAACGTCGAAATTAAAAGAAAAAAATGTGTTTTTAAAATCGATCTCATTTATATTTGTTATATAGATTTAATTTAGGTTACTCATACAGTATCTACACATCATAGTGTTCTTATACCCACAGGGACGTTGTGTTGGCCGTCCACTAATGTCAATTTTTGCTCACAATTTTTTTCTAACCAAATTTTGATGGAGCACTAGAAGCTTTACAATGTTCTTGCTACAATTATATTATCGATGATAGAAATAAAATTTTATTTATGTGTTCTTTCATGTTTTCCTTAACTATTTTTTGCTACTGGAAATAAATCGTAAAACAAAGTGCTTCTGGACACACACTTCAAACTTGTTTTCTTAATTTGACGTAAATAAAGTTTCGCGGAGTATTTTCATTACACTGTATAATAATTTCTTAAAACCGTGCTAATTTACCCAATTTACGGGGAAAAGTGGCATCATCAGTAAGGCAAATTAGTAATATTTTTATTTAAGTTAAAAATAAATATTAAATGTATTTTTTTTTGACAAAAATTATACTGCTTCTATAGATTATTTGAACTGGGCACATTTTTAGCGTGAGTTTAAATCGTTTAGACATTCTTAACGGAAACTAAAAGATATCGCTACTCATTTTAGCGGTGGCAAAAGTAATTTTCCGCAATATATATCTCTAGCACTACCGCAAATTTCTCAGTTATGTCATCTAATGTATTAAGGAAGGCGTACACTTCAGTGCAGGGCGCAAAAACTGAGCTTAATTGCGGCCACAGATAACTGCCGACTGCTCTCCCGCTCCCGTTAAAAATGCTTTCATATAACTGAAACATTTTAATTTGTTTTCTGAATGTGGATACTGTCCACTTTTTGTTAAGAGGGGCCCGGTGTAATTAGCGCCCATAAATCTTGCAGAAGTATCCTTTTTTCTTAGTTATAATTTGCAGCGGCCACCTAAACTGCCTTTTGTTGAAATGAGCCAGGAGGTGCAGGTGATGACGGAGAAAATACCTAGAGATTTAAGGTTCTTAATTTCTTGAATCACGGTGGGTTAGGAAATATGGAAAACGTGTTATTTTATTTCATAACTTTGATAGCAATGTTGTAAATTTGCTGTTATAGCTTTTGCGTTAATTAAATAACATTTTACAGAACTAAATAGTATTTGTTTGAATAACTGCCGGATTGGTTGCCACGTTCTCGGTCGCACTAAATGACGTCACTAATTAGCGTAACAGCAAACCCCATTTAAAATATTAAATTGCGCGCCAAACTTTAATTAATTATTAATTAACAACCTCTAAGATATTTCTAATATTTTTATTACATGATTATATAAGGTATAAGGATTATTTCTAGATAATTAAAAAAATGTATGCAACTTCTTTTCTCTCGTCACGATCGATCATGCTATACTCCGCGGTCGAAATTATAGAGAGTGATTCAGACATAATATAAACACACTATTACCATAATGCGCATAAAATATAAAATGATTTTTATAACGGTTCAATATTATTTATCTTTGTGCCGCTCACTACGCACATCGATAGAATCTATAATCGTCTATAGACTGAGTTACACTGAACGTCGATCTATATTCTATATCTGTCTTTTGCACTTGGTAGGGAATAGGGAAATATTTTTTTAGTGGGTTAAACGGACTTGATTTAGCCGTCCTGAGTAACGTCATAGCAAAAGCGTAGACGAGGGGTTTAATTCCATTGCTATAATAAATTTATAAATTAAAAAAACACAACTGGGACGTTTTAAAATGCTGTAATAATTAAAATGGATCAAAGTGCCGGTTATAGCAAACCGTATATTAGATGTTATGTTTTATTATCTTTTTTCAATATTTTCTATGTCTTGTTGCCTTTTACACAGACACGCCAATGGATTTTCGTTCCCGGCACGCTTCATCCCCCTTACTAGTCCAAAAGCTAGCGATGAGTCACTCTCTATAATTTCGACCGCGGAGTATAGCAAACTAAGCGCAGCAACCATCGTGGGTTATTGAACAATTCTAGGTTACTTACCTTCCCACGGTGCCAAAGCTGCCCAGCTTCTCGTCTTTTGTACAATAATCAGGCGACTTTGAAAGATAAATCAGTTGCTGAGATTTGAGAGATTTGTTCTTATTTTTCTTGGACCCGCTTTCTGGCAAACCCTTCTCCAGCGAAGCCTTCGGGATCTCAATAGCGTTAGTGTATTTTTGGAGAATCTTTTGACCAATCACCAACATAGGTGGAAGTGCTTTCCAACAAGTCTTTATGTTACAGGATCCGGAAACGCCATGGCACTTGCACTGCGTTTGTAGGCTTTCAGCCATTACCTGTAAGTTGACGCAGATGTTAGATGTTATTAACTTCAATTGTAGTTCTTTAATCGTAGTATTTTTTTGTCGCCGCAGATTTTTCGAGTACAAGAAGTGGTTCACGTGAAATATCAATAAATAACTATTTAAAATTTTATAAGTATTTATAATAATAGTAATGATCAGTAGTGAACCAAGAATAAAAGATAGAGATTGTTCAGTTGGATTTTATTTCCAGTGCCGTCACACAGAAAATAATTTCCAAACAAATTCCGCAACCTATATAAAAAATTTTCAAAAAATCACTGGTTTCTGAGTACCTACTTTAAGTTGAAAGTTTATGTGAGTCTTGATTTTTTGCACACGCCAAACTTTAGCTGAGAATAAAATAATTCCGAGGGGACCGAAACTCTTAGAAGTAGAAGGCGCGACTCGGATATTAACATTTTCAACTAAGTTTCCACTGAAGTTCCTAAGAAGCTCTCAGCTACCTCCAAACACGGAAGCCGCAGCAAATGACACCGCCAGAGGCCGATGCTATCGACAGAGCAGTAGCCGATGAAACGCTGCAAAAATATAAAATTCACCTCAGTTTCGAATTTCGGAAACTGAAAAGTTTTCCGAATATTACGGAATTCGAACTGGAGAACCGCAAGACCAAACCAAATAGGTACTACGTCAGACTAGAAGCCGATCATTGGCTCTAGTCGGCGAGAATCCAAAGCGGGATATAATCCGGTTACGCCAATTGTCCAAACCTAAGGCGGACTTCGCTACAAGACCTCTGCGGACTCATCAAAAACTGTGATCGAACTCTAATGCCTTGCCGTTCATTAACCAGATACGGAACCAGATGAATACGTGAGTACGTTTTAAATATTTAAATTATTGCCATTTTGCATTATATAAAGATCAATAATCAAATACTCGTTTGTTATAAATATATATTTTAATAATAAATCTATTTTTAATAATTCGAAACTTTGTTAAAAAACTTTTCACAAATTCTTTTACGAGCATATTGCTTTCAGCCTAGGCCTCAGTTCTGTCGCTCCATTCACCGAGGAATTTTGTTCAATCCTGCAGAGAGGATTCCAAGGGATAAGTTACAAGAAGCTGCCTAAATTTATAAGTAGGTACTAATAGAAAACCTACACAAACTCCAAGAAGCTTCGATATTTCAGCAACTCACAGGAGATCTCCAAACAACTGCTGGGCAAGCCAAAGCCTAAAACAAGATACTGATATAGCTTGCTTGCAATATTGGTAATAGCTATTTTCGTTTTAAACAAATTGTCAAGGATGAATAAAAGTATGAAGAACTCATCACTAAATTTACAATGAATATTTTGAAAGCTGGTCAGGACTTGATGCGCGAACCACTTTGGTTTGTTGTGTTTTGCGCATTCTATACTGCTGTAAAGAGAAATATAGGGTGTTAGAAGTTTGACTGCCTTAACAGACGATAGAATACATTAAAATAAACAAAAAAACCATATATGACATAGGTCCTAAACTCAACCATTTCCGAGAAAAAAATTATAAAAATCTTCAACTTGACGTACAAAAGTTCGATTAATTAAGGAATATTGACATAACTGCGTGCATAGAATACCATAAAATACAATGATTATCACTTTTTTAACTTCTTTATGCTTAATTCTAAAAAATAATTAGCGTTGTAATAAATTTAAAATACGATAAAATCATATCGAGCAATGTGACAACGGCGCGGCAGATAACACGAGGTACTAAGTTGTCCAGAATTACGCAATTCAGTTGGTATCTGGAATTGGACCGTGTCTGAGTGTTTTTTGTGTACCACTATTTCCTTTTCTTGAAGTGTTTCACAGCGAGTGCAAGAAAATTGGATTCGAAGGTGTCGTGCGCGCATCGAAAATGGCGGTGGACATTTCAAGCATATGTCGGAGTTTGTTTTGTACATGTGCGTTAAAAAATTTTGCTCTTTGATAAGTTCCTAAATTATTTTTAAAACGTATGATTATTTGGATGACGTGAATATTTGGGACCTACTTTAATTCATATTTTTCAAATCAACAATTTGATTAAAAGTCAAATTCCTGTTTTATAGTCTGTTTAGAAATGAAAGAGAGTAATAAAAGCTTATCATGTATGCAAATCGTAAATAAATGTAGTACTGGTGCTTATATTCAATATTTTTATATTGTACTTTTAAAAAAAACTTTGTGCGATCGGACTGTACTAAATTGTAGCAGGTAGCTAAAATTTAATCCCCGACAATCCGTCTTTGTCTATGCCGCTTCAATTTCTCGGTCCATTTCTCTTATAAGTAAACAATATAAAAACAGCATTTCAAAACATGAGGCTACTTTAAGTATCATAACCGGGTTAAGAGGGTCTTTAGTAATTCAAATAAAATTATTCAATATTATTATCAAAATATTTATTTAAATTTAATGAATAGACTTTTATTCCACACAAAAATATATGTATTTTGAAAATTCAAATTATGGTAAGTAAATGTAGTGTTGTATAAATGTACAATAAAGAAAATAAAAAAGTAGGTATATTAAAATTCATCCTCTGAATATTCTGATGAATTATCTTCTTCTCCTAGATTGATAACGATAGGTTCCACAGTAACGTCAATTAAATTATCGAGATCCCACATTTTCTCCTCTTCTTTTTGTACATGATGTATACATCTTTGCCAGTTATCTGCAGTTACTCCTTCCAAGGAATTTTTTAACAAATTCTTCACGTCACTTAATTTAAACGTCGTATTATTTCGCGCTACATCTCCTTTTACCTGCGCCCAGACTAATTCGATTGGGTTAAGTTCACAGTGATAAGGTGGTAACCGTAGTACCGTTATTTGGCGATTTGTTGCCATTTCATCGATAACATATTTTTTCTGATCTTTATTAAGATTGACAAGTGTCAAAAGTTCCTTTTTCACCATATTTGTTTCAAAAGAAATGTTTTTTCCGGATAACCATTGAATTATATCGGCTTTCCTCCAAGCAGCCGTAAGCGTCCGCTCGGTCTGCCGTGAATGGTAACTGGGATTATCCATGACAATTACAGATCCCGGAGGAATGAGATCCAACATCTGTGTAAAATACTCTTCGAAAACATCTGCGTTCATGTCTTCGTGATAGTCACCTGTATTTTTAGATTCAAATAAAAGTAAACCGCCATCTACAAAACCACTGGCACTACCTATATGTGTCACTATTAATCTTCGCCCTTTACCTGAAGGTGCCTTGAACCCTGTTGAAATCCATCCAAAAATGCTTGTTGAAAACTTTATACGTTTTTATCTTGCCATAATTTTGTTACAGTATATCCCTCGGTGACCCAAGTTTCGTCTAGATAATAAATATTCCTTAAGTAGGATCTTCGCCAACAAATAATTTCATGTTTTTCCTGTTCTGCTTTTCCCAGCAAAAATTCAACTCTCGTAAGACGGCCCATAGTTTGCTTCTACTGATTTTTGGCAAATCGTTGTCCTCTGAAAGTTCACTTAAAAGTTTGTTTAGCGTTGGTATTTCTTTTTTAAAATAAAATGGGTGTACTTTTCTGCGAATGACATTTTTGAAGAAATCATCTATAACGACTTTTGACCTCCCTGTAGATGATTTTGGGGGATTTACAGTATCTTGTTCATTTTTTGTTTCCTTTAGAAGTCTGTAGATAGTCGATTTTCCAATCCCTGTCATTTTGGAACACTTTTCCACGATGTCGTCAACACTGTTGGTAGGATTTTGGTGTTTCAATGCATTAAATACATTTAATATAATAATCTTCTCATTCTGAGACAGCGCACATCTTTTCAAGCGTTTAGCAGGTACGTAATCTGATAAGCTCGACATTTTACCCAAACAATATTATATTCACTGGCACAATAGCCACTAAACACAAGTCGAATTTTACTCTACTGCACTAGCACGTCTTCGTATATTCAGCTCTAAGACTGGATTGATCTGTCACAATACACTGGCTCCTGCCCTATGATGTATCCAGTAAAACATACTAATGTACACCCATTACCTGTTAGCATTAGTGTTACCCGATAATTACCTGAAACGAAATATTACCACGCCCATGGCCGGTTCTTATCTCGGGGTTTTATTGTTCTCTTTCATTTCCAAACAGACTATAAGAGATTTCTAATTTCTAATATTCGAGCTAAAATTTAAGCACAACACTATCTTCGTACTACAAAATCGATACATTTTATTTTATTTATTTCAAAACCTGAAAATAATTGTCTAGAAATTTACTAAATGTTTCACAATAATAGTTGTTTACATTTTTTCCGTAGGACAAGTCTGCCGTGTGCACACGTGTGTGCATCAGCGGGTTAAGCGCTGTTGTCACGTTGTGATGAAACTCCCCAATATCGTTGTATTTTGAAAACTGTTAATCTTACGCCCCTGTAATATACAACTTTTTTGTTCACTTATGATTACTCTCATGCTGAAGTAATGGCAGTTAAGCTTCTTACACCCTGTATATCGTTTGTACCAAGAATTTAAGTCATATATTATTATATCCACTACCCAATACTACTCGCAAAGTTTTCATTTTCGAGATTTTAGGGAGTTTTAAACAATTCATAAATGTCAACTCCACTAACTCACCTTTCTGCCTACCCTGTTGTTGTGCAAGTTAACGGCGGCCACCTCGTTTGTTACCATCTTCTCTCCTTCCTCAGTTTTCCCATTGCCGCTATGCCTCTTCGCCTTCGTCCCGCTCTTCTCCAGCGTGTACTTTTCCACGTTGTCAATGAACCGCTTGGCGAACTGCGTCCCCCATTTGATGTTATCCCCGCACCCACCCCACTGGAACTGCCCGTTCGTGGGGCTGCTGGGCTTGCTGGCACACGTGCAGTGGTACAGGGACCCGCTGGAACATGCACGGGCCATCGTGAAAGTCAGCGCCGCCGAGCTGATGGCGTAAACGTACGCTTGTTCTCGTGTGGCTGGAGAAAATGCGAATTAAAAAAATTCTGATGATATATAAAGTTATCACGTAGAAAAATAGTACATACAGAGAACTCCGCTTAGTGTGTAGATACTTATTTTCTACATATGTTAAAGAAAAGTTACTTTAACTTTAAAAATATAAAAGGTCCGACAGTAAATCGTACAATCCAGGGTCGTACTCGGTTTTCGCATAACGTGACGACAAATAAATATATTTGCAGAAGGTTAACTTTTTTAACCGAACATTTTTTTTATCCATTTTTGAAATATGGAACCTAGAGACTATCTACAATTGCTGACAGTTAGGCCCTTGTCTAGGGGGGCTACGGGGGCTATAGCTCCGGGTTTCACAAGATTGGGGTGTCTCGGTAAAATCTGGCAAAATGAAATCAAAATGTGTTTAGGTTTTTAAATCTTACTTATATGTGTAAACCGTTGATTGCATGATTTTTTTTTAAATCAAACTAAAAAGTGTTTAGGTTTTGAAATGTTATATCGGTAAGTCGATGATTGCGTGACTTTTTTTTAAAATGAATCAGAAAAACTGACTACCAAAAAGGTATGGCAAAATTTAAGTAAAAAAACAACTGAGGTTATGTCACTCTGTTAATATTCTGTGTTCAAGAAAGTGTCATAGGAACTTGTTGTATCACTATATTTACGACAACTTTGGTCTTAATCTAGTCTTCCATTACCTTAATCTTAAGCCACACTATTAGTCTTAACCTTACAATTTTTATCATCACAGATTAAACAATTTTAAGAACTATCTAGTGAAGCGCAATAATATACATTTTTAACAGTAAGCGAAATCGATAAAGATATTGTATTTTTTTAACATATTTAATGAAATAATTGAATCAATTAAACAATTGAGTTGCCATTATAAAATGTCAACGTGACAGCTGCCTACTAGAAAAACTACAGTTCGACAAAATTTCTACCCTATGCCAATCGTGCCTTGTGATTTTAAAAAAATATTTTGCTCAGAAATCGTTAATTTTACAAAAAAATTACAAGAGACCTTTTTTGTTTAGAATGATTCAGGCTATCTGATGTGAATTAGTGTTTTTTTTCTATATTCAAGTACATATTACTGAACACTTTTAAGAACTTGTCTATCTGTCTATTCTATTTTCATGTTATCGTTTGTATTCAGGAATTAATTTTTAAAGATATCAGTTATTTGCACCTTCGTTAAATTATTCCCCGTGATACGCCACTGCCGTGATGCTACCAAAAAACTTTTCTCGCTTAGGTTGCCGATGCATGTATCCCGAATTCAGCGCACGTCGGGAAACTGATCGAATAAAAGAAAGTCTGGAAAAAGGGACATCGCTACGTGGATTGGATTTTCTTTTTCGGCGATTGCTTTAATCTTTTTAGATAATATACTTTTACCGTCATTATTAATGATTGCGAGGGAGAAGAATCGACCTGGAAAACGTGCGCGGAAAACAAAACGCCTGTTATTGTGTACATGCTTGTCGCCGATGGGTTGTTCGAAACTCTGGCGAAAATCTGAGCTCTGGTATTACTACTCGAATCTAGTCATCATCAAGATCAAAGCGTCATATAAATGAATTTTTGGACAACTGAGTGACTGAATTGTTTCTAATAATTTAATATATTTTTTTAAGATTTGTATTTAAATTTAATTTAGAGCACAATCCCTTCATTAAATGTCAGCATCAGGCATCATATAAAGAATGCTTTGTCGAAAATATGTAATGCATTTTGGCAACCGATTGACTAAATTGTTTCTAATAATTTATTCGAGGATATTTTTACTACACTTTTGAAATTCATTTTGAGCGCAATTCTTGCAATTAATCAAACATAAAGGCTAGTGAAAAAGACACATATCCAAAATATTTTCACTGATTGCTTACAAATCTAGAATCATTTTTTCTTACCTCTGGTTAAATCTGGTGTGAGATATGGAGCTGTGACAATCGAGGAACAGTTCCACCTTCTGTGTTTGAACACGTTCCTGCAGGTTTCCGAGGCCAACATGGCGGCGTTCTGGACGTGGGGCATCGCCTCCATAGTGCTCCTGCAAAGCTTGGCCTGAATTTTCACCAGTCCGTACCTCCTGCGAGCAAGAGTACAAGGAGACCTCACCCCGGACCGTATGCCTCTTCCTGGGTTATTGTTTATGGACGAAAGGTTCCAGTGAAGATGGGAATGTTGAAGGGACCTGTAAATTGATTTAGATTTTGGTAAAGACATGAAGCCAGACATCGATAGTCTTATATATTTTTTAATTATACATTTTTTATATTACCTTTTGTATTTTTATTTTTTCTAAGCGAAATGTTTAAATAATGTTAGTTTTCAAAGAAAATCACCTTAGACTATGATAAAACATTGAACGCGCATTTAACCACGATAACAGATCTGATATATTTCTCATTTTAGAGATTTTTTCTTGGCCTCCTTTTTAGATTGGAATTAATTGACATATGAATATTACTTTATAAATTATATACGAAATACAAAACTTTTAGTAAAAATTAAATTTATAACGCTCTGAACTTTATCTGTGGAATATTGCAATACAGGGTGTCCCGAAATTCATGTAACAAAATTTGGTCATAGATTCTTAAGACAAATTTAGGGGACCCGTATTTTGGTGACAAACCCCCTTAAGACATTTTTTCGTGGGCCTCCTTGTATTTGGAACCAGAAAAATTTGGTCGCAAATTTGATTTTTTTTTTAAATTATTAGTTAGCTAGAAAGCCATTGAATTTAGAAACTTTTTTGTCACTTGATATTTGTTTCGTAAAACGCATTGTTTTTGAGGAAAATGGCGAATCACGATATGCATTCGATCACATATTGACATTTTTCTCGAAAACATTGCGTTTTACGAAAAAAGTATAAAGAGACAAAAAGTTTCTAAATTTAATGTTTTTCTAGTGGACTGATAATTTTTAATAAATTTAAATATGCGACCAAATTTTTTTGGCTCCAAAGACAAGGGGGCCCACGAAAAATTATCTTAAGGGGGTTCCCCGCCAAAAAACGTAGCAGCATCAAATTCCACATGTCGTAAAACCCCTGTGTACCAATTTAGTGATTCTCGTACAACAGGGTTCTAAAATATAAAAAAAAGATTATTCTTAGGGGCGGGCTTCAGGGGGCTTGAACTCCGAAAGAGGAGGCCACTTGACAAAAATAAAAAATACGGGTCCTCTAAACGTCTTAAGAATCTGTGATCAAATTTTGTTGCATGAATTTCGGGACACCCTGTATAAACTAGTCACAAAAATTAAAGGATAAAAAAGTTCTAAATTTGTATGGCTTTAACTTGATTTTTAGGAAAAGTGACAATTTCAATCATTTGGATCACAACGAAAGAGAAATCGCAGAGGTTTAACTCGAGTGTTTCTATGGGACACTTTGTAATTAAAAAATTCTTGAATATGCTGCTTTCTATCATTTTTGATTCAAGTTTCTTGCATTGAAAAATATTTTTCTATCAAAAAACGACAAGAACTCAACGACAAATCTTCATATAAGGTTTTTGATCAGCTCAAATAAAGAGGATGAATGAAACTAGAAGAGCTGACAGGTGAGATTGTCAAATCAAAATAGTTATTTACACTATAAATGAGGTAAGTATTGTTATTTAGCAGTCGAGGACGATTTTGCGCCCGAGCGGAGCGAGCGCTGGTAATAGAGTTCGAGACTGGTGAATTATACTTAACTGCTGCGTGGTGTATAACATTTTATTAGTTCTTTATGGTTCATGAAATAAAGATTAGGTTTATTTTTTGACATTTCTTAATCAATTCATTTTGACATTATTCGAATATCTTCCAAAATCGCCTTGGTTGTTTGGATTTAGTCGTTTCTAAGATGTTTATAAACAAAGCTACATAAAAGTTGCAATTTTGCACATTATTGTACATAGTTACAATTCCAGATTCTAAAAATGGTATGTCACGTACGTTTACAATTACTTCTCGTCTAGGTTCTGTTTCTCACCTAGAAATTCTCAAGAAATACAGAGTGATTCACAACTTATCCAAAAAAATTAGATGCAGGGTATGTCAAATGATTTTATCATTTAAAAACACTTATTAAACTTATTAATTAATAAAGGCAAAAGCAGTTGAATTTGCCGATAAAAATAGGTGCGATAAAATTCTATTTACATATTTCTTTCCTTGCGAAAGTTTTTGTCTGTTTTTATCACATCGGCATGCCGGTCGCATTGTGCGATGTCAGGTTTTACAGTGGACCAGTTTCCAGTGCCGTGCAGAAGTGTATTTTTAAATCATTTTCGACCTGCCCTTTTTGATTTTTTCTTTACAAAATTGTATTTGTAAAGGTCCCCTGTACATACAGAATTTATTTTTTGATAAGTTCCGAAAAACCCTGTATTTCAAGATTAGATTGGAAATTAAAACTGAAATTTCACGCGTTTTTATGCGCTGTCAAGCAGGTAGATGTTAAAACCAACCAGTCAGCAAGAATACCCTTTCTATGATTCCTAATAAGATTGCACATTTTTTGAAATTAGAGCATCCTGAAACATATACAGGCCATTCACTCCGAAGAACATCGGCAACGTTACTGGCTAATACAGGAGTTGATGTAATAGCAATCAAGAGACATGGTGGGTGGAAATCAGCCACAATTGCAGAAAGTTATGTTGCTGACAGTTTAAGTAACAAAAATTAAATGGTGAACAGGATTCTTTACAAAGACACTTCAACTCCAGATTCTAGTAGTAAATCATTTTGAGAATAATGTCACAATTAGTAAACACGAGGGAATAATTATCCAGACTTTATAAATGTTACTAAATGTAATAACTGTACAATTACTATAAATATTCATTCATAATAATTAATAAAATGTAATGTTCATCAAATATTTCCATTTATTTGTTCATAACTCGAAATCGCCTTTTTCCCCTAAGAGACGTAAGTTACCTCATTTACCTCCCGTTGTCCATAGTAACCTCCACTTCTACGGTAAAATCTTCTTATCTTCTTAAAAACAATGCATTAATAGTTTATTTACTAAAGTGGGAGCAGATAAAATTTATTAAAGCTCGTGGACCTTTTGAAAGGGAAGCAAAAACTTCACCTCTTGAAAATCACATATTTATTTAATTTACAATTAGCGCAAACCTATTAATTGAGTTTTATTTTAATACAATAAGTAAAATATATTTTAGTGTATAAACAACTCAGTATCTAATATTTTCGGGCACGTCACTGGAAATGCCTGCACACATATTTCTCACGTATTATCACGTTTTCATTTTACACTTCACTTCGCCTAATGCGCCATAAATCAAAAATATTTTCATTTTCTTCTCCTGTAATTATCTCCTAAGGTGTTATAAAACCTGTCTCAAAAATGATGTACGGTAATCAAACTTCGTTAAATCAACATTCTGCACCGTCCCCTTTTGTTTGCCGTTTAATTAAATAAAAAAAGGAAAAACAAACCTTTATTCTAGACACGAAGCAATTCAATTTTTTTATTTGGTGGGTATTTATAACCCATCACGTTGCTTAAATATATAGTAGTGAGGAGCTTTTCAATAACCACGGTATGTCACGTACGGTAGTCGAGAAAAAGATGTAATGACATTTGTCTTTTATTTCTGTTCTATCCTTTGTTTTTAATTTAATAACTATAAAACCGTACGAGTAGATGTATCAAAATACAAGTGAATTTTTACCAATTCGATTCGTTACGGCTTACAGAAATATTTTTATCACTGTTGTAGTAATCGTGGGAACAGTGATAAAGAATTTTTTGGATCGATAATAGTGTTAGTATATTTTTATATTTTGCCACATTGAAAGAAATGTGGCAAAATATTGAAATGAAAAAGAAATTAAATTTTTTAAAAATAAAATAAAAAAAATAAACAACTTGTACCAAAAGTCACGGGGTTATTCTTTTAAATTTATTTTTACCTAATCAGAAATGTCTTACAATGAGAAAGCGTTAATTTTTCGTAAAACAAACCAGCCTTCTTTTATAAGATGTTAAATACGAGTATAAACAATTTTAAAGCTGAGAATGACAAGGTTATTATATAATTATTAATAAAATTTTGGAGAGACACCGTTGTGATGCCACAACTACCCTATTCTCCGGACATGCCCTTGTGACTTTTCGTATTTCCCAAACTCCAAAGGATACGAAAAGGACAATATTTTTCAACAATAGAAGAGATAAAAGCAAAATTGCAAACCGTGCTCAAGACGATACTTAAAGAGGCGTACTACCAGTGTTTCTCAAATTGGAAACTAGGGATAATATCACGGGGGGACTACTTTAAAGGCGATGGGATAAAAATTGAAGATTAAATAAACACTTCCTGAGAAAATGAACAATTCCCGTTACTTTTTTGATCAAACCTCGTATAATAGTTTAGATACCATAACACACGCATTACTGTAAAAGAAAAATATCACAAATATTAAGATTACGTATTATTTTTATATACATACTCGTAAACTAAAGAAGTTATCGAAATTTTACAAGAAACATTGTTAGAGTAGTTTCAATTCTTCTTTTGATTTTTTTAAAAGACTTTTTGAGAAAATAAGACAGATGGTATAGCTTATATGAGACTCCTGAAGAGTACAAAAAAAACGAGAAGTATATTAATACAGTGACGCTTCGTTAGTACTGTCTGTGTCTAACTGCAGTCTGTTTTGAGAAAAGTTGTAAAAACATTTCTTCTATCCTCAAAAATTGTGTATTTAATACCCCTCTCCTTACAGGGTATCCGGAAGCTTCTTTAAACTGATTTAAATCAAGTTACGATGCTTAAAAACTTGCGGCATTCAATAACAATTTTGTTATTCCGTTTTTTAAGAAACTAATACTACATTTGGCACCATATTCTGTATTGGTGATTGACAATGCACCATGATAATGTGCAAGCTGAAAAATGCTATACAATCGCATGTCGAAAAGATGAAATAAACCAAAGTAGTTCAATTTGTGCATAACATGTTAAAAGTACAGTTAAGTAATAAAAAAATACAAATTTATGAAGCCGATCAAAATTTACAGTTAGAATTATTAGAAATTTTACAGAATACTATTCTGAGATTACCAACATATCACCCTGACATGAACTCTATCGAACTTGTTTGCGCGTCACTCAAACGGTACATTGCTAGTAAAAATGTCACTTTGACAGACGTAAAAAACTTGTGCAATTAATTTCGGCATACTTACACCACAAGAAATTGAA